TTCGTCGAAGCCGGATAAAGGCAGATAAAAGCGGGTAAAAATATCATCTGATAACATCTGCTTTTGTCCGCATCGCTATATCCGCGAACACCCGGTTGGTTGTGTTTTATGTCCGGTTAGTGCACCCCCGCAATCATCTGCAATCATCTGTTTTTAACCGTCTTCACTGTGTTTCGTTTATATCTGAATTTGTCCGGAATCATCTGCAAACGTCTGCTTACGTCTGTTTTTATCCGCGATTACCTGCATTTTTTTTCGTCTATTTTTGTCGGGTTTTATCTGCAAACGTCTGGTTTTATCCGCGAGCATATGCTTTTACCCGCGAACATCTGCAATCATCCGCGAACATCTGCTTTCATCCGCGAATATCTGATTTTATCCGCCAACATCTGCTTTTATCCGCGAACATCTGCTTTCATCCGCGAACATCTGCAGTCACCCGCGAACAACTGCTTTTATCCGCGAACATCTGCAATCACCCGCGAACATCTGCTTTCATCCGCAAACGTCTGGTTTTATCCGCAAACATCTGCTTTCATACGGTTTCACCCACAAACATGCTTTTATCTGCGAACGCCTGATTTCATCCGGTTAGTGCACCCCCGCAAACATCTGCTTTTATCCGCGAACATCTGCAATCACCCGCGAACATCTGCAATCACCCGCGAACATCTGCTTTCATCCGCGAACATATGCAATCATCCGCGAACATCTGCTTTTATCCGCAAACATCTCATTTTATCCGCAAACATCTGCTTTCATCCGCGAACATCTGCAGTCACCCGCGAACAACTGCTTTTATCCGCGAACATCTGCAATCTCCCGCGAACATCTGCAATCACCCGCAAACATCTACTTTTATCCGCAAACATCTGCTTTCATCCGCGAACATCTGCTTTTATCCGCGAACATCTCATTTTATCCGCGAACATCTGCAATCATCCGCGAACATCTGCTTTTATCCGCAAACATCTCATTTTATCCGCGAACATCTGCTTTTATCCGCAAACATCTGCTTTCATCCCCAAACATTTGCTTTTATCTGCAAACATCTGATTTTATCCGCAAATATCTGCTTTTATCCGCGAACATCTGCTTTTATCCGCAAACATCTCATTTTATCCGCGAACATCTGCTTTTATCCGCAAACATCTGCTTTCATCCCCAAACATTTGCTTTTATCCGCAAACATCTCATTTTATCCGCGAACATCTGCTTTCATACGGTTTCACCCGTAAACATGCTTTTATCTGCGAACGCCTTATTTCATCCGGTTAGTGCACCCCCGCAAACATCTGCCTTTATCCGCAAACGTCTGATTTTATCTGCAAACATCTGCTTTTATCCGCAAACATCTGATTTTATCCACAAACAACTGATTTTATTTACAAACATCTGATTTTATCCGCAAACATCTGCTTTTATCCGCAAACATCTGTTTTAATCTCCAAACATCTGATTTTATCCGCAAACATCTGCTTTTATCCGCAAACATCTGATTTTATCCGCAAACATCTATTTTAATCTGCAAACATCTGCTTTTATCCGCAAACATCTGATTGTATCCGCAAACATATGCTTTTATCCGCAAACATCTGATTTTATCCGCAAACATCTGCTTTTATCGGCAAACATCTGCTTTTATCTGCAAACATCTGATTTTATACGCAAACATATGCTTTTATCCGCAAACATCTGCTTTTATCCGCAAACATCTCATTTTATCCGCAAACATCTAATTTTAATAGAAAACATCTGATTTTATCCGCAAACACCTGCATTTATCCGCAAATATCTGCTTTTATCCGCAAACATCTACTTTTAATTGCAAATCTCTGCTTTCATCCGCGTTCGGTTTGCCTGTATTTCCTTTGTCCATTTCGGTCCTGTTTCGTACGCAAACGTCTGGTTTCATTCGCGCTTTTTGTTTTCTTTTTTCTCGTGCATACTTTAGTTAAGTTTACCTGCTTTGTCAAATTTTACTGAGCTTTAACTAACTGGTTGTTAGCCGTTCACGGCACACAACTTTATAACTCTAAAAAGAATTATTTGAATAAAAACAACCTGTAAAGGAAATAAGTTTATTCAACACGACATTTTCCCAATGGAAAAATAATTTAATTATATTCACCAGATTTAAATTTAAAATTCAGGTATACGTATAATAAGTCTATTAATTCTTACATATATATTAAAAATACTGGTTATGCCAAAATTAAAAAGTTTTTAAAGTTAGATGAAAAATTCTACGCCTAAATAAGTGTTTTTCAAACAAATTCCGTACAAATTGAAGATGTTATAATTCCAAATGTATTTGAAATTAAACATATATGTTTTCTAACAATTAATTTAAATGTAAGCTTAATGATTAAAAAATATCTATTTATGTCCTTTAACAAAGACCTTATTTGTATTTTACCAAATAATATTGAAGTTCAATAGACTTATTTCCTTTACAGGTTGTTTTTATTCAAATAATTCCTTTTAGAGTTATAAAGTTGTGTGTCAGTTAGTTAAAGCTTAGTAAAATTTTACAAAGCAGTTAAACTAAACTAAAGTATACACAAAAAAAGGAAAACAAAAAGCGCGAATGAAACCAGACGTTTGCGTACGAAACAGGACCTATGTAAATAGACAAAGGAAATGCAGACAAACCGAACGCGGATGAAAGCAGAGGTTTGCAGTTAAAAGCAGATGTTTGCAGATGTTCGCGGAAAGCTCAGTAAAATTTGACAAAGCGGATAAACGAAACTAAAGTATACACGAGAAAAAGGAAAACAAAAAGCGCGAATGAAACCAGACGTTTGCGTACGAAACAGGACCGAAATGGACAAAGGAAATGCAGGCAAACCGAACGCGGATGAAAGCAGAGATTTGCAATTAAAAGCAGATGTTTGCGGATAACATCAGATGTTTGCGGATATAATCAGATGTTTTCGGATAAAATCAGATGTTTGCGGATAAAATCCAGATGTTTACGGATAAATGCAGATGTTTGCGGATAACATCAGATGTTTGCAGATAAAATCAGATGTTTGCGTATAAACTCAGATGTTTGCGGATTAAAACAGATGTTTGCGATTAAAATCAGATGTTTGCGGATAAAATCAGATGTTTGCGGATAAAAGCAGACATTTGCAGATTAAAATAGATGTTTGCGTATAAAATCAGATGTTTGCGTATAAAATCAGATGTTTGCGGATTAAAACAGATGTTTGTGGATAAAAACAGATGTTTGCGTATAAAATCAGATGTTTGCGGATAAAAGCAGATGTTTGGAGATTAAAACAGATGTTTGCGGATAAAAGCAGATGTTTGCGGATAAAATCAGATGTTTGCGAATAAAATCAGGTTTGCGGATAAAAGCAGATGTTTGCGGATAAAAACAGATGTTTGCGTATAAAATCAGATGTTTGCGTATAAAATCAGATGTTTGCGTATAAAAGCAGATGTTTGCGGATAAAAGCAGATGTTTTCGGATAAAATCAGATGTTTGCGGATAAAATCAGATGTTTGCGGATAAAATCAGATGTTCGCGGATAAAACCAGATGTTTACGGATAAATGCAGATGTTTGCGGATAACATCAGATGTTTGCAGATAAAATCAGATGTTTGCGGATAAAAGCAGATATTTGCAGATTAAAATAGATGTTTGCGGATAAAAGCAGATGTTTGGAGATTAAAACAGATGTTTGCGGATAAAAGCAGATGTTTGCGGATAAAAGCAGATGTTTGCGGATAAAAGCAGATGTTTGCAGGTGAAATCTTATGAATCAGACTTTTGCGGACTAAATGAGATGTTTGCGGATTAAATCAGATGTTTGTGGATTAAAATAGATGTTCGCGGATGAAAGTAGATCTTCACGTATAAAAGCAGATGTTTGCAGGTGAAATCGGATAAAGCAGACGTTTGCGGATTAAAGTAGATGTTTGCGGATAAAATCAGATAAAACCGGGTGAATGCAGATATAAACTCAAATACAGGTATTTGCGGATGAAAACAGATAAAAGCAGACATAGATCTAAATAGATAAAACCCGACGTTCGCGGATAATATTTATACCCGCAATTGCAGATAAAAACCGACATGCCGGGTAAAATCAGATATATCGGATAAAAACAGATATAAATGGACATAAAACTAGCTTGGTTTTTTATCCGCAATCATCCGATATTACCCGTCTTTTTCAGCAGGGTTTTAGTAAGCTTCTACTAAACCTGAGATAAAAAGTCAACTAGATATTTACTTGTTTTAACCAAATATCAGTTTAAAAAGTTAAATCAACCCAAGTTTTCCACTAAATAAATATCTTCTTGTAGATATCGAAATAAATAATTTATTTAAGCCAAGCCAAATAAAGTAAAATCAAGAGATTACTTTTCTCTGTGTATATATAAGACAATTTAAATGACTTTAAATATTTAATTGATATTTATTAAACGGGTGCTGTTTTTATTTCTTAATCGTCTTTAGAAATATAGCAATAATAAAATACAATTTTAAAAACCTTTTAAATCGAAAACTACTTGTCAGAAAAGAATGTGTTTTTATCACTACAATAAAAAGACGACTTCTAGATACTAAATTAAAATTTAGACCACATAAAATGAAATCATTTGGTATTTTGTTTACCAGTGGAAACATCTAGAAATTATTTATTTATCTTATTTGTAACATAAAACTAATAACTATTGGAATAAAAGGTTATCGAATAAAAATAATAATAAAATATATTCTTGGTAATTACATCAAAAATAATAAAAAGCAGATAAACCAAAATAAATTTTTAAAAAATATTTACAAAATTTTATAATTCACATGAACTATAAAAAGTAGTTTAAATGACAAATAAAAATGCTTTACTTTCAATTTTCCACCACAGTATATAATTACTTCTAAAATTAACACCTTTAATTGTAAACCAATACCTATAGGTATATATGCATAATTTCATAAAACCGCCTTGCATCATCAAAAAATGCGAAACAATACCGTCAACAACACTCGAACCAAGAAATCCGTGATGTCACCAGCGTTCTCGATTGTCATTGGTCGATTGGACCGTTGGATTGGCTTAAATTTGCTTTAAACAATTGATCGCCAGTGCTCTGGAAGCGGGTTGCTAGCATGGGCTGTTTCAAGAGTTACGTAATATGTGCTTTCGCACTGTTGGTGCCGATTTTGGCCGATCAACCAAAAATTGTCTGCAATTACGAGACCAAGGCACACCTTAGAGAAGGTAAGATTTTTTATCATTGGGTTTTTTATGTAAGCTAAAAGTAATTTTTTATAAAAAAAAAGTTTTAAGTATAAAAAAATAAACACAAAATTTTTTTCTTACCCAACATGTTTATTACATAATATAAGTGAAATACAGCCGCAACTTGATTTATTTCTCTTCATTACGTATTATTTATGAATAGTATATTTTTGAATAAATTTGAATACCAAGTGAAGCTGTTGAAGAAAATGACGCTCGCCTTGAACTGAGGTGTAAGAATTATGTATTTATTTATTACCTTTATTTGGTGTTTTATTTTATTGGTTACAGGCCATGATCTCAAAATGGAATAAAATTACCATATTAACATTACAATAAATTTAATGTTACGCTTAATAAATATTAATTTAATAGACAATTTTGTGTTATTGTTTTATTATTAAATAAAATGAATATAAAAACGTACTTACAAAAATGGTGGATGCACAGGGAATAATACTTATTTTTTTAATAAAAAAACAAATTTATTATGAAAATTTATAGTTTAAGATTACTTAGGTATATAATATTTTATATAAAAAATCTTGTTCTCTCAGTTTATTATTATTTTTTATATAGAAATTCTTTTTTTGTAGATTAAATACAGCCGCAACTATTTCAGTACATAACGTATTATTTATTATTTATCCATTAAAATAAATTTAATGTTTTTGTATACTTATTAACTATTAATTGATAAACGATTTTGTGTTATTGTTTTAAAATTTTAGGTATGATTAATACAAAAGGATTTTAAATAAAATTTAATTAAAAAACGTACTAATGGCGGGTGGGCATTTAGACAAAATAAATAAATAATTTTTTCTACTCCCACAGTTAAAACGCCCTTTATCGTACATGTTTCCATGACACTAAGTGACCTTTTAAATACACATTGACAAGTTGTGGCTTTATGGCGCTTTAGTCACGGGCTGAAGTTAGTTTTAAGTTAGTTGACAGTTGTCAAATGTCATACAATCGTTAAAATAAAGTGCCTTTCTTGTAAAATAATACTAAATGTGAAAATTATTTTATTATCACAATACAAAAATATAAAAGTATTAAATAGTTTCTCAACGCCAATATTTGAAAAGTTTATATGAACATTGTACTGACCTTTTAATTTCTCTGGCAGTAAACTATAACTTAAATTCGGGCACGGACTCAACTGTAAAGTCCTCATAAAACATTTCTTTACTTTCACTGTAAAAACGGTCAATTTTAAATAAATACATTTCGAATTATAACTTTTATAATCTGTGTTTATAAAATATAAAAATTTGACATTTGACGGTGACACACAGATTCCCATATTGTTTTATAGATGGCGCTCTATACAAATTTTTTATTTAAATCATTTTTAGATAATAAGTATTTGTCGTAGAAAAATTATAGTATGCACCTCGTTTATAAACTTTTCTATACACTCATTAATTTAAGCACTCGCTCGCAAGCTCGCTCGTGTCTAAATTAAATTCGTGTATAAAATGGCGTTTATCAAACTTGTTACATAATATACTATTAAAACGTTATAATTATAATAAAAATAAATAAAATAAAATAACAGTAACACTTTTATTTAAAAATTATATTTTGGTTTTTATAATTTTTCATCATCGAGTTTAAAAATTTTCCATGAAAAAAACATGTTTTTTTATTATTTCTTCCTGCATTCCAATTAGCCATATTTTGTTCATATAAATTAATTTGAAAATAAAAAAAAAGAAAGATTTACAAAAAACATGTAAAATAACCCTTATAAAAACAGTTCAATAGCTTGAATAATTACTTCAGAATTTGACTAGTAATCGTTGGCTTTTATAATTTTTTTATAATAAATTATATAAAAAACTAATTCTTATGGACATTTATAGTTTTTGTTATAATTTGTTCAAAATCGCTTAACAATATTTTTAACATAAAACCACAGTACTCAAATCAATTTAAAAAAATACTATCGAATGCTCCGGGGTAATTTCTTATATTTTAAAAATCGTATTAGATTTTATATATTTTTTAATAAAATAAATAAATTTTTTTTTAAATAATTAAAAAACTGCCATTTAGGGAACTTTTTAAAATGCACATTAGATCTTTATTTATTGACCTTAACATTGTAACTCGCTTTAAGTGCAAAAATTATGTAATTTACAAGATCAACACATTAACAAAACCATTAGTTTAAATTTCCCTACAAATTTACCAATTTACATATAACACTTGAAGCTCGACGAATGAAAATTACACGCAAATGTTCCTATTTATCAATTCAATGCCTATTGTTGTTTGTGTACAAACATTTCTTCGTCACCGGTAAAATTATAAATTATTTTTAAACTGTGAATAACATTCTCAATGTAATCAGATCACGGGAATAACCTTTAGAACAATAAAAAAGTACTAATGGTGTTCCTCAAGGTTCTACTAAACTGCGCCTTCTATTTCATTTTATAGGACAAGGAAAATTTGAGGTCTCAGATTTGGATCCAGCTCTAGATATTTGCACCCATTTGCAATACGGTTACGCAGCTATTAATGATAACACCTTAAAATTAGTGCCATTGAATGAGCAATATGATGTTATTAAAGATAATTACAGAAAAATCACAGACTTGAAATCCAGACATCCTAAATTGAAGACACTTCTGTCTGTTGGAGGAAATGAAGATACCACTGGTGAAGGGAATGAGAAGAACCTTAAATACAGAGAATTGGTAAGAGATTTCATTTAAATACCGTATTTTTATTCATGTTATTGTTTCTAATTTTATAGCTTGAATCTTCAACTAAAAGAATCGCGTTTGCAAACTCAGCTTACACATTGGTCAAAAGCTTTGGTTTTGATGGCATCGATTTGGCTTGGGAGTTCCCCGAAAATAAACCAAAGAAAGTCCACTCCACCATTGGTAATGTTTATATTAGTATTCAGTTATGAAAAAAATTATTTTTGTTTTATTTTCACGCAGGAAAACTCTGGAAGTCCTTCAAGAAAACCTTTACAGGAGACAGCATTTTGGACGAAAAAGCTGCCGAACACAAAGATCAGTTTGTAGCTCTTGTCAGAGAGCTCAAAAACGCTTTTAAAGCTGATAACTTCCAGGTTTCATTGACAGTTTTACCCAATGTTAACAGCTCTTGTAAGTTAAATCTTAAATTAAAATTCTTAATAGTACAATACACACAACCAAACTTACATGGACTCACGCAGTAATTACGAGAATAGTACATTCTGTAACAAGTTTGGAATACAGCATATTCCGCTCGAGGAAAAATTTGACACACGAGCCGAAGGCGAGTGTGACGGTTTTACGAGAGTGGAATATGCTATTCCAAACGTGTTTCAGACATTATTTTCTCTACGACTACGCTTATATAATTTTAAACAGAGAAAAGAAACCAAGCAGTTTTTGACATTTAAGTTTTTTGTCTTGTCAAACCATTTTGTGCCGTCACAATTTTATAATGTAAATTATAATAAATTTAAACAAATGGTATGCCTAAATCTTTATTATAATTAAAAATAGTTATTTACACTAACTAATAAAAAAAATAACATTGTAACAAATACAAAACTAATTTTACAAGTAATTGTATGATTAGAGGTGTCCCTCTATAAACTGTATGTTTCTTGGGATGAAAATAAAGTATTTTATTTTATTTATTTATTTATCTATGTCAACATCTATTCTTTTTCTACATTTTAAAGGTCTTTTTTTAAACTTTTTGAATCTGTCAAAACTTCAAAGCCGGTATAGTAGGTAACTGGTTTATCATTTTAATATCAAATTTATTATAATTTTGATTTGTATATTTGAAAAACAATAAATATAACCAATTTTTTGTGCCTAAACCTTAATTATACAACTGCTATTATTTTTAATTAATAAATAATACAGTAATATTTAAATATTTTTAAATTTTTTACGTTTACTAAACAGTCAGGAGATGTCGTTACTTGTGACCATTCTTAACCAAGAGTAGGAATATTCTCGCACAGTATTGCAGAAAAACATCCTTTCTATGATCAAAAATTACACTAGAATGTTACTATTCTTAAGTAGTCGTAGAGAAACATTATTCCACTTCAAAAAAAGTGATTTGGAAATAAAAAGCACTCTATCTGAACCAATCTTATTACAAAAATAAAGAAAAATTTATTAAAACAAATTTTTTAGAAAACAAATTACAAAAAATGTGAATTTCTCTGAGAATAAACTTTACAATAAATTAGAATTCTTCTTAAATTCCTATTTACCTTAAGTTTATTCTCAGAGAAATTCACATTTTTAATTATTTGTTACATATAAAATTTGTTTTAATAATTTTTTTCTTTTTTTGTAATAAAGTTTATGCTTTTTATTATTAATTCATTTTTTTAAATAAAATTCTGTTTCTCGTAATTACTGGGTAATTCTATATAAGATTGGTTGTGTCACACAACTTGTGTGTATTATAATTGAATCGGTGAGAATAAGAACAGTACAAGTCCAAAAATTTAATTTTGACAAGTCATTTTTTAAGTCAATTTTAAAGTTTAAAATGCATTTTTGTGAGAAGATATAAATTATTTTACAGGATTTGAACATTTTATTTTATAAAATAGTTAAAATATTCCCGCAAAAATGAATTTAGAACTATAAAACTGATTTTTTGAAATATTTTGTCAAAATTTTGACTTTTGGACTTGTACTGTTCTTAATCTCACCGATTCAATTGAAAGTATCAAAAATTTCCATCTTGAATTTTATTAATAAACTTCGAGTACCTATAACTAAGGTGACCAATCGTCCCGGTTTACCCAGGACAGGCTCTGTTTTTTGCTAATGAGTCCTGGTTTTAATTGTGTACTGCTTTTGTAATGGTTTTGCAGATTTGGTCCTGGTTTATACTATTTTATTTATTATTGGGGTTATAGACAATTTTTTTTAAAAGTGGTCTTTAATTTAAAAATCTAAAACTTAAGTTTAATTAAGTACTAATTAGTAGATATCTTTAGAATAGTAAAAAAGTAAGAAAAAACCTCGTTTGAAAAAAATATATAAAAACGTATTACTTTTTAGGATTTTTATTATTATTTTTTTAAAAAGTGGTCGGTGCTAAAGTTAAAAATTAATTTACAATTCTGAATTTTTGGGAGTACCTTTAGGATAGTAAAAAAGTAAAAAAAACGCGTTTGAATTTTTTTTTTTTTAATTTTTCCAACTTTATTAGGATTGGTTTAATTTTTTTTATTAAAAGTGGTCGGGGCTCAGGTTAAAAATTAATTTTTAAAATCTGAGTTTTTGGTAAAGTAAAAAAGTAAGAAAAAACCTCGTATGATTTTTTTTAAATGATGAGTTTTCCCACTTTTTTAGGATTTGTTCTATTTTTTTTATTATAAGTGGTCAGTGCTCAGGTTTATACTATTTTTTTTATTTTAGAGGTTATTTAAAATTTTTTTATTAAAAGTGGTCGGGCCTCAGGTTAAAAATTAATTTAAAAATCTGAATTTTTGGGAGTACCTTCAGGATAGTAAAAAAGTAAGAAAAAAACTCGTTTTTTTAAATTATGAGTTTTTCCCACTTTTTTAGTATTTTTTCTAATTTTTTGTTAAAATTCGTCGGGACTCGGGTTAAAAATTAATTTAAAAATCTGAATTTTTGGGAGTACCTTCAGGATAGTAAAAAAGTAAGAAAAAAACTCGTTTTTTTAAATTATGAGTTTTTCCCACTTTTTTAGTATTTTTTCTAATTTTTTATTAAAAGTCGTCGGGACTCGGGTTAAAAATTAATTTAAAAATCTGAATTTTTGGGAGCACCTTCAAGGTTAGTAAAAAGTAAGAAAAAATCTGGTTTTTTTAAATTATGAGTTTTTCCCACTTTTTTAGTATTTTTTCTAATTTTTTATTAAAAGTCGTCGGGACTCGGGTTAAAAATTAATTTAAAAATCTGAATTTTTGGGAGTACCTTCAGGATAGTAAAAAAGTAAGAAAAAACCTCGTTTGAAAAAAAAATTAAAAAATTATGAGTTTTTCCCACTTTTTTGGATTTGTTTTATTTTTTTTATTAAAAGTGGTGAGGGCTCGGGTTAAAAATTAATTTAAAAATATGATTTTTTGGGAGTACTATCGTCAGGATATTTTTTTGTTATTGACGTTATTAGCACATCTTTTTTTAAATAATAAACATTAAATAAAAAATAAATAAATATGGTTTATTTTTTGGAAGGGAGAGGAGTGGCATTTTGTGTCCTGGTTTTTCATTTTAGAAAGTTGGTCACCTTAAGTATACCTATAGGTATCCGTCTCATTCTCATTCTACATCACATTAAATATAAATCTTGTGTATTGTAAAATTGTTTTTTAGTATTCTACGACCCAAGAAACTTAGCTCCAAACTTGGACTTTGTTACAATCCAATGTTTTGATTATTATACCCCACAACGTACCCCAGAAATCGCTGACTACCCTGCACCTTTATACGAACTCATTGATAGAAGACCAGATGAAAATTGTGATGCCCAAGTCAAATTCTGGTAAGCTAAACTTAAAATTTTAAAAATTTCTATTAAATTGGACTATTTTTTAGGATGCAAAATGGTTTTCCAGGCAGCAAAATCCTTTTGGGAATCCCAACTTATGGAAGGACATGGCATTTGACCAGTGATGCCAAGGTCGATTCTGTTCCTCCAGAGGGTCTGGACGGACCCGGAGAAGCCGGACCTTTCACTAAAGAGTCCGGTATTTTGAGTTACCCCGAGATTTGTATGAAGGTTGGAAACCCCCATGCCGCCAAATCCAAACCACCATCCCCCACTGATTTCAAGATTATTCCTGATGCCACCAAGAAACGAGGTAAGAAATACAGAGTGACACCTAATAAATTGTCATCCTTTGGGGGAATGATAGTACACGCCAAAACAATAAAGTTTTTCCTTTATCATGTTTGCATTTTTTAAAGGATGACAACTTATTTAGTGACCAGTTTTTCAATGTGTTTTTTAACTTTATATTCCTTCCAGGAGTCTATGCTTACCGTCTACCTACCGACAATCAACAAGGCATCTGGATTGGTTACGAAAGTCCGGAAACAGCTTCCATCAAGGCTGAATACGTCAAGGCCAAAGGTCTTGGAGGTGTCGCCCTTGACGATTTGACCTTGGACGATTTCAAGGGCGTTTGCGGGTACAACAGATACGCCATCTTGCAATCTGTCAGAACCACATTGCAATAATAATGTTTTTAAGAATTAGAATTTTTAGTTGAATATACATTTTTAAGTTATTTTTAGTAGTTTCGTTTTCTGCCAAAAAAATCCTCAAATGAGATAGAGACCTTTCAAATGCAATAAACTAAATCATGGGTGAAATTTTGGAGAACAATAAAAGAAAGTAATTATTGATAGTTTTTATTGGAAAAAACAGTTTTATAAATATGAAAATTTGTCAATTTAAAACACTTAACTTAGATTAAATATTTAGAAATATTTACACATAAACTAACGCCCTCTACCGCGAGAGCCACCCCCTCTACCGCGAGAGCCACCCCCTCTACCTCCGCCTCTAGAGCCGGCCCATTTGGGGGCACCCCCGAAGGTTTGCGATCTGTTAAAGCCTTTGTTTTGACCTTTGCCTTTGCCCTGAAAATAAATACCTATTTATCTACTTACTTTATAAAAAACACAACACACCAATATTAAAACTTAAGATTAAATAGGGGGGGAGATGATGCAAAATACTTTATGTTAAAACCAAAATCCTAAAATCTAAAACACAAAATTCTTACCTTGGGTCTAAAATGGCTCTGGAAGTCTTTGGGTTTCTGTGCCCCTGAAGCACCCCCCTGGAATTGCCTGTAGTCTACAGAAGAATAATCGAAGCTATCTTGGGTAAAATTATTTTGTCCTTGTTGATTCTGAGGATTTTGTTGCCTATTTGGTGTCCTGTTTCTGTTATTTCTATTTTTACCTCTACCACCTTGTTGTACATTAGGACTATTGTTCTTATTCTGTTTTGGTTCTTGATTGTTGCCTTGATTACCTTTTTGGTTTTTGTTTTTGTTCTTTTTATTGTTATATCCCTTATTTTTTTGCTGCTGTTGTTTCTGTGGGGTACCCTCACTATCAATCTTGAACAACTTACTAGGACTACCATTATCATGGTTATCACCAGATTTCCTCTTATTCCTGTTAGTATCCTGATTATTACTAAAACTGATTATAGGCACTGGGGTTTGTATATTGCTCTCTAACCCATCATACATCAAATTAAATAGTAAATCATCCCCAGAAGTCCTCCTTTTCCTCTTCCTAGTACCCCCCATCTCTATTAACGACTGACTTTCAACCGTCTGCCTCTTCAACTCCATGTAATGCTGTTTAACCTACAAAACCATCACATTACCTACCTGCTGTTCTGCTTCGCGACAATATGCTTACCGATTCGATTCTCTGCGCATCGCTGCGCTCTTCTTCTGCCGCCTTTTCTGCCCTTTGGTCTTCTTCTTCTTTTTCCTGTTGCAACCGCTCTTCCTCAGCCTGTATGAACGGTTTTACCATCGTGTATCTTTGATATGGCGCTAGGAATTTGATGGTTTCCTGATTTGCGTTCGTTGTTTCGTCCTCGGAATTTTCCGGTGTGTTAAAAACGGAGAATAAAGACGCGGTTTTTTCGGTACCCACACTTTTTTCCAGCATTGAAAAAATTGAATTGTTGCTTTGATCGTTTAGTAATGTAGGTAGGTCGTCTCTGAACTCGCTGGCTTTAGTGAGATCATGGGGACAATTTAACGGACTATCGACGTTTATTTTTGATACTTTTTTCGTTTGCCCTCTAGCTCTGGTGTCTTCTTGTAGGATGGCCTAAGAAACCTTGTTAAAAACATTTTTAACGTTTAAAATATAAACCCTACCTTGTTCAAAGGCTGATCACGAGCCTTGAGCACTATGTGGTGAAGATCTAATAAATTAGCCTTAACCAAGGGCGGAATTGGGTTGCAACAAGCCAAAACCCCGTGCATTTCGCGTGGTAGACTTTCCGCTATTTGCAATAACATGTGATTGGGTAAAACATACCTAAAAATATTCATTAGTCATTCTACCCTTTTTATTAATGACCTTACATTAAAAAGTGAGAAGAAGATAGATTGCGCATCTACCCTCTCCTTACTCCAAGGTTTTTTATTAATAACAGTGATATTATACCCAGTACTTTCATCTTCTTCCCTTGATATGGTATCCCTCCACTTATATAACTCTTTTAAGGCGTACAACTGCCTATTGTCAAACATTCTTTTGCATTTCCTATAGAAATCCATGTAGCTATCCTCCCTTAGTACAGGTTTAAAATACCTCTACAAAAATTACAAAATCTTTTTTTTTTCAAAAAAAGCCTTAATGATTCCTTACCCTCAAACAAACATCCCTACTCCTCTGAAAAACGCTTTTCAACAAATTATCCTGCCCGTTAGCTTTTTCATACAAAGCCTCCTTAAGTTTCTGATAAATATAGATGAGATAGTGTGTATCCTCCCTAGCATAGGATTTTAATTCCTCAGGCAGTGGCCTTATCCTCCAATCAGCCAATTGGAACTGCTTATTGGGCATGAAATTGCAAAACCTGTTTAACAAGTAAGCCAATGAGAGGCGAGAATAGTCCAAAAGTTTCGCTGCTTGGAACGTATCGAACATATTCACGATGTAGAGGGATAAATCTCTTTGCAGCCATTGGATGTCTGATTCGGCCCCATGGAAAACCTATGAATAAATGATAAACATCATAGTAGGTTATAAAATTGGGGAGTTAACCTATAAAACATCATAGGAGGCGGTCCCGAGGTTTTAAATGGGCGGAGTTAACCTATAATAAAAAACAATTGATTTACCTACCTTAACAACGCTTGATTTGGTAAAAATTTCGTTTAATACATGTAAATTATCCCTTAGAGCCAGAGTGTCAATTAAATAGTCTTTTTCCGTTGTGGAAATTTGCATTAAACATGTTATCCCCATAAACGATCTATAAGAATGATGTTCTAAATCTATAGCAATAACTTTAAATTTTCTCAGGTCTTTAACTAATTTTGTTAATTGTTCTGGTGTAGAAATTTCAATTAAGGGAGTTTCTGCAGTTGGCCTTGGCTCTTGAGGTGGTTCTTTAAATAAATCATCTGCTGATGGAGTGAATCTTTCCAATTCAAATTCATATGGATGAGAAAACCTAAAAAATGAAAAAAACCATTAAAAAAGTCCATAAAGAAGCACCTGAAACTTTTTTTTTCTAAATTCCAAAGACTAAAAATAATTTATAATAACCTTTATCCTACCAAAAAGTACACTGATCGACTAGACTAATCTGGTTGCCCAATTTAATGTATTATGTTATGGTTGGCAACAACCAGCGTTTTCAGATTCTAACAAAAAAGTTGCCAATTTTTTTTTAAGTTAGTTTAATTACAAAAATGACAAAATCAACAATGCAAATTGTTAATTTGACGTTTTTATTAATTGTTTATTATGACATTTTTGTAATGAAGGTAAATTCAAACAAAATCTGGCAACTTTTATGACAGAATCTAGTGCATGCAAATGCATTTCTTTAAAATTTTAGTTTATGTGCTCAAATTGTAAATATCTTAACTAAGGGAAGTGCTTTTGGATTTATTTACACAAATTAAATGTTTAAAGTTTAACCTGTGAACTTGTCCTAATTTCATCTGAGTAAACAAAAAGAAAAACCGAAGAAAATATTAATTTTGTGGTTATGGAGTTTTTAAAATAGGTACTAAATTTTCTAATCATTGCTTAAGCTAATAGCTGGATAAGTAAATAAATACAGAAGGGTATTAGAGCTTTAAGGGCATAAAACTTTTAAATTTATTGAGTTTTTATTTATTTTTTGCAAGAAAAAATTTTAGTAACAATTTTTTACAACTGGCAACGCGCAGCTACTTTGTTGGTTTGTATCTATCAGGGACCCGGACCCAAATGAAATAACGGTTCCTGTCCGGTTCCGGTTGTGAGAGAAACGACAAATTTCGGTTCCAAAAAAAATATTTCTGTCCGGTTCGGATTAATCTTTTCGGTCCATACGGTTCTTTTCGGTTCCAATTTTTTTACCACATAGGTATAAATAAGTAAAATTATAAAATAAAAAATTTATTTTTTTGTAAATTTGTAATTAAATTACTATGTGTAATCTTTTTTCCAATCAGGTTCTTCAATATTAGGCTCTTCATTCTCGTTTCTTTAATTTTATTCTGATCTTGCAATTGAAAAACTGGAAAATTCATATTTAAAATAAGTTATCCAAAAATAAAAAAACTTTAAACTTTTTCTCCAAAAATTATGTTGGTTCAGTTTTAGGTTTTAACGCTTACTTACTTGTGTTGCAGGTGTCATATGTATACATAATACTAGGCAACACTAATTAATAAAGCCCACTACAAATGTACCTACCACCCATGCTAGTCAAGATACATACACCTAGTCATTTTAATATATCAGTCTTCAACCTACTCTGGTATTATTTAAATTATGGCGCAGTCGGTGAGATATTTTGAAGTGGGGACTTAATTAATTACAGTGTTGCCTAGTATTATATAATTTAAATTTACAAAAATTATTTATAAAGCATTTACAATTGTTATTAACACAGCAGGAATCCCTAATAATACTTGTGCTAGAGTGTATAATTTATAAAGTTCATTTTTTTTTATCTGGACTGCGGCAACGTTGCAAATTTAGGGTTTTGGTTGGTAAATACAGTTGTCAAGTTGGTCGCATTGATTAAAACAAACTAAGCTAGTTATAAATCTAATTGTGGTTATGTATAAATTATTGTAGGTTACATTGTGCAGTTGTCAAGTTGAATTGTCGAAATTCGTAGTTAAAAATGCATCTAAATTGGCTTTGGTGGTGCTTGGATGAGTAAAATCATATAAAAAAAGTAGTTAAATATAGGTAGGTTGCTTTACGGCCCAGAAGAGAAAGTATTCCTAGCGGATAATAATCTTTGCTTTGAAAAGAATTTATATAAAATATAAAAAAAAAATTGTGAACGTAAATGTTGTCCAATGGTGAATAATGTGAAAATAATGTAATATTAATAAAACCAAATTCGTTACTTTTTTACTCCAAAAATGTCCATAAGGCAATGTACTTTTTCTTCCATTGTGACATTTGTCATAATGTCATCAAAATTAAGTTTTGCCCTCAAAAGGGCTTTTACATTCGAATTCGTTGCTATTATTTTTGGCATAATTATCTTTTTATTTATAATTGACAAGTAAATTATCAATAATAAATATTATTCTCAATTTGACAGTGTCAAAGTATTTAATTAAATTCTTTAGCAGAAGTACCATTTTTTAATACTAAAAATACTAAGTCAAACTGGCATAAGCCATCAACCTAACAAAAAAACAGTCCAGATAAAAAAAATGAACTGTAGATTTATAGCCCATGCTCAAATATTTTTTTGCAAAAACAAATTTTATCAACGAAACAAAATATATTTTTATTGATGACGCAATGATATAAATAACCTCAATTTTAGTGTCATTGACAGATACCTAACCCCAATTCTACGATTTTTTGTTATTGCATTGTATTGACTAGTGCTTGATGCAATGTTATTGAATTTTATTTATTTTATTTAAAGATCAGTAAAATTACTATAAATATTATTTGATAAACTTAAAAATCTAAAATTAACCAAAATGCACATATATTTTTGTTCAAAATGACACTTATTAATATATTCCATGTTTTCCATAAAACCCTGTATAAAAAAAGCCTAATTTACACAACAAAAACTTACTCTTGTCCATTTTCAGTTTGTTCCAAAAAAATTGCCAATGGTTTCAAAGAGTTAGGTTTATCTGTAATTTTGGGCTCCCAAGGTGAATCCAAGGCATTATTAATTTTATCCCTGAACAAACTTTGAGGCCTGATGATATTTTTGGCTGTAAGCAGCCTTACTGAATTGGCATTTGGTGTCGCATTTGATGTCTGTAACAATCAAGTGTGAAAATTTCAGTTAGTGTATGTGTCAGTTAAAATTGCAGTGTAACTTACCATTGAAGAGCTTACTGAAAATGTAGCGTTGTTTACGCGATTCCAGGACCCGTTTATAGGAAGTTCAGCACTCACAGCTTGGATCACTATAGGTTCGTAAGTTGATTTTCTTATGCCATTCATTTCATCTATGTGACCTGCCACTTTTTCAAGTATCTGATCATTGGCTTCGATTATTACTTCCGTTGCTTCATCCCTAATGCGGTTTCTAATGCTACCTTCGATTTCATTAGCTCGCAGTATTGTGTTTATCAATTTTTGAATTGTGTTCCTTTCATCGGACATGATTTTTTTGAACGCATCGTGCGTTTTATAGAAACTCCAGTCCCTACCACCTGGGAGGGCATTTGAGTGCTTTATTGCCTGCACTAGACTTTTAAATCCTTCCTAAAACCATGCTGGTTATGATGAACATAACCTAAAAATTGTTCTCACATACCTTAGTAAAATCTTCTATGGTTTTATAACCCGGCAGGATTTCTTTATTTTTATCTGAATCTTTAGCTGTATTTCCTGATTTCATCGTGGAATTTTCTCCACTAGCCATGTTTGTATAAATTTGACAAATACATAGATATTTTAACTAATGGAAATATTTGACAGATGACATTTTCACTAACTTAAATTTTCATTTACGAAATAAGTTCTTCTTCTTCTTCTTAATTCTGAACACAATTCTGTGTTCAGAGGAATGACCTTTAGCTTAATTTAAAAGCTATTTGGCCAGCACATTATATTTTTCGGTTTCCACCAAGATCAAGGGACTCAATTAAGAGTATCTGAGTTGTCTCATCCCTTGGTCTAATTGTTTTTTTTTTCTAGGTTATATTTCCAGGTGTATTTTTTGCTAAAATGGGTTTAGTAGGGTGTTAGTACGGACAGACGTTACAAACAAAGGTAAGACTTTTCACGCTTGGGGGCAGCGGCCAAGCGACTTTGACAACCCAGTAGATGCTACCTCGGTATAGGAACCCAGGAAGTGTTATTGGAAGGATCTGTAAAAAGAAATAGATAGAAATAAATGTTATAATATTATTTTGTGGTAGTCCATAAATTTTAATAGTATTTTTATGGTTTTTTTATTAAGGTTTCTCAGAATAAGTTGTAGGTTTGTCGGTAATTCTAATCCATTTTGTCCTATTTCGAAGTATATGTCGCCATTGATTGGGCATTCTAGTAAAATGTGTGTTAGGTCACCCACTTGTCCGCATTCGCAGTAGGGGTTTTCTAGTATACCTATTCTGTGTAGGTGTGCGTTTGTAAGGCAATGTCCTGTTCTTAAGCGCATGATAGCTGTTAGGTGTCTTCGATTTTGTATTTTGTTGGTATAGAACCACGGTTTATTCGGAAGTTCGTCGACTATTTTTCCATACCAGCTCCCTGTTCTAGGAAATGTTTTTAACCATTCCTTGTTGTATGCTTGGTAAAGTTCTTTTTTTAATTCAGGTAGTATTTCTGTCATCTCTGGTTGAAAGTTTAAAGGGACATTAAGGTTTACCCCAATATTTGCTAGTTGGTCTGCAACTACATTTCCGTGGATTTCGTCGTGTCCTGGTACCCATGCTAATATAAAGTCAAAATCGTTTTCTGTGGCTATTGTAATAAACCTTTTAGTGGCAATCGATATATATTGGTCTTTTGATGAGTATTTATTGTTTATTAGTTTTTCAAGGGCACTAGCAGAGTCTGTTAAAATTAGGTTACGTTTGATATTTTTAGAGATTGCAATTTCTACACCCTTGCAAATTGCGGCCATTTCTGCTGTGCATATCTGGAGATGGTCTGGGAGTCTTGCCGAAAATCGAATATCGTTCTCAGGCATATAGATTCCTATACCCGTTTTATGTTTAATTTTTGATGCATCTGTATAAATGATGTTGTATTTATTTGTTTTAAATTTTTCGAGTTCTGCTAAAAAATTTATTTTATTGTTTATATAATTTTTTCTTAAGTTTAGATTTTTTTTTTTAATTTGGGCAAACTGGTAACAATATTCGATTTCAAAGCAAGGCATGAGATCACTTCTTCTAATTTTATTTAAGTATTTATTAAGTAGGGGTGTTACTTGGATGATGTAGGGGTATTCTTTTGATTTCCAATATGTGTTTGGTTTTAAGCAGTCTTGTTTTAGCATTGCCATAATGGGATTTAAGGGGTGAGATTTAAATTGAACTATTTTTGATAAGAATTTGGTTGTTAACCATTTTCTTCTTTCAGATAATGGGGGTTCTGCACATTCTGCAAGTAGGGCGTTGTTTGGAGTGGTTTTCATAGTGCCTGTAATAACCCTTAATGCTTTATTCTGGGTGGAATGAAGTCTATTTTTTAAATTTTTTTGTATGGGACTTAATAAAATTGATCCGAAATCTAGTTGTGATCTTACTAGACCATTGTATACCATTAACAATATTTTGGGGTCTGCTCCCCAGTAAACCCCTGCTATTGCTCTCATCACATTAATGCCTTGGTTGGCTTTAGCAATCATTCCCGTAACCTGGTTGTTCCAATTAAGGAATTCGTTGAAGGTAACTCCCAAATACTTGATATTTGCCTGCTGTTTTATTTCCTTATTTCCTATTTTTATTGTTGGTGGTGATTGTTTACTTTTTCTTTTCCTGAACCATATGAATTCAGTTTTGTCTGATGATATTGAGAGCTTATGTTTAGAAAACCATAGATTTATCTTATTTAGAGTTTTGTTAATGGTTTCTGTCATTTTTGTTATATTGTTACCCCTGGTAAAGAGAACCAAATCATCAGCATATGACAGCAGGCATGTATTTTTGGGAATTACCTTAAATATTGATTGGATATAGATATTAAATAGCAATGGGCTCAATGGGGATCCCTGTGCCAGACCATTCCCGACCACTGCAGGGCCATGAATATGGTTGTCGCAATCCCTAATAAACAAGTTCCTGTGAGATAAAATATTATAGATTAAATTTGAGTAATTATGAGGTATGTTGAGTTTTGATAAGTAATTGTAGATGATTGAGGTGTTTACGTTATCATATGCTGCTTTTATGTCAATAAAAATGGCTAGTATGGTTTCATTTCTGCTAAAAGCAAGGTGTATGTTGGATGTTAGGTATACAAGGTTTTCTGTTATACCCATACCCTTTCGAAATCCAGTTTGGAATTTGGAAAGTGTTTGTGAGTTTTCTATAAACCATTCTATTCTATTTTTTAGGATTATTTCTAATGTTTTTAAGAAACATGATGCTAATACTATAGGTCTATAGTTGTTGGTTTCAGGTTGTTTATTTGGTTTTAAAATTGCTATTATCATGTAATCCCTCCACTGGTCGGGAATGGTCTGTGTCTTAATGCTTTCATTAAAGATGTTGCAAAGAATATGTGTAGCCTTTTCAGGTAAGTTATTTAAAATGGAGTACGAGATCTCATCCATCCCTGTTGCTGAATCTTTTTTGTATTTAATGGAGAATTTGATCTCTTCTACTGTGATTGGTGGGGCCTGAATGTCATTTGTCACTAATTGATGGTTAGGGTTAATATCTATTTTATTTAATTTTTCAAGGATTTTAGGTGCAATTTCATTGCTTGGGAGGCGGCTTTTAAAGTTACTATGATTGTTTGAGAATTTTCTTATTGTTTTCCATATGTTATTGATATTTGAGTCTCGATTTAGGGATGAACAGAATAATTTAAAATTTTCTTTTTTTTTCTTTCTTAAAAATCTTCTACATTTTGCAATTTGTTTTTTTACTTCTAAGTAATTTTCTAGGCTAGGGTTTGAATTGAATTTTTTCATGATTTCTTTTCTTTTGTTTATTGATTCTTGACATTCAGTGTCCCACCAAGGAGTGCAAATTTGAATTTTTTTATTTATTTTGGTTCTAGGTATTAGTTTTTCAGCAGTGATATTTATTGCTTGGTAAAGTATGTTAAAATCTTTACTCACCTCAGGTATTGATGAGATCTCGCACTCTAACTCTTTTGAGAACCTGTGCCAGTCTGTTTTTCTGAATTTCCTTCTTGCAATAGTCTCGTTTTGAATGATTTTGGAATTATTAAAAAAAATTGAGATAAATGTGGGGTAATGATCGCTAAAGCCACAGTCAGGGATTCTCATCCATGAGGATTTGGTTGCGAGTTCCGCTGATACAATGGATAGATCTATTGGGCTGTTGGGTTGATTTGGGTTTTGCAACCTGGTACTGCAATGGTCGTTGATCACAACTAGATTTTTGTCTGAAATGAATTCCGATATAATTTTGCCGTTATGGTTAACATGAGCACTGCCCCAAGAGTTGTGGTGTGCGTTTAAGTCTCCCACAATAAGCAACTGTCCATTTAACTCACTGACGAGGTTATAGAAAGCATTTTTTGATATTTTGTCTTGTGGGGGACAATATATACCTATAATATTTAAATTATCGATTTTTATAGTTATTTGTTGAATTCTGTCATTGTTAAATTTGAATTTGTTAATTTGAGTATGTTTAATGTTACTTTTAATGAGTATTGCGACTCCACCATACCCATCTGATCGATCTGATCTGATGGTATGAAATCCTGTAAATGAGAATTTAAAATTGGGTTTTAACCAAGTTTCATTAAGAATTATTATGTCAGGTTCATTGTCCCTCACAAGATTAATAAGATTGTGTTTGTTGGAATTTAAACTGCGGATGTTCCACTGTAGAATTTTAATTCCCATTTTTAGGCTTGTGTATTATGTGGTGAGTTTTGGGTATGTTCAGTTGATTGTTGTGTGAGAGTGTTTTGAGAGTTGTATATTTTTTCAAATTCATAAAAGTTATTAATGTTTTGTGATCTTGGTTGATCATTGTTTGGAGAGGATAGCTGATCAGAGTTTGGTGAGGATAGCTGATCAGAGCTTGGAGTGTTTGGGTGGCCCACTCTTGGGGAGGATGGTTTTGATAGGATTGTTAATATAGGTGATATTGGTGGACTACGGCCATTTGGACTAATTAAGCATGAGTGGAATGATGAGTCATTGGTACTGTTTCCTCTTTTTTTTTTCTTTGTTGGTGGGGATATTATTGTAGTGGTGTTATCAGTTTGTTGGGGTTCTCTTTGTTCTCTTTGTCTTAAGGGGGGGAAATCACTGGGGTGAGGTCTGTATTCAGGTTTAGGAAGGTATGTTTTTGGTATTTTTTCTGATGCATCAAAGAACGAAATGTTCTCAAATGCCATCTTTTTTTTTATTTCCCTTTGGCGTTTGAATTCAGGACAGTTTCTATTTGTTGATTTGTGTGACTTTTTACAGTGGTAACATACAATAGTATTGCATGGTGCATCATCATTATGTATTTCGGTACAATTTGGACATTTTTTTTTACCTTTACAATTTTTTTGAGTGTGACCGTATAGTAGACATTTAAAGCATTGTGTAACTGGGGTTATATAGGGGTTAATTTTTATTGGGAGACCAAAGATGTTAATTGATCTCGGTAGGTTTGTTCCTTCAAACATTATTAGCAGAGTTTCTGAAGGAACATAATCAATTGTTGTTTTACCTGTTTCGTCTTTGTTTATGATTTTTTTATCGAGTCTTTTCATTTCTAGGATTTTGCTTGGGGATGATATGGCAGTACTAATTTCTGTAATTGGAATGTTTAGATCTATGCGTAGGGCTACTCCCTTGCACGAAACCCTATTGTAGGGAATGTATAAATTGTAATCTCTTTCTTTTAGTGTTTGATTGTCAACAATTTTGTTTGCCGCATCATAATTATTAAAAATAATACTTACTCTGTTTTTACCCTTGGCAGTAATTTTCTTAACATTATCTATTTTGAGGTTATATATATCCCTTGCCAGCGCTAGGTGATTATATTTTCCGATGTTCTGGTTTTTTGCTTCCATGCAGACCTCGAACGGTCCGAAGTTATTGGGTTCGTATTTCAAGGTGAATTTTTTTTGCTGGGTTTTTTTCTCCATATTGGTTTCCATGTTGAAATTTTTGTAAATTTTGGACTTACCGGCAGTATCTTAATACAGCTGCTATTTCTTTTAAGAAAGGTTGAATAGACAGAGGATTTGTTAGTATTACGTAGTTTTCGTTGATTAAATACACCAATTTTAAGTTTTACTTCACTTTTTTCTTTAGTAAATTTGTAGTACGTGTTGCCTTTACAGTGAACAACGCGCGAATCTGGAAATAAGTTTATTTTCTCGTTTTTCATTATTATTATCATGGAGCCTATACAAGGAGCCCGAACTTCATGTAAACAAGAATCTTCCCAAGATAAGAGGGCGCTGGTGTAGGTCCAAAACAGTAGAGTGGTATAACCAGAGATGGCGCCACTACCTACCACTTATTTTTGTGGAAATAATTGAGGTTATGCAACTGTCAGTTTATCGCTTTCTGAAAACAATGTACCCATCACAATCCACACAACAAGGTCTGTTCTTCCTCGATAAAATGCGAACGAAAATCAGGACTGTTATGCGCACCACGTGAACAGTTTAATGGCCACCATCTTTGATTTATTTGCCGCTGTTAATTTAAAAATAAAAAGTTGTTTAAAGTTTTAATGTAAACGCAAATGTTTGTTTTAAACAAAAGCTTTGACAAAAATATGTTAATTGGGGAATTTAATTAATAAATTATTAAAGATATCTTTATAAAAAGGTATTTTGAGCAAGTAAATATATATAGTTGTTTCAAGTTTTAACGTATACGTTTATAAACAGAAATGTGTTAATTAAAATAAACACAAGTACACTATTACTTGTGTAAATTAAACATTATTTTACAATATGGTAATCAATAATTATTTTAATAATTAATAATAATTATTAGGTATAACTTTTAATACATTTTCTTAAAAATTGATTATTGGCAATATTCAAATCTTTAAATAAAATTATCAATGATGAAAGTATTTTAGCAAGTAAAAATGGATGTACATGACCATAGTCGATGATTTTTTTAGAAATTAAAAGTTAAGATAAAGTAATATAAATCAAAATAATTTAATTGCAAATTGATAATTTTTTAGTAAATTAATTTTTGAAAGTACGGAAATTATTAATGGTGAAGGTAGGATTTCTAGTAAGTAGATATATAAATAAAACAAAAAAATATAATATATATTTTTAATAAAAAATAATCAAAATAAATATGAATAAACTTAAACATAAATAGTATTTTTTAAATACCTACACTTAAATTTTTACATATAATTTAACAAAATAAATATATTTCTTTATGCTTATAAAATAATACAATTTAGCATATTTAAATTGATAAAAAAATAATAATAAAAACCTAGGTAACATATTTAATCCCTAATTAGGGTTAACTAGTCAACTACTAACACAAAATTTAATAAAATACGTTTTAATAACAATACTTTCTAATAACAATTTCATATAAAATCAAATATTTAAAACTTAATTTTTACTACACTATAATAGTTTCCACCTTTTTCTTTGGTTTCCACTGGTTAAAAGGTATTGAATTGTATATATATCACAGTTTTGGTAAAATTGATTAATTATTTATTAGTACATTTTTGTTTTTTTTATTTTATTTTAAAAATTACCTTTGGAAAAAGGTCCAATGTCCAAATAAATAAAAAAAAATATGTAAAGGGCAGACATATTTTAATTTTTTGTTTTATCCTCTTCCTGTAACATTTGGCATTAGGCAGGTCATCCAATGGTTCAGAACTGCTAATTTAAAAATAACATTCATTTTATTATGTTTTTTATTCCAAATAATTTATATTACCTTTTTGGCACAAGTTGCTTCATTTGGTAGATCTACAAACATTTCTAATGTTTCGGATCTGTAAATTTCATAGTTGGAAAATTAGTTAACAGATATAAAAAATAAATGGTATAATATTGTTAATTGAAGACTCTTCACTTAACAATAATATAATATTACCTTTCAGGCAAATGCAAAGTTGGAACAGCATTCTCAGTAAGGCCTCGGTAGGCTTTAGGTGGTGACAAACCATATAAAACTTTGTGTGGATGTCTTCCCAAATATTTTGGCTCAAAATGTATAGCACAAATTCGATCTAAATAAATAATATACATTAATAATTATGTTTTGCACACATTTTAGTGAAACTTACAAGACTTTGGTTTTTCCATTATAACCATTGAATTATCAGCAGCCTCAATCCATTCTTTGGCTTTTCTTTCTCAGTAAGGCCTCGGTAAGCTTTAGGTGGTGACAAACCATATAAAACTTCGTGTGGATGCCTTACCAAATATTTTGGCTCAAAATGTATAGCACAAATTAGATCTAAGTAAATAATATACATTAATAATTATGTTTTGCACACATTGTAGTGGAACTTACAAGACTTTGGTTTTTCCATATTAACCATTGAATTATCAGCAGCCTCAATCCCTTCTTTGGCTTTTATAGAGTTTATTTCAAAATAGGCACTAATTAGTGTTTATAAACAAGTACACTAGTACAGTCAACTGCCAATGACAAAATCAACACAAACAGGAGCGCACTCAACTGATTCACAGTGTGAATTTCACACTGGTAACGTCAATAAAACCAAACAGGAACACACAGGAGCAAACTCAACTTATGTCAATAAAATCCAATAAACTAACAACGTTTAAAACGATTATTAATCTGTATAAATAGAGCACAAATCCAAAGCATAAAGATTGTAAACAACAAAAATGGCCGCCTTTAAACTGTTTGCAGTGGGTTGCCTACCTCCGTGATTTTTAGTATGCGCGAAACGAGGAAGAACAGACCTTGTTGTGTGGATTGTGGTACCCATGTACCTGGTTTTGTGTATAAAGGTCTTAATTTACAATAAATTTATATCAAATTTAACATTGGAATTAATGTTGGACTTTCTGATGTAGAGTATAGTACAGTTTTTTATAAATACGTGTTTTTTTCTATAAAAGAATGTCGTGTGATGCTAAATCGTGTTCTGTGTGTAAAACTAACAGAATATTAAATCCATATGGTATTTATTTTTAGTTTTATAGGTAGATGGCTTAAATAAAAGTTCAATATAAACAAATAAAGGTGGAAATTATTAAATATGATGTTTACTCATTTTATACATACTTTTTTATTTAAATTAAATTTAAATTATTAAATAGCGGTGTATTTCTAACCTGGAAATCTAATTTTGCCTCTCCAGAGTCGTAAAATCACTTCACAGATTATAAAGAATCACTTATATTTCACAACCAAAACCTATTTATTTTGCTTCTCCAGAGTCGTAAAATCACTTCACAGATTATAAAGAATCACTTATATTTCACAACCAAAACCTATTTATTAGAATCTACCTACCAGGTACAGCCATAAATAACAAAACGATTCGTACGTCAAAACATTATTGCAAATCAATTGTCAAAATTACTTGCATACTTCACATGTATTTTTGATACTATTTTCACGTCATACGGACGCATTGACAAACAGCGCCGCTGGTGGTGAAAAAAAAAGACTTAATTTGTGCAATTTAGTGGACAGGTTTTGTCAATTTTCCCTATTAAGTTCGGGCTCCTTGTGTAGGCTCCATGATTATTATAATAGGAGTTATTATTCAATTGTTTATTCACTTCTATTGCATAATTTGTTTTTTTTAGTGATTATTGATAAACATTATAAATTCCCTGCCTAACAACGGGAAAAATGAACTCATTATTCACGTTGTTGGCATCAGTGATTGGCTGATTTTAATATTCACTGTGATTTGAACCAATCGGGTTTTAATTTGGAAGAAGGCGACTAACATTTAAAACTGAAAAAAGTGAGGTTTAACCATTTGACAAATGTCAGATTTCAATTAATTATTTTTCAAAATCATTCAATTTTCTACTTATTGGAGTAGTTAAAGTATATATTACACTCGAGATTATACGCTTCAAGTTCAAATTGGGAAAAAGTGAGGGTAAAACCGTTTGACAGATGTCAGATTGAAAAAAAGCGAGGTTAAAACCGCTTGACAGTTCTCAGATAAAATATATTTAAATTCTTATTGTGTTCGTCGTAGGTAAAGTTTGCTATGCAATTCCTTTTATAAACTTCTCAAGAAAACTAGTGTATTAAAAACTCTTAACTTAAGTCGTTTTTTCGCGTAAATACTATGTAATACTACGGTTAAATAAGTCATGACGTCACAGTTAATTCATATAACCATGGTTAGGTTTCTAACATTTGACATTTGTTTACTTGTTCATAACCTATAATTTTTTAAATGTGTTTTTACCTATTTATATTTAATTTCTATGCTTTTACCGGTGTAAATAAATTTCTTTGCCTCTTCTTATACTTCGTATATTCTTTTTCTATAGGTACTAGTTTTTTCAATACACGTTATCCAATTCTCCTACATGTTTAATACAAAATAAGGAAGAATATAAAACAAACCTGCATATAATTCATCCACAATATGGAGCACCCTATCATTTATTTTTACTGACAACACCCCGTTTACCATTTTAATACAAAGTTTAAATTCGGTTTAATAGCAATTGTACCTACTTAAAATATTTTAAATTTCAAATGTAAACAACTTTTTGACAGATCGAAACAGAAAAATATATATTAAAAAGAGAAAGACTATTAACCACATTAAATAACTAGCTCAGCGATATTTTTTTTTTTTTTAAGTTTTATTGGCTTTTAGGCTTTTTCAGCCTATTTAGCCAGCACATTATATGTATTTTTGTTTTAATAAACAATCACAACACCCAGGGCTGTGACCGGGAATCGAACCCGGTACCGTTAGACGCAGATTGCACAGCTTTGTAGCCTAACCCACTGCGCCATCCTCGGACCCAGCTCAGCGATATAGTTTTATGGTCTGGTATTTGTGACGTCATAGTTAGGATTTTTGAACGCACTCTAAACGCAAAAATGCCTTAACTATTAACCAAGGTTAAGTTTAATACGGCCATTTCAAGCGGATGGACGGGACAAATCACAAAACTGTTTTTATAAAAAAAATTGTAGCTTATTTATTATATATTATTTTTGCATCAAAATTGTCAAACAAATTCTTCTATTATTAGGGTATACATTAAATAAAAAAAATCGCAAGAAATATTTTATAAAAGTAGAGAAAATTTCAATAATTGACAGGGATGGACGGGACAAGATAAATCTTTTTTTTGTCCCGTCCACACCTTTCAATTATTAAAATTATATCTACTTTCATAAAATATTTCTTGAGTTTTTTTTATTTAATGTATAACCTAATAAAAGAAGAATATTTTTGCCAATTTTGATGCCAAAATATTATGTAATAAATAATCTACAATTTTTTTTATAAAAACAGTTTTGTAATTCGTGCGTTTCGCGCGCTTGAAATGGCCGAATAACCATAGTATTTCCATATACTTACCACAGTGTGTGGTAAGTATATGAGTATTTCATGGTATTTACGCGAAAAAACGACTTTAAATGGCGTTTAAAAAACTTCTTACTTTCCTAGGTACATATTGTTAAACTTCCAATATTATTTCTTATTTTTCATTCTTTTAAAGATAACATTTTAAATACCATAGTATTAATAAAACCGATTATGGTGCACTGTACAAAACAGATCCACCTCCTAAAGTAAGTTTTGATGCAAAATAATTGAACCTATTCATTTTATATGGGCCTATAAGTTTAATATATTAAACTGTTTTAATCAAAACTACTTTCTAAAATTGTTAAAGCAACAGGTTTCTTTGGTTTTGTTTATTTATTTGCTGCTGTATTTTGTTTGAGAGGGACAATTTGCTTTTTAAAGCAAAAACAGGTGAAATGTAGGTAAGATTAAGGTTTTTAAAACATTGCTTGAAAGGGTGATGGTAATTAACTTAAGTAGTTTTTCTTTTAGAAAACCATCACTACATTATGTCACCTGAATACACAGAAATGATCGCAGCAATTGCCTTTGGAATTTTGTCTGCAATTTTTATAAGCGCGTTTGTGATTCTGATAATAATCTGTAAAAGGCAGAAGTTGCTATACAAAGGAAACTATTTCGATGCACAAAGTGAAACATCAAGGTAATTATATATTTTTCACCGGGTTTGTTACAGTCTGTAACTTACAGAGAATTTGGATTATCGAATGGACGTCAGGGACATGCGCAATGGCAAAATGGTGATATTATTTTTGTACTGCGCATGACTCTGACATTCCCCAGCAAACGCAAGTCTGATTATGTAATGGCCCATTATATAGTTTCATGGCTTAATAATGGTATTTTTAGCCAAAGCTTTCCTTGTACTGGGCCTTTACAGGAATGTTTTAATAAAAATATTAATTTTGATAAAAGGCTGTCGTGATATGGTCTTGCAATGGCCCTTTTCAGGTTAATATTGGTAGATTTTACCATAAAAGACCCATATATGGCAATTTTTATTATCAATTTAACGGGACTAAAAAATCATGAAAGTGTCCTGTTTTCTGTATATACATATATATAAAACTTACATAAACCTTTAATAATTATTATACTTTGGTTAAGGCCATATTTTAAAAATGACGCCCAGTAGTATAGTTTTAATATAAAAAAATACCTAATGGTTGTTAAATTTAAATGAGTAAGTAGGTACATTTTTAATTTTACAATCAAATCAAAATCACATTCCCTGCACATGCCAGGAATATTCCCAGGAATATTCTAATCGTCCCAGAATATTCCCAGGAATATTCCTGGCATAATCAATCCGCTTTTTGATTAACCCAGGCATCATAAAAAGAATATTCCATATATCTGCCTGCAGAAGACTCAAGGATTATTAGGGGAATATTCCTTGATATAATTTGGGGATTATTCCCAGCCCATATTGCCTCTTATACCCAGGAACTTAACTTAAGTATAGCCATTTTGAGTTACTGAGTAGATCAGTCCCACTCTAATCATTGTTTGGCTGTGCCATCACAGACGCAAATCTCCAACTAATATTATTAACCTATCGGTATATATAGTTATCAAGCGTGCGTAAGCAACGGTGAGAGGTATTGCAACTAAACTAATGAATATTCACTGGGAATATTCTTAGATGATGCTTGGAAGTTTTAGAGGATCATTCTAGGAATATTCCCAATGAATATTCCTAGAATGAAGCGGAATATTCCTAGGCGATACGGAATATTCCTGGAATATTTTCGAACCTTCATTGCAGTCTGCAGATCTGGGTTGATAAGGTCAAAATTGGGGCAATTGTGAATAAAAGATATTAATAAGAAAACCTGGTTTTCTTTGTTATAGACCAAAAAAATCAAGTGAATTTATTTGTAAATATATATTTTTAACAATATTTTCTATTGCAACCCATGGGTTTAAGGATTTTTTTATTTAAAGATTATGGATTCCATTAAAGGAATCTAATAAACAGTTTTTAAAATAAATTTTTTATGTTTTACTTATTTTTTATGTTTTACTTATAGGTACAGGTCTTTATTAAAACATTTTTATTTTTTCTTGAAAATGTTTGAATGTTTTTTAGTATTACATTTCACGATAATATATTAATTAATGTAATGGATAAGTAAAGTGTTTATTATGGTGGATTAAATGTGTTTTGTTTATATTTATTGGGTCGGATATTCCAAAATAATCGAAAATTTTCATCGCGACCGTCAGAGATTGTATTGTGACGGTAGGGATAACAATTTCTGATTATCGTGGAATATCCTTATCTAATAAATTTAACCTACCAAATTTAATCTACCATAAAAGATACTTCACTTATCTATTAAAAATTATAATAAATAAAGGCACTTACAAGAACCATTCCATTTATTGATATACCTAGCTCGCTCAAGATTGCAGATTAAAGTTACAAATGAGGCAATCTAAAGTTTCTGAGATGGGGTGTTAAAGATTTTATAGTGTTTATTTAAATAACCACTATAACACCCCATATCAGAAACTTTAGCTTGCCACATTTGTACCTAAATATAACGATATCACCCACACTGGTGGCTAACGTTAACGACTTAAGTTAGTAATTTTTAATAATTATGTTAGTGAATTGGCCTGAATATGAACAGTTCCATTAAAGGTAGCCTTTAGGCCCTACCTTTAGTTCATTAAAGGCACGTTTGTGTCACGGTTGTGTTTGCTCATTTAACTGCAACGAGCTGTAGGAACAAAACTGTTTATTATATCCCGATTTTAGACCAGAAAAACAACTGATAGAACCGGACAAACCGGAATTGGAGCTGGGACAAGTGAATCCGAATCTAGAGGGCGTGTTGTACAACGACCAATGGGTGGACGACGCTAGCGGCCTCATTCCGCACTGCCTCTCAATTTTGAAGACTTGCAGATGTCTGACGGAGCGTCTGACAACGTTGGCGATGAGTTCGGTGCCGATGTCGGGACATTACACCAACTTTGTGGAGGTAGGGGCGATTGTCCGCCGAGAAGACGGGATCTAACACCTCCGGACTTTTTTTTAGAGCGCTAGAAGGATTTCCAGCAGAGTTGATGACATGGTAAAAAGTATGTACCCGCCCTTGGATGCGAGGCTTTTAGAGGCTAGAGCCGAGGCTCTAACCTTGGCGGTTACGCATTTGGCGTTAATTGCCAAATATGAGTGCGGAAGAAAGGAGAGGGGCGGTTTTAACTGGATTGACAGGGCGCTTTCCGACATGGAAGGACATATTTCAGTGAGTTTTCTTTTTATGCAACAGGGTTGCCAGATTTGTGTTGGACACAAAATGACCTGGCATCCCTGTGGATACTTTACAAACTTGTAAATAGGGTTTTAAAATTTTCAGAAAAATTGAGCCGGCTAAAAAAACGTTTATTTCCGGAAATAACGGAAAATTACCATTTGAATAAAACGAAAAAAATGCAAAAGTAAATTTTTCTGAAAATTTCCAAATTTGTACGGATACTATCTGTACCCTATATATCGAGAAAAAAGTGAATTTTCGACGCTGAATATAATCATAATATTATGATCATAATAATTATTTTTCCTTTCATTTTAATTCAGTAAGAATATTCTACCGGGTCGCAACTTTCTTATTATTTGATCAAAGTTATTTATAAAATTATAATTTTGTAATTTAACTTTATAAATCATTCATTTCTTACATCAATTTATTTAAATTTAATGTTTAGGTTTTTTTTAATTAAAATAATGTTCTTGATTTCCACTTTTTTCAAATGTGTAAATTTACAAAAAAAAAATTCACCAAAAAGCCAATTTTTCCAAGGCCTTGGAAAAAAACGACACTTTAAAACCCTGTGTAATGAAAACTTTTTTTTTAGTTTTTAAGGCAGGCAGCCAGCATACAGGAAAGTATAAGCAAAAACCAAAATGTATTATATCTTAATACAGTTATGTAGTAAGGCAAAACTATAAGAAATATACACTGATTATCAAAATTGTTTGGGTGATATTCTTTATTATTATATTTATTAAATAAATAAAACATATTTTGTTGTAATAGATTGGTTTATTACTGAGTTTTATCACAAAATTAACCCCCAAAAAAACGAAATTAATTATGTATAATATTATAATTTCTTAAATAAAAAATTTGTTAATTAATTAAAATACCTGATATTAAGAATGTGCACTTGTATATAAACAGTTTACATGGGCCAAAACAATTAGCTAGTGATTTTTAAAAAATTCCAAGAATTACAAGCAACATTATAGAAAATAAATAATTAGTAGTTTAAAACTGTATATGGCTAGAACGGCACAAATACAAGGCTTTATACTAATAAAATTAATTTACTATACAAAAAAAATACTACAATTATTTTCGTTTTGCGACATCCTTTAGAACTTTGGTTTTCAAGTGCTGCTTATAGTCCAGAATACCGCCTTGCCATTTGGTACAAGTTCCGTTCTCACATACCCAAATGGTATCTGCGACCTAAAAAAATGTTTGAGTTAACTATCTAAATAAATTATTCCGCATGCATATAATTTATGTAAGCAGGAAAAACTCACTGAAGATTTAAACTCTTAATATTAAGTACTTAGAAGTAATGATTTTTCGCATTTTGACGATATTTTTTCGAAAATTTCTTTTGGTGTAAATAATGTTGTATATAAATACAAACAGGACTGTTTTTATTGTCAGTTTAACACCAATTTCGTCTTACTAATAAATACCAGACTAGACTAGACGAAATTGGTGTTAAAACTAAATATGTACCCAGAGGGGGTTAAAGAAACAAAATATTTTACATTTTTCAGAAAATTTCATTCTTGCTTGATTTTAAACCCCCAGAATATGCTACGCGTAATTTGCGTTTTAAGTTTCTGAAAATTTTGGACTGAAAATATTCTGATAAAAATAATTTTTTGGTCAGTTTTCGTTCATTTGTCATTTCTTAAAAGTAATCGTTTCTATTGAGATGTTCAAAGCTTTTACTTTTTAATTTATCGCTAATAAAACATTTTTTGTCGCCGTTTTATGCAGTTTTTATCAAAAAAATGTCGGTCCAATATTTTTAGATAAATCAAAATTGCATAACCATAGAAAACTACTGTTTTTATTGTCACCCATAATATAACTAGTGGTATGATTATCATCGATGATATTTTCGAATTGAAACCGAGCTGCAGATTTCACGAGTCCGCAGGACGAGTGAAATGTGCTGCTTCGGTTTTAATGAGTAAATATCATCGATAATTAATCATACCACGAGTTATATTTAGTGAGAAAATATAACTTACCTTAATTTTATTATCGTTTACACCAACCCATCGATCTTTTAGAGTTTATAATTCATTATTTTAATCATTTAGGTAACAAACACAGTATTTAAAATAAATAAATGACAACAAATGTCAAATCAAAAAAACGTCAAAGTTCATAGTAACGTGTAAACAAGATGATAAAAATTATTGCCGCTGTGATAAAATACGTCACTATGGAATACTGGCATTTTATTGGTTCTAATATTAATGAATTATATTGTCAGTTTAACACAAATTTCGTCTTACTAATAAATACTAAATAAGACGAAATTGGTGTTAAAAACTAAATATGTACCCAAGGGGGTTAAAAAGAGAACAACGAAATATTTTACATTTTTTAGAAAATTTCATTCTTGCTTGATTTTGAACCCCCAGAATATGTGACACATTTTTATTCTCTATGGTTAATTTGCAGCTTTGATTTTTCTGAAAATTTTGGACTGAAAATTTTCTGATAAAAATCATTTTTTGGTCGGCTTTCGTTCATTTGTCATTTCTTAAAAGTTATCGTTTCTATCGACATGTTTAAAGCTTTTACTTTTTAATTTATCACTAATAAAACATTTTTCGTCGCTGTTTTATGCACTTTTTATACTTTTTCATTAGTAAATATGACATCCGACGAAAAAGGGTTTTTATCAAAAAATTATTTTTAGAAAAATCAAAATTGCGAATAACCATAGAAAATAAAAATCATGTGTCAAGGTAGTTGAAAACGAACAAAAACTTTGATCAATAATGATATTTTCTGAGAACTTTAAAATATTGTTTTCCTCTGTAACCTAATAAGTTATATTATCTTTAGAAAATTGTCAGCATTAAGAAAAAATATCTAATTTAAAATTAAAATTGCAGAAGTGCCAGAAAAATCGAATTTTTCACTGTAATAAAGTTTTGAGGGTATTTAATTACTTATAATAAATAATAATAATATTTTCAATAAAAAGTTAAGATTTAAAAAAAAAAACAGTAGTTTGTATTTTTAGAACACATTATTTACATCCAAAAAAATAACGAAAAGGTTAAAAAAAAAATATCGTCAAAATTCGAAAAATTATTACTACGAAAGTACTTAATCTTCAGTGAGTTATTTTAATGCAGAAAATAACAAAATTTTAAGAAAATCCGCGGAAACTTTAAAACTCAATCCTTCAGAAACTAATAGTTTAGGGACATTGCAATTTTAACACATTATTACACTAACAACTCTCTTACCACCACATTCAGGGCTCCCATGGTTAATTTACAAATTTTATTTAGGAATTTAGGAGGTTTTTTGTAAAATTTTAGGAGAAATAAAGTATGCAAATGAATTTATGTAATTAAATAAAAACAACACTACACTACTTAAAAAATAAAAAAAAATAAATATTTCATTTTAACAAAAATTGTTACATTGACTGGTTTTTAAGCCAAATCGCTCGACGAGTTTTTTTTGAATAAAATTAAAAGTAAGGTAAAATTACTACTTTTGTATTCATCCTTGAAGGGGAAGATAGGACACGCCAAAATAAGAAAGTTTTTCCTCATTTTTGCATTAGTGCCATTTTTTTATAAAAAAAATCATTAAATTTTTTGTAAGTAAAGCAAAAATTTTGGTTGTTCCTGACTTACAACTGACGCAAAATGTGTGTTATCATTGATTACTTTGTTGATAATTGTTTTTTGTTTTGCATACTCAGATAGTTTTAAGTATATTGAATAAAACAATACTTATTCTTCTTTAGATATTGGCCTTTAAAACAATACTTACTTTTTATTATTAGGTATCTAGAGGTTTCCGTGTTTTTCCGTGGTTTTTCCGTCGATTTCAAATTTCACCTTTTACTTTTTACGTCGATTAATGCTCATGTAGCTATTTTTATAAATGTTCCACAAAATCATAATAACCGAACTGTCAGTAATCAATGATAACAAAGTACCTACTAACCGATTTTGAATAAGTTTAAAAGTTTGCTTGATATTACATAATACACTGTGCACATACCTCTGTTTCTTTTATGCTTGGATAATTAATATCATTGTTTTTAGATGTAAAAACAATAATATATAGGATAGGACAGTGACAACCAGTGGCTCCCTGGTTTTGTCAAAAAGATTTCATTTTTTTTTATTAAAAAACAGTAGACTAATGCAAATGTTGTTTTGGCGTGTACTATCACCCCTCTAAAGGATGACAATTTATTAGGTGACACCCTGTATCTAAGGTATACAAGTATACAAGTAGAAATTTCACCACATTTTTAATTTTATTAAAAAAAAAACGCGTCAATAGATTTGGCTAAAAAACTAGGCCAAAGTCAAATGATGTTATTTTTATATTTTAAGAAAAAAAATGTTAACCGTTTAGTTAATAACTAACAATAATTGAATCGGTAAGAATAAGAACAGTATAAGTCCAAAAATTTAATTTTAACAAGTCATCTTTTAAAATTAATTTTAAAGTTCAAAATACATTTTTGTGAAAAGATACAAATCATTTTACAGAATATGAACATTATATTTTATTAAATAGTTAACATTTTCCCACAAAAATGCATTTAGAAGTATAAAACTAATTTTTTAAAATATTTTATCAAAATTTTAACTTTTGGACTTGTCATCTCACCGATTCAATTGTAATGTGGATCTTGAAATTTCATAATAGAAAAAATATGAAGTTTGCAAAGTACAGCAAAACATTCTTTAGATTATTTACTAATAATTAAAATTATTATGATAGCTACATTTAAAATAAAATAAAAAATCCTATTTTTGTCAAAAACAAACGAAATATGGCTAAAAATGACAATTTTGTAGAAGTCTAGTAGCTATTACATGGATTTTGTTTTTTAGGTACCTAAGTATATTTTGTTGTTTTTTAAGAAAAATTTAGGTTGTGATGTATTATTTTAAAAAGAATTTAATAAACTAGAACCTAATAATATAAATTTTATAATTAACTTTTTAAAAAAGAAATTTTTTAGCACGACAGTTACCTTAATTAAACGTAGTCAGGTTGACCTATTTATATTTAATTTTTAGAAGTTTTAGGAGATTGATGGCAATTTTTGGAGAACTTTAGAGTTTTCAAGATTTAAGAGAAATTTTAGGAATTTTATTAGTATTAGGAGGTGTGGGAGCCCTGCAAATTTCATACATCCACCTCACACTCGCGCGAACTTTCAACCATTGAACGCGCTATACCGAAGGAATGCATTTCGTCTTACCTGGTTGATGAGCCTGAAGTCGTGGCTGACCAGCACCAGACCGCCGTCGAAGTCGTTGATCGCGTCGGCCAGCGAGTCGATGGTTTCCATGTCCAAGTGATTGGTAGGTTCGTCGAGCAGCAGCAGGTGCGGCACCTGCCAGGCCAGCCAGGCAAACACGACGCGGCAACGCTGCCCGTCCGACAGTTGACGAATCGGACACACCTGAACGAAAAAAGTGAAAATTTACCCCCGAACGACACTTTAAGATTTTGAACAACGTCAGAGTTTTGAGGTTATTAAAGATAAAGAAAATAGCAAAAAAGTTAAAACAAGAAATTAATTACGTTAATGTTTTAAGGTTTTGCGGTGTCAAAATTGTACTTAAAATCAGATAATTTTAGCAACAACACATTTAAATTTATTGAAAATTCGTAATGAAAATGTATAAAAATAAAGAAAATTAAAAACCGTTTAAAAGTCAAAATTTACAATTTTCGGCTAACCTGAAGAGTGTTGTTTTCAGTATTTTTTACTCTAAACCGAAAAATATCGCATTTTAAACGAAAATATTACTTAGGAACGACACTTATGAGTATGATGAGTATGAAACGTTAATTTTTTAGGTTATAAACTGTATGTTTCTTGGGATGAAAATAAAGTATTTTATTTTATTATTATTTATGTGGGGTCAAAAGTGTACTTAAAATCAGATAACGGCAAAATATTTAAATATATTGGAAATTCGCAATGAAAATGTATAAAAAATAAACCCTAAAACGAAAAACAAGAAACTGAAGAAAGCGAAAATATTACCTAAGAACGGCACTTTTTGAGTATGAGAAACGTCAAAGTTTTAAGATTATGTGGTGTCAGAATAGTACTAAAATCAAATAATTTTAAAAAATAGCAACAAAACATTTAAATTTATTGAAAATTCGTAAAAAAAAATTATAAAAATAAAGGGTATTGCTTAAAAAAATTAAAAACCGTTTGAACGTCAAAATTAACAATTCTCGAGAAACCTAAAAGTGTTGTTTTCAGTATTTTTACTTAACCGAAAAATATCGCATTTTTAAGCGTTTTTAAACGAATCGGACATTTCTTAACGAAAAACAGAAGAAATTATTATTAGTATTATATTATTATTTTAATTTTAAAATAGCGACAAAACAATTATATTTATTAGAAATTCGTTATAAAAATATAAAAAAATAAAGAAAATTGCTTAAAAAAATTTTAAACGTCAAAATTTACCATTTTTGGCTAACCTAAAAAGTGTTTGTTTCAGTAATTTTTAATCTAAACCGAAAAATATCGCGTTTTTAAACGAAAAACAGAAGAAATTGAAGGAAGCGAAAATATTACCTAGGAACAGCACTTTGTGAGTTTGAGAAACTTCGTAAGGTTATTTGGTTTCAAAATAGTACTTAAAATCAAATAATTTTAAAAGAGCGACAATAGTATATTATTATAGGAGATATAATGCGCATAATCTCAAAGGTAATACTATAATTTAACTACTCCAATAAGTGGATAATTAAATGATTTTTAAAAGTAATTAAATAAAATCTGACATCTGTCAAATGGCTAACCTCCCAATTTAAAACCCGATTGGTTCAAATCACAGTGAATATTGAAATCGGCCAATTACTGATGACGTGAATAATGAGTTCATTATTCACGTTGTTAGGCAGGGAATTTTTAACGTTTATTATTCACGAAAAAAAAAACAATATTATGCAATAGGACTAGATAAAACATTTAAATTTATTGGAAAATCGTAATAAAAATGTATTAAAGATGAAGGAAATTGCTTAAAAAAGTTAAAAAGCGTTTAAAAAGTTTTGTTTTCAGTATTTTTTACTCTAAACCGAAAAATATCGCGTTTTTAAACGAATCGGACAAATTGAAGAAAGCGAAAATATTACCTAAGGACGGCACTTTTTGAGTATTAAAACCGTCAAAGTTTTGAGGTTATTTGGTGTCAAAATGGTACAAAAAATACGATATTGTAAAAATAGCGACAAAACATTTAAATTTATTGTAAATTCCTAATGAAAATGTATAAAAAATAAAAATAATTGCTTAAAAATCGTTTAAACGTCAACATTGACAAATCTTGGCTAACCTAAAAAGTGTTATTATTTTCAGTATTTTTTACATTTAAATTTTTTGTAAATTTGTAATGAAAATGTATAAAAATAAAGAAAAACCGTTTAAACGTCAAAATTGACAATTATCGGCTAACCTAAAAAGTGTTGTTCTCAGCATTTTTTTTACCCTAAACCGAAAAATCTCATTTTTAAGCGTACTTCAACGTTTTTAGTATCGCAAAGCTGTAAAAAGTAGAAAATGATTTGGATTCCTACCTGTTGTCTTCCGGTAAGTCCGTATCTTCCGATGATTTTTCTCATTTCCTCCCTTTCCTTGACAGCGGGGAACTCTTTCATCATGTATTCCAGAGGAGACAGATCGAGGTCCAAAAGTTCGTGCAAATGTTGGTGGTATCTGGCGATACGCAAGTGAGAGTTTTTGCGGATCATTCCTTCAGTGGGGTTCAGCTGTAAAACAGAAAATTCAACATTCTAAATAGTGTTTTTTGACATTTTGACTTACATCTCCGTAGAGCAGCTTCAGCAGGGTACTCTTTCCGGCTCCGTTGGGCCCCACCAGGGCCAACCTCGTGTCCAGATCGATACCGAACTCCAAGTTCTTGTAGATGTAGGGCGTGTCATCGTTGTAGCGGAAGCTGACGTTTTGCACCATGATCACGGGCGGAGGGATCGTGCCGCAGCTGGGAAAGTAAAAGGTGACGATCTTGTCGCTGGTGACCTTTTCCGTGAGCCCTTGCGCCACCATTTTCGCCAGCGTTTTCTCCTTCGATTGCGCTTGGCGGGCCAGTTTGGCAGAACCGTGACCGAACCGGGCGATGTAGTTCTAAGAAGAAAACGGTCGTTTCAAAATGATAAATTTTTAATAACTCAGTATCTCCATTTAAAGAGTTTCCATAAAATGTTTAAAGATATATTATGTATGTTTAAATCATAAAGTACTTTTAGAAAAACTTGAAAACTATAGGGTAAGAGGCACTCCTGTGGATACAGTCCTACTTCTCAAATATAAGCCAAAAAGTAGTAATAGAGAAGGATGGTCAGCAAACTATTTCTGACTCACAAAATATAAAAATTGGAATCCCACAAGGCAGTGTCATTGGTCCTATTCACAGACCTATTATTTTCATAATATATTTAAATGATTTATCGATGGTCACGCAAAGTTCTTTCCAAAAAATAAAAAACTTTGCGGACGATACAAATTTATTAGTGAAGTCATCCAATTATAACACTCTTACTATGACTCAGGATTTTATATCTAATATTGAAAAATGCTTATACTAAATAAAAATAAAACAAATTGCATATATTTTAAGACCAAACAGTCAAAATTTCAAAGTCCCAATGAAATCCAATTTAATAGTTACACAATTAAAATAAATAAAAATACAAAATTTCTAGGCCTTATAATAGATGAAAACTTAGATTTTAATTGTCACATTGAACAACTTTGCACTAAGTTAAATAATACTTTGTATTCAATTAGGGTTTTCAAACATTAAAAAACTGTATGGCATAATCTTTTGGGGTCAAAGTACGGCAGTGCAAGATGTTTTTGTCTGCCAAAAAGAGTTTTGCATGTAATGTTGGGATGGGGTACATGTCTTCCTGTAACTTACATTTTAAAAATGTTAAAATTCTAACTGTAAGTGGTGTATGAACTAATATTGTATATGTTTAAAAACAATAAAATATATGAACAATATGGGGCAGAAAACTTAAGAAATGTGTACTATTACTATCAATATTTGAAAAAGGATGCTTATATGCCTGCATAGAACCATTCAATATTTTAACAAAAAATATAAATAATTTTAATTTGTTTAAAAGTACAGTCTATGATTGGATTTGTAATTTAGAGCAGGGGCAGGGGTTCAAACCGCCAACCATCCACTGCATACGCCCCTTCTAGATGTTGGTAAAATATGCAATAACCCGTAAAAATGCAAATGTACATAATCTGGGAGCTACTATAAAAATTTTAATAGGTTTTTAACATTCCATTATGTGTTTTTGATATTTTAAATTGTTTCTGTAAAATTTTGTTTTTCACATTCTGTTCTTTTAAGTCATTTTGAGATTTTAAATAATGTTTTAACATTTTGTTTTTCAAATTCTTAAGTCTTTTTTTGTTTTACCATTCTTAAATAGGCTTTTAACGGTTTAAAATGTGTTCTTTCTCAAATGCGCTTATAACATTTTTTATGTTTTAAACATTCCAAAATGGTCTTTTGAAATTAAAAACTGTACTTGATATTTTAACAGATTCTAACATCTTAAAATGTGTTTTTTTATATTTCTGACATTTTAAATTGTCTTGAAATTTTTTTTATTATATGTGTCATTTTGACATTCTTAAAAACCTTTTTAACATAATAAAATTTGCGACCCAAAGGAAAAACGTCCAGGGATTCCCATGTATTCCCATAATATTTTATTGTATTCCTATGTATTTCCATTGTATTCCTATGGTATTCCCACTCTAAAATGCGGTGATACATTTTTAAATATATTTTTAACATTTTAAAATGTATTAAAAAAAATGTATTTTGACCATACAACAGGCGTATTACACCTACATACATTTATGGTCTAAGATTTTGAATTTCTCACCAATTTAAATAATATAAATAGTAATACATTATTTTTTATAATAAAATTATAGTTCTGTATTGTCTGCTGAAGTGACAGATTGCTGATGATATAGTGTGAAAAATAAACGTAAGTAAGAAAATGAACTGAATTAATTGAAAATAAGGCTATAGTGATAGTGATAGGAAATAAAATTTTAAAAATATAAAAAACCTTAAAAATTTATATAAATTATCAAGAAAAGGAGGAGCTATAGGAAATCCCAGACTCGCTCTCTCCAATGCCACCAAAAAAACGATTCAGCTGAATAAATCTCTCATTTTTATTAAACACTCGCTCGCAAGCTTCGCTTGTGCCTAATTAAAATTCGTGACTAAAATGGCGTTGATCAAACTTGATACATAATATACTATGATGGTTGCTAAATGACTACCTAAAGTTTTAAAGTGTCGAAAAAACCGAAAAAATAGTTTTTTCCGTTTTTTTCCAAAAACCGGAAAAATTGGGGGGAAAATCTGTTTATTTCCCAGGCCTTAGAAACATTGGGGTTTTTTTTGGAAAAATTGATTTTTTTTGGAAAATATTTACATTTCAAAAAAAGGTGTCAATAAACGTTAAATATACTGTCGGTTGGGTATTTTTTGCAAAAAGGAGTCCATTTAAAATATCCAATTACAAAATAATGAATGATTTATAAAGTTAAATTACAAAATTATAATTTTATAAATCGTAGTGTTAAATAAAACGAAAGTTATGTTAATACAGCACCAAATAGGTTTTTTTTTGCGACCTGGTAGAATATTCTTAATGAAGTAAAATAAAAGGAATAATTATAATTATTCCTTTTATTTTAGAATTTTAGAAAATAATCATACTATTATGATTATAATAATAATTATTATAATCATAATATTAAGATTATATTCAGCGTCGGAAATTCAATTTTTTCTCGATAACTGTGTACGGATAATATCCGTAAAAATTTGGAAATTTTTAGAAAATTTGACTTGCATCTTTTCGTATTACCATTTAAATAAAATGAAAAAAATGCAAGTCATTTTTCCAATTTTTTTCGTTTTTTTTTCGAAAAAAACCTGTTTTTTTTTCGCCGGCTGAATTTTTCCGGAAATTTTAAAACCCTATAAATTACACCCTTTAACGCATCAGTGTTTAAAAATAAAAGACGATTTTTTTATGGTAAATTAAAAAGAAAATCTGTTTAAAAACGCTGTAACAAAAAATCTTGCAATATGTTGCAAAATTGATATCTTTTTGCAACATATTGTATTTATAGCTATTTTGGCTTCAAAATTGTGTTTTTTTTTTAATGTTTTGTCCTGATTTAAGTAATCCTTGTCATTTTGAAATTTGTGATAAATTACTTAATATTTTAGTTATCCATAAACCCCTTCAAATTTTTTAAATATTTACAAAATAAAACGGTAACTTTAAGTATAAAAAAATGTCAATTACAAAAATAAAAAATTAAACAAAATGTATTATAATTACCTTCATGTTATTGATCTGATCCTGTTCCCAATTGTATTGCTTCATTTGATTTTCTTGGAGTTCCGAGCGTGTTTTGATAAAAGCATCGTAATTACCAGTATAATATTTAAGCCGTTTTTTGTTAATATGGACAATGTTTGTGCAGACGCCGTTTAGGAAATCTTGAGAGTGAGAAATGAGCACCAAAATTCTCTTGTAGCTAAAAATAAAACACACATTTATCAACACATCGAGATTTTCAAAGAAACACTACTTACTTTTTGAGTTCTTCTTCCAACCATACGCAAGCATCCAGATCGAGATGGTTGGTGGGCTCGTCGAGCAACAACAAGTGGGGCTTGACGTACAACGCCCTGGCCAGGGCGATTCTCATCCTCCAACCTCCACTGAAGTCCTTGGTTTTCTTCAGCTGCATCTCGGGCGTGAAGCCCAAACCGTTCAGTATGTTGGCGGCCCTGGCCTCGGCCGTGTCGGCGGAAATTTCGTCGAGACGCTCATAGATGTCCATCAGCTGCTCCTGGGACTCGTCGTCCTCGCTGGCCACCAGCTTCTCGGCCATCTTTTCCAACCTCACTCTCTCCTCGTCCACCTCCATGACGCACTGCAGCGCCGACTTGTCCGACGCGGGCATCTCCCTGCTCAGGTAGAAGATGTCGATGTGCTCCGGGATGGGGACCTCCCTGTTGCCCAGCACGGCCAGGATGGTGGACTTTCCGCTGCCGTTCAGGCCCAGCAGGCCGTACCTTCGGCCGCAGTTCAGTTCCAACGTGGCGTCTTGCAGCATCTCCGCGCCGTGGAAGGTGATGGAGAAGTTGGCGATTTTCACGTCGCGAGATTTCGGATGGACGGCCAGGGAGCCGGTGCAAGCTCTCGCTTCGGCGTTCAGCCTCGCGTCTGCTTCCAGTTTCGCGCATAGTGCCTCTGCAATTGCATTTTTTTTTTGCTTAATTATGGTCGAAATTGGAAGATTTTTATGTCGAATGTATAAGTGGGTGATTCTCCAGAACGGAGCAAATATGCTGAAACTCTTAAATGAGTACATTAGATGCAAAACTCGGTTTTTGCAAATTTTTAAAAATATATATTTTATGCTATTTGTGTACATGACTGCACTGCCTAAAGCATACCTAAGTAAACCAGATGTATAAGTTAGTATTTGTAGAATAAAATACATTTAAAAACTTAACGCAGATGCAAAACTGGGTATTTGTTTCTTCCTGTCGGATGCAAAACTCGGTATTTGCTGTTGACCAATTACGTCGCTAGTATACGCATTATGTGACGACATAACAATTACCTGATTAATTGTTATTTTTTGGTATTTGCATTGTTTCATTGTTGCATTTTTTGGTATGTGCATTGTTATTTTTTGGTATTTGCACTTTTCAGTTGCAAAACTTGGTCTTTGAACGAGGCAGATGCAAAACTATGTTTTTAAATCTTTTGATTACAATTATTTACTAAAATACCTAATTTTAAATGATTTTTTTTTACTTTAAGAATAAAAATGATGCAAAAGCACGTCTATACAATTTTTGCATATTTTTTTTTATAAAATGATCTAATGAGCGGTTTTTCATGTTTTTCTCAAAATCACTTATCCTGCAAATACAGAGTTGTGCATCTAATGTAGTCAAATAAAATATACTAATGAAAGTAGTTAGCATTTAAATAACACTACAATAGACAGTTTATGTCTAGCAGTAGAACGTACTTAACAAAAAAAAAAACATTATTTATTTTATTAATTTAAATTTGCTTTAAAGTCATGGTCTGTCACCACCTAGCGTAGGGACAACAAATCATCCATATACTATTAGACTAGATGTGAAATGATTCTTTCATATTGCATATCCTCTAACTTGGAATGTATAAAAAACACAACCAAAAGCAAACTTATTGATATTTTAACCCAAAATGTCAAATAAAGCATGAGACACCATTTTACAGCTAAGTTCTTTGCAGTCTTTTAATATATGATAAATTCCCTGTATAAAACGTATTTTAGTAATGTTTGAAGACTTCGTCGTTTGAGTGATTTAGTGTTGATTTGTGTAAGCAAGGCAAAGGGGGTGTAATATTTAATCAAAATTTATAAAGAACAATTATTTGCGAAAAAACGGGTAAGTATTTTTATTAAAGATCAACTCCATGTCTTTAAGAACAAAGGGATTTAAATACAATTGAAATTTCAACTTTCTCCAGGTGAAATAACCAAATATGCTTTGCTTAAATTACAGTTAACTAAAGATACATTATGTACCATTTTCTAAAGTTTGTGACTAACTATAAAAACATCAACTCCATGGACATCAACTCCATGGAGTTAAAAGGTATGTCCATGGAGTTGTTTACTTTCTTATTATTGCCCTAAACTCTTAGCTCATATAAGTTAAGGCATTATTAACGATAATTAATAATATATAGTTAAATTATAATAAATTAAATTTAATTTTTCTTCAAAAAAAATTCTTTAATAGTATTATTATTAAACTATATACAGCATATACATATAGAGATGAAATGGATAGTTGTTTGGCTATCCGGCGGCCGGCAGTTGAAAGATCGAATTTTGTTTCCTTTATTTGCATTTTTTAAGAATAATATTATTCTATTTAAATAAAAGTATTAATAGTATATTAAAGTACAAGTGGCGAAAGGCACTGTTTTCCCGCACGAGTCCGAAATTACGGCACGAGCCGCGAAGCGTGCGAGTGCCGTAAAGGACGAGTGCGGAAATGTCTTTCGCCACGAGTGCTTTATACTATTTTTTCTATTTGCGTTAATTTCTATTAGTAAGTTATGGATTAGGAAATTTTTATGTTAAAAATCATTTGCAAACATTTGCTAAAAGATGGTTCTTTTCTGACATCTATTCAGATTCAGAAGATGATTTTCCGTTATTTTATCTAATTCAGAAATCAACAGAACAGGCAATACAAGGTTAGATTTATGTGGTTTTTATGTTATTGTGTCAACTCCATGGTTCAGAACGTCAACTCCATGGACTCATTTATTTTTTGTTAAATAATAGAAAAGTATTAAGTTTAATTTATAGCTGCCTTGAAATTACTTTATGTTATTGAGAAATACACATTGAGGTATTATTTTGCTAGTGTTTTATTAATCTTTGCTTTTTATTTTTTTACCACCCCAATTTATCCCCGTTTTGGATATTCACCCAAGTATCAAAATATGACATGGTCAATCAGCCAGTTCACTTGAGAACAGATTTTGAAGACTAATTAACTTAAAAACTACGCGTTTCTTTCATTTTTTTTGGTCGCACTTTATAATTTGGAATGTTTTCTTTTAAAATTCATCAGATTTAATGCGAAACGAAAATATTGTATCATTTGTCATGGAATGACCCTAGAAATATACACACTCGGGTGAACCCGATCGCCCCTCCACAGATCAGGGTTTGTTGAATTCGTCCGTGGACATAATTGGACGGTTTTGTCCAATTATGTCCGTCCGGACAAAATTAATTGTTATGGACAAAATGGTTTAAACACAAAATAAATTCAAAAAACCTTATTATAATTACATTTGGGTTTCAAAAACAACTTAAACATTTTGGTGCTTGACTAGCCATTGTTATATTATTTAAATTTAAATATTTAAATTTAACATTAGCCAAAAGTCTACCTAGTTTAAAGTTCAACATGACATATAAGATACATGAAGTTTAAAAACAGTGAAATCCTAGACAAGCAAAAGGCAGATTTTCTCTGCTCTGTCTCTGTACAAGTTTTCAAACGGTTAATAATAATAAGAATTACATTTTTGTTTTTTAATACCTTGATTCTTGTATTATAACAAAATAAATGAAACAAATAATATTATAATATATTATATATTATATTATGTCATAAACTAAAAATAAATAAAAAATATATGCATATATTCTGTAGCAAAATACATTGGTATTTTTTGTGATACTTTACCTACAAATAATAAGTAGTAGGTTACCTACTGTATACCTATTATACTATTAATAGTATAATAGTAGTAGGTAACAAAAAATAAACCAAGAAATTGAATAAAATAGAATAAAATTTGATTTTATCTAATATTGTCCGATTTTGTCCAACTTTGAGCATGTCATGGACGAAATCAAAAAAAGTGGACAAAATCACAACCCTTCCTCAGATGCGGATTGCCGTAGGCGACGATTCAGTTATGTTTTGAATTTGCTAGTATGTATTTTGAGCGTTTTAACACAAATTAATTTCTTTTATTTAACATTATATGTTACCTATAATGTCCTACACATAACAAGAGAAAATTGACATGATAAGCTTATGTTCAAAGTTTTTTAAATTTTTTAATCGCCAAAACAAAATAAAACCTAACCTTATTACTTAATAGAGATGCGACTTGAAAAAAAACGGTCCGTTTTTTTTGTTTTTTTTCAGGTTTTTTTTCATTGTTTTTTTTCAAATGGTTTTTTTTCACATTTTAGGTTTTTTTTCAAGATTAGTCCCATTTGCCTAATTTTTTATGTTTCCATGGACTAAAATTAGCCACTAAATGACAATTAGTAAATGGAATACAGTCTCGCGCTATGCACGCGCCTTAACCATCGATTTGACCAATAAGGGCCGCGCTTGTTTTGATTTGGTCCTAAAAAAAGTAACTACATATAATATTTTGAATTCAGCGCTTGATTTTTCAAAAAGCTACCAAAAGCACTTTTTTATGATTTTTCAAATTTATGTAGAGTATGAAATTTTTTTTTTTCAAAAAACAGCAAATTTTTGTTGAACATTTATTCATTGGTGGTTAAGTCAGAACATTCCGTGGACCAAAAAAGAAAGCAAAAAAATCGTTTTTTTTATTACGGTATTCGTTAGAATTGAGCGTTGCACGTTTTTCATCTAAAAATCTCAAAACTATAAACTTCAAGCTTCAAATTGCTTTTCTTACGGCTCCAATACGACCATTTTTAACAAAGTTCCGAAAAATCGCAAAAAAAAATTATCCTTGAATTTTTTAGTCTTTGTCAAAATTTTCAATAATGAAAAATGTAATATATTCATTCAAAATTTCATTTTGAAAAAAAACAAAAAAAACCGTTTTTTTTCTAGGTTTTTTTTCATGTTTTTTTTCAAATCTGAAAAAAAACCGTTTTTTTACATCTCTATTACTTAATACTAAAAAAATTATGGGAATTCCCGAAAGAAAAGAGAATGTTTTATGGGCACTGTATGCAAAATTGTTAACGCTCTATCAGTTAAATCTAGTGAACTGATCTAGTACAGCAAAATAAAAAGGTCAGTACAAACGTTCATATAATCTTTTCAAATAAACTTTTAATACTTTTATATTTTTGTATTGAGATAATAAAATAATTTTCACATTTAGTATTATTTTACAAGAAAGGCACTTTATTTTAACGAGTGTTTGACATTTGACAACTGTCAACTAACTTAAAACTAACTTTAAGCTGTGACTTAAAACCTGTTGCTAACTTTAGCCCGTGACTAAAGCGACATAAAGCCACAGCTTGTCTATGTGTATGTGTCATGGAAACATGTATGATAATAGGCGTTTTAAAGGTGGGAGTAGAAAAAGTTATTTAAAGTAAAATAAAATCTACGTAATGGGCCATATACTTATACAGAAACTGTTGGAGTAAGATCAAAGATCAAAAAAATTTAATATTATATTTTCAATTATATTTCAATGGAACACATTTTTATGAATTTGTGCTTACATTATTTCGATCTTTCCAATGAAAACAGGATTAAGTACTGGCTTAAGTACTTAGTTTTTAACACATTTAAAAACTTTTTTAATTTCGAAATTATTTTTTGATGAGAACCGAGATTTTGGTTCCTCTTAAATGTGGACAAACTTTGCAAACTTCTAACTTTTACCACTAATTATAATTGGAAAGCGGCTTTGCGCATGTGCGCGGATATTATATGTCAAAAGCAAAAAGTTTGATGATTTGCCAGTGATGTTAAGGTTATATAAATATTATTGTAATGGTTGTAAAAAATATTAATTTAATATAATTAATATTGTTTATGTCAGGTTAAGAAAAATGGACAATCTTTTAGCAAATTCCCTTAATTTTAATTTTAGATGTTAATTTTGCGCATTGTGAATGATCGTTTTGTGTATTGAAACCACTAATTTTTTCCACTAATTACGAGGTTCTGAATGAAGCTTACCCTTGGAATAATTGCTAAAAATATAAATTCAAATTATTACGCAAAGTTTACTATTTTGTACCCAAATGAAAATTATTTTACATAGTTTAGTATTTTTTACCTAAACGGAAACTATCGTCCCAGTTGATAACTTCAAAAACGACTGCTGCTGGATTTATTTTAAAAATATTGTGTATAAAAAACACCCAAACAATAGAAAAAGGTTGGTTAGAATAACCGTCAGATAACCCTTTTTGACAGCATTCCAAAATTAGTTCGTTTCTATTAACCGCTAACCGACCAAAATCGTGGTATCGGTCATCAAAAAATTATTCCGGATAATTACCCTCTTATATATGCCTACAAGACAATTATCGCTTGATTACAGCGATAATTGTCTACTAGGAATCAATAATTCTATTGTATCTACCTATCCATGGCAAATAATAAAAATAACGTCAGTTTTTATTTTAATGTTAAAGTTATTTAAAATGTTACGTTTTGGTAAAGAACCATTTAATTATTTTAATTATTGTTAAATGAAGTTTTGTGTTGAAATTAAAATATTTGAAAATGTTATTCTTTGATTGATTAGTTTATTCATGTAATTATCAAAACAAATTACACTCGTGCATAAAAATAATCAGATAATTTTGCAATCAAGCATATTGCCTTTTAAAAAATGCATTCGGTCATTTTCATATTTTCCAAAATATGAAAATGAACTCATGCATTTTTATGGCAATATGCTTTCAAGCAAAATTATCGATAATTTTTAAGAACTTGAGTAATTACCCCCGAAAATAACTTTAGCAAGCCAGGACTTAATCCTGTTTACCATTGGAAATTGTAAGCAAAAAATATGCAACGTGTTTTAAAAAAGTGAACTTAATAAAGATTAGCTCTGGGGTACAAAACTGTATTTTCAAGTTTACATTCTTATATTGATTTTAAAATTCTTAAATGAGTTGAGTGTGTTTCTACTATTAAATAGCATGATTATAAATTGTATATACTATTTCAAAATTAGACAAAATTACATGTTAAACTGACAGATACATAATCTCAATTATTTAACTGCATTTCTTATGCAAATGTCAAAGTGGTTTTTTTTAATTTGTAAAGGTTCAGTAGGTATATGTATAATGTATATGAAAAATAAACCTTGATTTGTACAAAATAATGCTGTGTGGGTTGGTTGGTTTATGTTATAACATGCTCCATTAAATATTGTAAGTTATAAATTTATAATAACTGTTTTATATTATTGTTAAAATATATAAAATAATAACCATATACAGGGTGTCCCGAAAATGGCGCACCAACAGTCATTTTAGGTACTCAGCATTTACGTTTAAAAACTCGGCAACAATATGAAAACAAAATTAACAACTGAGATCTTAAATTAACATCATTGACAGATGCATTTTCTGAAAGTTTGTATCAAAAAATTGAACTTAAATAGTATATTACACTACAAGGGCAGAAAGTGTGAGATTCCTGCACTGCGCGCCATGATGCCCGAGGCGAAGCCGAGGGCATCATGGCGCGCAGTTCAGGCCTCTCACACTTTCTGCCCGTGTAGTGTATACTATTTTTCTTGCTACCCCGCAGAAAATACGGGAAAAAATTAAATGTATATAAAAAAACTTGTGTCAAAATTAAAATCTGACGTTTAATTTAATTCTGACGTTTACATTCAAAATCAATCAAACTGTAGCGTTGTCATGGTAATTCAGCGGTGCCAATACAGTAAAAATAAAAGGTTGTATTTTAATTAACAAATTACTACTTTATAACAAATAAAAGTACCATTAAACACTTAAAACAACATAAAAAGTAAAAAAGTAAAAACATAAATTGTTTATTTGTTGTTATAATTGCAAAATTATGGTTTAAAACTGTGATATTTTTGTGTTTCTCATGTTGGCAGTACGAAATTTGAATGTTAAGCACACGACTAAAAAATTTTTACTCCCGCTATTAGAGTGTGCGCGTATAGCTTGACCAATGCAAGAAACGTAAACTTTCTGCCGTGGAATCGGGGACGAAACAACGTATTTTGAGTCGAGGTAGTAAGAAAAATTATTAATTTGTTTTCTATAATTTTATATTTATATAAATTTATGAATAGATATAAACATAAAATTCAAATATTGAACCCTTTTACTTAACCTAAAAACTACTTGTCAGTTTTTTTATACTTAAAATAACCCTCCCTATAGCATGGCATATTTAGTGTGTCATTTTTAGGATAACCTGTATATTCTATATTTTAGGAGGGACTTACTTAATAGTAAATTATTAAATAAAATTGCATATTGCAAATTAAAATCTAAATTTTAAAGAAACCAATAAAATGGCTAAAAATTTAATGAGGCCATCAAATTTAAAGCAACTTTATTGGTTGCAATAAAAATATTATAATAATGGAGTTATTATTATTATTACAATTTGCCTTAAAAATGAGACTAGTGGAAGTGACAACGGATAAGTTAGTACCTTTTAGGGGAATTTGCTACTTCTAGAAGCAAAGTTTGGTACTTTTTTATGTGTCCATATGCAACACTGATTGGTTGCTTATAAATTCATTCAAATATGTGGTATATTATAGAACCATACATAAAAGAACAGTAAAAAAATAAATCATGATTTTATTTATGGTTAGATATTTTCACTTTATTTTGCATTTGTAGTTTGTTTTTTTATTCGGAATTTGACAAAGTTGAGTTATTGTACATATGATCTTAAGCAAAAACAGGTCAATTTAGATATAGTAGGAGAAGTACAAATCCATTGATTTGCAAGTAGAGCCAAAAATATTTATGAATAAGCCAAATTTTTAGGAAATTGTAAAATGAGACTAAAAACTTATCCTTATGTTTGGTTTTCAAACACAATGCTTCAACCTGTTTTTGTTTATTTTTAGAAAGTTCCAGAATGCTTACCTTCTGCACTGATTTCTTTTTCAACTTTTCCGTTAGTAGTTCCGTTAGTAACCCCGTTAGTTCCTGAGGGTTCGTCCTTTTTCTCCACTGGTTTCTTGGCTCCTCCGCGGTTTTTTGCTGCGTCCTTTTTCTTTTGTTGTTCACGTTTTTTGGCGTCAGAAGGCATTTTGAGTTATGTTTTATCCTGAAATAATTCGCACCTTATCGTTCACACTTTCTTCCAATTACTCGTTCATGCTTTATTAAGCATCAATGGAATTTTTTTAAGGTCATTGAAATTATGATTCAACCATCACAAACACTTTGTCATGTCTAAATAATGGTACAGGGGTAAACGGAAGTCAATAATTTCGCCAGGACTTACCAAAATAGCTATAATAAATAAAAGCGGCTTAAATATTCACTAATTCACGTGTGCCCACCGCCAATGGACAATCGAAAAGAACTTAGTGACTTTTACAGAACTGTCAATTTTGGAAAAGCGGGCGGATTTCAAAAGAACTAACCTAACATTTTTCTAAAACATGACATCTATAGGAAAACAACCCGAAAACAAATTAAAATGTTATAAAGTAATGTTAAATTTTACGATATTTTAGCTCATTATTCCCAATTAAGTCTTTATTGATTTAATAACATCGATTTAAAAGGATCTGGTGATATAACACAAAAATCCCTAAAACACGATGGCGCCAAATTTAAAAGGCAAGCTCTTGATTTCTCAGAATATGTTAAGCAATGTCTTTAAAACCTAAACCATATCCAAATAAAATATTATCTAGGGATTATTTAATAATGAAACATGATTTTTAAATAAACTTTGTATTTATTAACATATAATAACATTATATGCAATTTTTAGACCTATCATACACCCATTGGAGTATTTATTTATAAAAATATGCATACGTAATTAAATTACATATTTTTATTAAAATGTACAAATAACAAATAAAAATTGTAGAATATCAGCACATAATTATTTCTTAATACTAGTGTTTTCTGTTTTCTTTATTTTCTCAATAGTTTTGTTTACTTCTTTTATTAAATCGTCCTGTTGTTTCTTTGCATTTTCCACAAAATTATCCTTCTTACCCATAACATTTTCCAGCAAATTCTCCTTCTTTTCTTGATACATTTCTTTTAGTTCTTCCTTGCTCGGAACTGGTTTAATATAACCCCATTTTTTCAGATAGTTTATGGAAACAGTAGTTCCTCCCAAGGTAATAGTATATCGTATTGGCGTAACTATTTTATATAGACCATATGATATTGCTATATATCCCATACTTGAGTCCCTGAATGGTTTTGTAATGGTTTCACTTACATTATATGACTCCATTAATCCAGCAATGTCTACACCACTAAAATTATAATATCTTTCATAAATTAAACAGATCTGATAAAAGATTTTTAAGATGTTTATATCTAGCTTAAGTTGACATTGCTAAGAAAGTTACATATAACTATCAATACTAACAGACCTTTTTGCCAGGTAGTAAAATCCTCCAAACCAGGCTGCAGATGTTACCAGATGCACAGGTATAAGCACATACCAGTAGTCTTTATACATTTTTTTAAATCGTTTAAATAAAGAAAGTTTTTCTTTGGTTTCACCTTTTTTTGGAGGTTTATACTCTATTTTTCCTAAGGGATTATCACTAAAATGCCTTAAACTAATACAGCTGTGCTTCAGAGGCAATTCTTGATGTTTGTGGAATATATAATTTGTGTTTATAATCGGAGATGAAACAGTATTTTGACACATAGAAATAATTGGGCAAATATTCCCAAATTTAAGCACGTTCGTGCTTAATAATCTTCTTGTTAGTACCCCTGCCATTGTAAAATTATTTTATATAAAATATATAAATAAAATATAACCTCAAATCACATGTGTGAAAATATAAATTTAATAATTTACTACTTGTTTATGCTTTTATTACAAAGTTCCAATACGTCCACTTTGAATCAGTAAATTAAATAAGTTGTTTACTGGCTAAAAATATATTTAACTAATAAAATAAATTATATATCATTTATCCCAAATTATTACCAATTATGGTGAAACATTATATTTCCAATAATAATATAAAAGGGCTTTATATTTTTAATATTTATTATTGTAGCTTTCCAATGCCTTTTTGCAATAACAAAGTATTCACTTTTTAGTAAAACTTGCTACATTTTTGAAATTCTGAGTGACGTATGACATAAGCCTCTATAAAGCAGTCAGCCAACATCAACCCAATAAAAAACTAAAAGTAACCATCCCTAATGAAAATACTTCATACGGAATTTATTGTTTATATTGCATAAATATATACGCTACGTCCATTTATTATCCTTATTGCAAAACAAATTTACCTTAAACAGTGCTGCCAGAGCAGATGGTCGGATAATCCGTATATATTCGTGGAAAGGGTGGGGGGAAGCCTCGAAAAATCCGTAAAAATCCGTTTTTGTCTAAATTTCGAAAAATTTCTTCTATAAGGGGGATTTTCGTGACAAAACATACCTTTCGTCAAAGAAAATCCGAAACATCTCAGAATTTTTCGGGGGAGTTTCAGAAGTTTGAACCTCTTCGTCAGTGATATAATTCTCGTCACTTTCCATTTTTCACAAAATAAAGTATTTTATATACAGATTCGGATATATAATAAACATTGACTTTGAGATCAAAATATTGCCACAATGCAGTTCAATGCACTGAACTGGAGTCAGTATTGGTTAGGGCCGGTTGTACAAATAACATATGAACTGAAGATCAACTGAACGTCAGTTCAGTATGAACTGAAGTTCAAGTGTTAATGTGTTGTACAATAGAAATTCAGTTGCAGTTCTATTGAACGAAAAATTTGTTGGGTTGGCTAGCCTGAAGCAGAGATATCTCTGCCTGAACTCTGTCATTTCTTAATTTTGACGTACACTTTTCGCGCCTATTTTAGAATTTAGCTTTGCTTGGCTTGGCTGTGTTTCGATTTTAAATTTTCAAAGTGTTTTTTGTGACCGTTACAGATAAATATTGCGTTTTGTTTATTAAACATTATTCTTTTTGGTTCCTATATAACTTCAGGTAAGAAAAAGCAATTTAATATGCACTTTAAAGATAATTATCTATTTATCTATACTATTTAAATAGTATAATAGTAGTATTTATTTTGGCTTTGGCTTTGGTAATGGAATATTTTGATTTTTATTAGTTGAGAAAGTTTTTGGGGCTTTGGTGATTGGGATATCTAAACATGGATCAAGAGAAAAAAAGGTCTCGCAATTTTAGTAGCCGAGAGGAATCCGTTTTACTAAGCTTAGTAAAAGAGAAAAAAAATAGAATAGAGTGTAAAAAAACTGACATGAACAACAACAAAATTAAAGAAAAGGCATGGTTAGAAGTTGCTGAGGAATTTAATGGAATATGTGGGGAAACTTTTAGAGATGTAAAAGTTCTTCGCAGTAAGTATGAAAATATTAAAAAGAGAACGAAGCAAAAAGTTGCAGACCAAAAATTTTTGGTAAAAGGAACAGGTGGAGGTCCAGGAAAGATGTTTGAGTATTCAAATGTAGAAAATGCAATCATCGAAATTGCTGGAACTCAAATAATTGGAACCGAGTCAAATTTTGATGATGATTGTGATGGTAAGTTATAGACTTTAAAAATTAAGTAAATGGTTTATAAAAACATATTTTATAGAAATAGAACAAGAAATAGAGTTGGAACAACAAGCCTTTCCTACCTTTTTGGAAGATGATGTCAAATGTAGCTTTGAATACAACCCAGGTAAAAAAAACCATATACTATTTAGTATAATTAGTAATCTAATAAAATATTTATTTCTAGAACCAATCAAGACAGTCTCACTGGCAGCAATAGAATTTGTACCACCTTCCTATTTAAAATCTACTTTAAGCAGCCCTGGTAAATTTTTTTTTATTACTTTTACATATTCATACAATATGATATATTTATTATTATTATCTATATATTTTGTTTTAGCAGCATCAGAATTTGTACAACCTTATTTGAAAACCAATTCAAGCAGCCCTGGTGAGAAAGTTGTTTAATCATTATTAAATATTTATAAAATAATTTTATTTTAGCATCCACTTCACAACAAGGAGATTGGTCAAAATATACTCCGGATATGTTAAGGACTCCCCGGTCAAAAGCACTTCGCAGTAGAACCACTAGCAAAGGTAAAAATTCTAAATACATATTATACAATTTTTTATGAACGTTTTTTTTTTTCTAGAAAATGTACCACCACCCAAACAACAAAATAATAAAGGTAAAATTGTTAATTACCTACTACCTATTATAAAGTAAAATCCAATGTTTAAAAAATATAAAAAATGTTACTTTATCTCATATTATTATTAATATTATCTTTTAGAATGTATGCCTCTCCCTATGAAAAAGAAGTTGGAAGAGTGGAGTTCTGCAAAGATAAAATTTACAGAACTCCAAGAAAAGTGTTTTCTGGAAGAACACAACCTAAAACTAAAAATTATGGAAAAGGAAAGCAACCTAAAAATGACCTTAATGGAAAAGGAAAGTAATTTAAAACAAGAAGAAACAAAATTAAAAATAGAAATATTAAAAATAGAAAAGGGAAAATTATTTAATTAATAAATGTTTTTTTAGAGCATAACTGTTATTTTTTCAAATCAAACTTTTTTGTTAATTTTTTGGTTTAGTAATTTTATGTTATTTGTAGTTTTAATGTTGATTTATATTATTGCAATTAGGGAGTAATTTAGTACATTATTATTATTTGTAAATATTTTTTTGTAAATTGTTAGGTATAGTAGTTTTATGTTAATAGTAATAGTAGTTTTAATATTAATTTGTATTATTGTTTGCAATAAATTAATTATTTAGTAAAATATTTTGTTGTAAATTGTTAGGTGTAGTAATTTTAATGTTAACTTCTATTATTGATTGCAATAAAAAATTATTCAGTACTTATATATAACGTATTTATTAAGTGGTTGACAATCCAGCAGTATTACAAAATATAAAAATTAAAGTAAATTTTGAAAGTAATCTGTAATAAGTGCATGTCTGACACTGTCATTGATACCAAGTCTATTTTGTCTAGCAGGAACATTTGGAATGTCAACAAAATTTATTGCTGCCTCAATTTCATCATTGACAGGAGGTACTGCATCACGCCTTGCACAAGCAATATTATGAAGTATTGTACAAGTAATCACAACAGCCTCCACTTTATTTAATTTAATTCTTACACCATAAGCAAGAATTGGAAAACGCCTTTTTAAAACTCCAAAACACCTCTCTATTGGATTCCTTGTTCGAATTTGTGATTCATTAAAAAGATGTTCAGCTGGTGTTCGTGGATTTAAAAGTGGTGTAATTAGGTACCTTTTAATACCATAGCCACTGTCTCCTAAAAGTAGATTTTCCCCAAATTCACCTCTCTCAAATTTTGCTCGTAGTCTAGAATGTCTAAATATATTAGAATCATGGGAAGCTCCTGGCCAACGGCAAACTATATTTTGAATCTGCAACTCAGAATCACAAACTGCTTGAACATTAAGGGAAAAGAAACCTTTTCGGTTTCTATAGTTTTCTGCCTCGGCTCCACCTGGAGATTGTATTCTAATATGAGTGCAATCCAATGCTCCTATGCATCTGGGAAAGCCACTGATATTATAAAACTTTTGCCGTACCTGGCGAATTTCTTCTTCGGTATTTGGCATACTTATGTACTCTCTTCTTTTCCTGGCAATTGCAGTTACAACTTTATGTATAACTCTGCTTGCTGTAGACTTATCAATGCCATTAAAATCACCAGTTACTTGTAGAAATGATCCTGTTGCAAGAAATCGTAAAGTAACAAAAACCATTTCTGCAGGGGAAAGAGCATGATTTCTACAAAAAAAATTGACAAAATAAGATCCTGCATACAAAAGAATTTGCATAATTTACTGACCTGTTTGTCGGGGAAGCAATATCATCTGCAATCTCATTAATTACAAATCTCACAGTATCTTTTGATAATCTAAATCTTTGTATAAATTCAGATTCATTCCATTTTTGGAAATGATCTGGTCGATCCCTAAAAATCTGGGGTCGTCTGGGAAAAGCAAACATAAAAACAATATCCAAAAAATCCTCATCATCAGTTAAAAGTTCCATTGGAATATTTAAAAATCTAAAAAAGCATGTAAAGGTTAATATTTTTTGTGACACATATAACATAACTTTACGTACCTTAATATGTAAAATGTTTATGTTTATTAACGTCCGAATATAAATAACATAAAAAACTGGTAAAAATAACTTAACCTTAAACACAAATTACAAATATACGCATGTGCCGCTGGCTTGACTGAAAGTTCAGTGCGTTGAACGGCCAACACCGGCGGTTCACTTTTAAGCATGAGTTCAAGCTTGAACGGATATTGCACAACATGAAATTTTCGTTGAACGTCCGTTCAACGTTGAACTACAGTTTACTGCTATTGAACTGCCATTGTACAACCGGCCCTTAGTCGTTACTATTGGTGGCATTGCGCCGCTTATATATTGGCAGCAATAACAACGTGTTATAAAACCTTAACAAATGATATGAAACTATCGTTCTCTTTGTCACACTCAATGAAAAAGCATATGTTTCGCATATATTCGGCGTTTAAGAACCCTATATTAAGAACACATCCTTTTTCAATCCGCTTTCTTTTTCTGTCTAACGTAGTAAAAAGGAAGAGGAATAGAAGCGTGACAAAGATGATCAAAAAACGGGGCAAAAATGATGTTTTTTTAGTATTAGTATGAAGCTATCTTAAAAATCCGTAAAAATCCGTATTTGATGAAAATCCGTTCAAAATCCGTTTCCAATTTCTCTAGACCTGGAAAATCCGTAAAAAACGGATAAATCCGTTCATCTGGCAGCACTGACCTTAAAGCTACAAAAATTATGAAAATTGGGTTGCTCTTCCTACCAACGAAACGAAAACAAAATCCCCCAACAAAACGTCAAAAACTGACATTTATTATGGTTGTTGACCATTAAAAATATCAATTTATGGTGAACGATAGCGTTTTGCTTGCCTTTAATGCGTTATTAATGGTGGGGTGCAGTAAATAATAAGTTTGTTAAAAGTGAAGTTACATAATTTCCCTTTAAAAGTGCCCATACACGAAGTAAAGGTGAGTTTAAAGTTTCCTTGGGTCTTTAAAACAACAGTAATTATGTGGGAGAGTCTTGATTGTATTTTTCTAATGTATTTGTTTACAATCCAGCAAAATATGTGATAAAAATGTTATATACATTATAATTACATTGTAAGAAGGATGTACCTTTTCCATGTGGAAATATACTATTTTAAAAGAAATGCTTAAGAAGTTCATTTGGATGTATTTTTAGACAACAGTAAATATTATACAAACAAATTATGAATATCATAAAAATAATAGTATTATTTCTATGGTGGGTATGGTAGTATAGTAGATTATTAGTAGTACCTGTAGTTACTATAATTGAATACGTCAATGCAGAAACTGAATATGTCCTACCTATCTAGTTTTGAGATAAATAAGAAAAACTAAACAGAAAGTGGACATGTTCTGGACATATTCAGTTTCTCTACTATATTAACGCCTTTGTATAATCTAGATTACCGTGACATGTGAAATTTCTATGCCATTCGATTGGGCACCCTTTACTTATAGTAAATCCATGTTTAACTCAATATCCCTAAAAAGTGGACATATTCAGTTTCTGCATTGACATATTCAATTATTATACCATTATAGTAGGTAGGTACTGTATATCCACAATTATTATAAGAGTTAATAAATCATAGGTAAAGTCGCCTAGGTATACTGAAGTTGCAATTATGTAATTTTTTAAAATATTTTTAAATAATTCAAAGAATGTTAACATTAATTAATTTACTCAACAAAATTATATAAAGAAAGTATTTTATAGGAGTTATGCAACCAAAAAAACTACAAAACACCATTGACTATTGTTTTAATTTATGCACAAGCATGTTATAATATATTGGTTATTTATGTTAATTAATCCTTTCAAAATTAAATTATATTTTGTTATTTAATTTACCTATGTAATAAAAATTAATTTAATTTTTTAAATACCTAACTGTAATTTTAATTTATTATTTTTTTTTAATTTTGTACAGATTCCTATTTGAATAAAAAAATAAAGTCAATGTATCTTTATAATGAAGTCACTTAATAAACTCTCATCCTTTGAAGGGGTTGATACTACACGCCAAAACAAGAAAGTTTTTCCTCTATCATTCTTGCATTAGAGCTTAGACATCTTAAAAAACAAAGTCATAAAACAACAAACAATTTTGACTACAAATTACAAGTGTTTTTTGTACCCCTTGGCTTCTAGGGTCATCATTGTTTTTACCTCTAAAAACAATGATATTATTCATCCAAGCAAAAAAGAAACAGGTAGGTATGCACACAGTGTATTATTTAATATCAAGCAAACTTTTAAAATTATTCAAAATCGGTTACTGTGGTTTCTCTGGGTTTACATGAACAGTTTAGTGTACCAGAGCGAAGTTGACACATTAGAACAACTCTGCTAACTTGTCACTGCAGCGGCAGATTAAATAAAAAATCATCCGGATATGATAGAAAGAGCGACACATCATAATTTTCTACGCCGCTGTCATCTTTGTGTGGATAATAACGGCGGGATAGTTGAACATTTATTAAGATTTTGTGGAACACTTTAAAAATAGCTATTAAGCATCAATCGACGTAAAAAGTGAAAGATGAAGTTTAAAATCCATGGGAAAACCACGGAAACCTCGAGATACCTAACAATAAAAATAAGTATTGTTTTATTCAAAGTTTTCAAAAATAGCTGAGCATGCAAAATAAAAAATAATTATCAACAAAGTAATTAATGATAACACAAATGCAAATTTTTAATTATTGCCCACTGTGCAAGCATATTTTGCGTCTGTTGTCATAGGTCAGGAACAACCAGTGGCGGCCCAAAATTTCCACTTTACTTATAAATATTTTTATAAAAAGAAAAGATAGAGATAAAACGTTCCTATTTTGGCTTGTGCTATCATCCCCTTAAAAGGACAAATGAACTTCATAAAAAGTTCTGCTTGTTTTGAAAAGTCTATTGCCATACTTAACATTTTAAAATTTTATACAGGGCGTTGAAAAAACAAGAAAACGTGAAATACTATCAAGAGTAAACTACCTTTATTTTTCGTTTTGGAGCAAAGTGATAAATAAAAAAAATCAAATTCTATCCAAGACTAATTTTAAAATTTCAACTCAGTATTCCAAATTTTATTTTTCTTTTAAAGTTTCTGTAAAAAAAAATATGTTACAATGCAAATTATCATTTTGACATTACTTGATTACAATAATTATTGTTAATTGTATCATTTTTGTAATAAAGGTAAATTTACACTAATGTCCCAAAACAAGCAGAACAGTTCATAAAAAGTAACTATTTTATGAAGAATGACTTTTGGTCGAAAAATGAACATTTTAGTCTATTTGTCCTCTTGGGCCCTCTATCTGTGGACATACTGTATATTAAAACTTTAACATGCTGTAGAAAGTAGATACATTTTTAGTTAAAATAGCTTATTACATTTACTGCTTTAAAAACCCAGGACAGAATGTGCCATAAGCGATCTAAATAAGATAATAATAATAAGAAAAAATGTCAGGATTCAAGTTTAAAAGTAATAATTTATATTGGCTTAAATAATTTTTCAGGAGGGGTGGGTCAGATAGATAGGGAGTAAGGGAAAAACCACCCTAACTTTTTTGTACGTGTCTTGTCACAAGATTTGATTTCAGATTATTTAATTATTTTAAGTTTTTTTTTAATGTGCTTCGAACCCACGACCTCTCGGCTTGTAGTCCGCAGCAAATCAAATCAAAAATATTTATTCATGTTATTGTATAAGTATATAATATTGTAAAATAAATTTAAACATATGTATAAGTGTATAAATAAAATGAACAAAAATAAATGTGCCTGGCACGTAATGTTCATTCATAAAGGAGGTTACTATATATACATTTCAACGCAATATAGCAACCCCCTTGGCCGATGTTTTGGCCTACTCAAAATCTATCTTACAATTTGGAATTAATCTGCAGTTCGCCATTCCCTTCGCTCAACCGATGCATCGGTGCATCGCGATGCAGGGGCAATATTGTTCCGATGTTTTCTGTGTATAAATTAGGGACTGTCAGGTTATGCTTTTCATAGTTTTTTAAGACGGTTATTAAGGGAAAAATTTAAAAAAAACCCTTTTGAGAAGTTTGTGGTATTTTACGATTTTACGATTTTTAAGTTATGGATTTAGAATTTAGAATTAAGGATCAGGGGGAGGTAGTGGTTCATGAAAAATAGGTAGGCGTCCGTAAATTAGTCTGTGTTTATAGTATATCTTGTGTTGGTGTCTGATGTTGGTGATGTTACGTGTAAGGGGTGAATTTTGAATTTTGTATTTATAGAAATTGTTTGAAAGTCCGCAGCGTTGACTACTACACCACCGAGGGCGGTAATGGAGGTTTACATACAAAAAAGTTCAACAAACTTCAATAATATTTACAATTTTCGCTTAAAATCGATTTGATTCAGCTTGGTCTATATAACACGGCTGCCATGTTTAGGAAAAATTATTCAAGACAGGTGACATTTTATGCAATGTAACAGGGAGTTTGATCAATTCTCAAAATTTCATTTTTCTATCTTCAACGGTTTTGGAGATATTAAATAAAAACCATCATCAGGGGCTGAAAAAGGAACTTGTTTTCCTATTTTTGTACGTAAAATCTTGTGTTAAAGTATTGCAAGCTAATTATGGGACAATCTGTGTACACAAAATATTTTATAAGCCTCCGTTTCTTGCAGATAGACTCGGTGTGGGGTTGGGCGTCGCCGCCCTTACGCATCCAGCTGGGGCCCCACCTCCATGTGCCTTGTCGCATGGGCGAAATGACGGGCGGAGGCGGGGGCGTTGGGGGCGGCGATCGGCCGCCCTCGCCCGCCCGACTGTCTCACACCTCGGACAAGCATCCGAAGAACACGCTGGCCGAGCTGAACTTGCTGCGCAGACACCGCGAACTGTGCGACGTGGTGTTGAACGTAGGAACTAGGAAGATTTTCGCGCACCGCGTGATTTTGAGCGCGTGTAGCCCGTATTTCAGGGCCATGTTTACTGGGGAGCTCGCAGAAAGTCGCCAGACAGAGGTCACGATAAGGTTAGTTTTTTTAAATAATTTTTAACATACTTTTTAGGTGTAAAAAAAAATTGTAATATATGTAGGGTTGGGACAGTTGAAAGTTTCAGAAATTTCATTGAAAGTTTCGCAATTTACTGAAAATTTCGCATAAATTTCTCTGGGACCTTTAATAATAATTTACAACAGATTCCGAATCGACCAATAAGAACGAGTTATCAAGCGTCTGGGCGTTTTTGTTTAGTTCGGCTTGGATTTGAATACATTATAAGTAATTATTGTTACTTATATGCATAAATTAATTTAAATAATTTAATTCAGTTACCAATTTAATTTGTAAATTAAATCAGACTTTATTTTTTTTTTAAAGTCACGATTAATTTAAATTTTACTTTTGCTATAATTGCATCGGAAAACGGATAAAAAATGCCTTTGGCTCATAAAATTTTGATGAAGTTTCTTCAATTTTCGAAAAATTTCAGTAAAATATATAAAAATAATAAATAGGTATATATAAATATAAAACAATGAAAGTTGCACAATCTCATTAACTTACCAAAAAGTGCTATATCTCTCTTAGTTTTAGTAATTTTAAAAATATTTTAAAAGGAAATCTCAAGAAATTTGTGGTAAACATAGGTATTTACTATTTATATTATTGGTGGTCAGGAGCCAACAGAGAGGTAGGAGGTAAGAGAGGCAATTTGCAATGGTCCCGGAGTGGGCTTATTTCAATATTAATATATTACTCTTAAAATGATTGAAATTTATTGAAACTTTCAATAAATTTCATAAATTTCATGAAATTCAGAAATTTATGTCATGAAAATTTCAAGTGAAATTTCAAGTACAAGCAAAAAGTGAAATTTTCTCAACCCTAAATATATGTACCTAAATGACAACCATATAAAGCACATGTTAAAGGTTATTAAGCTTACAAAATTTGATTAATTGTCACGGGATGTCGGAAGAACAAGATATATCATTTCATTATAATGTTTGAAAAAAATTACAAAGTATACTTTTTTTAGACAATATAAAATAATATATAAAAAGCATTGGAATGATAAAAAAACACTTGGATATTTTTTAATTGCTCCTTATTCGTTTATTTTATTTCATAAAGGTAATTAGTTTGATAAAATAAAGTACAATCTGGTATTATTTTGTGCTTAAAACACAATATTAAATAGTATATTATGTCACGAATTTAATTTAATTAAATGAGTGCCTAGAAAATATAATATTATCTAAAAATGATTTAAATCTACGCTAAAGAAATATCGCTAGTAGCGCCACCACTCGGCTGTTATCATCGTAACAAAAGTATAACTTTTTATAATCTGCTGTCAAAGCGCTTATGTTATAAACGAGTGTTTTTGAGAATAAAACCGGAAAACATGGGCGCCGGAAGGAATTCGTCTAGGGGGGGCCCTTAAAGTTTTTTACAAGTTTGATAGATGTTATTTATAATCAAGTTATACTGTAGAAGTTCACATTAAACTTAAGCCAAATAAAATATCATCTTTATGTATGTATATTTACCTATTTATTTATATTGGTACATATTGCAAAAAATAAATCACAGTTTTTTGGTAAATATATAAATATAAAAAAATTGTATCGCCGAGGAATCTCTAGTACAGCCGTCTTAAGTATACGCTAGAGTGTTTCATTTAAAACGAACATTTTTTTTTTCTTGCTGACACATGAAAATTTTGTTTTTTAGGTTGAAAAAAAAATTCCCTGAAAATTTGAGCCCTTAATTTTGATTCTAAGTACTTCCTTTTTAATTTTGTAGTTTTTCCATATAAAAAGCATGTATTTTTAATCATTTTTACTTTAAATTTCTATATTTTGGCCGGGTTTTGAATTATAATTTTTATCACCATAATTTTCTGCATAGTATTCACGGTTTTTGAAAGGCCCTGCATCAATTTTGTTTTTGATTTATTTACGTTGATTGTATACTATATATAGTAGCTCCAAAAGTCGTTTTTTCACTCTTTTCACATATTTTTGAGAAAATCGAGCGAATGACTGGTTTTACCGAAAAAGTTCAAATAAAAAAGTTGTAGAAAATTTAATTTTTGACAAAAAAGGTTTTTACGTTCATATCACTAAAGTGCTTTGTTTAAGAGATATAAGGAATATATAGTCGTTTAATAAAATTACATACATTTCAATAAAACCTAAACCAAAATTGATGCAGGGTCTTTCAAAAACCGTGAATACTATGCAGGAAATTATGGTGATAAAAATTATAATTCAAACCCCAGCCAAAATATAGAAATTTAAAGTAAAAATGATTAAAAATACATGCTTTTTATATGGAAAAACTACAAAATTAAAAAGGAAGTACTTAGAATAAAAGTTAAGGGCTCAAATTTTCAGGGAATTTTTTTTTCAACCTAAAAAACAAAATTTTCATGTGTCAGCAAGAAAAAAAAAATTTCGTTTTAAATGAAACACCCTATACAAATTATGTAACTATACGCTATACAAATTATGTTAAATTAAAATATAATGAACAAATGATAACGATCAGCACTTAACGTCAAATTATGGAGTACCGGAATTTCTGGGTATGAATTTCCAGGGGGGGGCCCGGGCCCCCCCCTGCCCCTATGTAGCGGCGCCCATGCCGGAAAATGTTAAAAAATTATCGAAAAAAAACCGTGGCTCGATTTGTTGTGTTGTTGGGTGTATTTCGAGAGGAAATCCTGGGTTGAGTTTTTACCGGTTTTCCAATAAACAGTGTTAATCTGAATGAAGAAATAAATTGCATACAGTCTCTGTAAATATTAATTGTACCTAAAGTCTACACTCAACGGTAACAAACCATTATATAATGTATTATATATAATATTGTTGCCATGAATTCGTAGGTATATTTTGTTGTTTAAAATGCAGTTGTCGGCGTTTTTTAGAGAACTCAAACATAAAAATTGTTGATTTTAAGGTTATGTTTGTGCAGAAATTATTTTTGACTAATTTCTTAAAAATGTTCAAACTTAAATATAAATTATATTATGTAAAGTTATAATTAGTTAATTCTGCACCAACAAATTTACTTGCCGAATTGGATCCTTTGGCAAAACATGAAAATGCAACGATTTAATTCTTGAATTTTATTTACAATTAAAAACACAATAATTCACCATGATCCCTTTGATAAAATACACACAATAACGTAACTATATAAGCATTTAAGCGTTGAGTTTCTTAATCAATGATATAAGGAATAATCAATCAAAATCGAGTACGCGTTTCGAAAACCCGATAATTCTTTAGCGTATAAATGCAAAATATTATCACAAAGTTTAAAAAAAGTTAACACGGAAAATTTTAAAGGTACAAAAAGTGAAAGTTGCATTTATTGGAATTCCAGTTAGAATTTCCAACTTGGGAATCTACCAGCGTTAAAATATCAAATTTTTCTGTTTTAATCAAAATTTATCCCTTGAAAATAGACTAACAATCGATATAGAAGCAGTTTTTTACAGTTAAAGAGAAGAGAATGTTTTATGAGCTCTGAACGCTCTATCACTTAAATCCAGTTAACTGCACTACTACAAACGTTCATATAATATTGGCGTCAAGAAACTATTTAATACTACTACTTTTGTATTGAGATAATAACATAATTTTCACATTTAGTATTATTTTACAAGAAACTTAAAACTTACCTCAGGCCGTGACTAAAAACCTGTTGCTAACATCAGCCCGTGACTAAAACGCCGTAAAGCCACAACTTGTAAATGGGTCACAGTGTCATGGAGACATGTACGATAATGGACGTTTTAAATGTGGGAGTAGAAAAACAAATTAAAAATCCAAATTCTAAAAAGCTATCATGAACAGTTATAGTTAATATATTAATTTATAGTAAGATGGCTCTAAAGAATCCATAAAATGTTTAATATATTGTATTAAATTATTCATTTTACATTATAATAATGCATTAGTCAGATTTCGTGAAATTTATCACTATAGTGACTATAGTATTAAAAGCTTAGATTTGAATGTAAATACAAAAAATAGGGTTTAAAAAAATAATTATTTAAACATGTTTTGTTAATTTTTCTTTTATTTAAACATATCTTGTGATCTAATTATCGAAATTTATTTCATTAAAGTATAGAAAACCATTTTATAATGACGTTTTAAAAATAAATACCTAGTTAAATTATGTTAAAAATAAAAAAGTTAAGATTTGCAAATTGATTTTTTATAACTCAGCTCAGCCTTAGCTGGGATATCAATCAGTAAATCATTTGAGACAACTTTTTTTCAAATCTATAAAATTTTCAAAAACTTTGGATGCTATCTGATAACACAACATGATCATTGGATAGCGTGGTGCTTATGTCACATATTTGGAAAACTAATAAAATGTTAATTTTGTTATTTATTAATGTTGTAGATAGGATTTTTTGACTTAGTAGGCCGCCATTTTTACACTCTTAATAAAGGAGAACCTGCACTAAAATTATGTGCAACATGTTACTTTAAGAAAAAAAACAAATCATTTTACTTTGTTAACTAAGTTAACATATTGCATTTTTAAATACGCTGTGAAAAATTAAATGTGGAAATCCGATGACGTATCGCAGTGCGGGTTGACCTTAATGGGGTTGTTGACAGAACAGTGTTTTGGTTTATAGGTTAAGTTTTCTTATTACATTATTTTTTTCAATGTTATAAAATTATGCTGTGCTAGTTTAAAAATCTAACAAGAGGGGCATCAGGAGGGATTACTTAATTGCACTCATGAGTATGCTGACCAAAAACCTGTTGCTAACTTCAGCCCGTGAATAAAGCCACAACTTGTCAATGTGTATTTAAAAGGTCACTTGGTGTCATGGAAACCTGTACGATAATGGGTGTTTTAAAGGTGGGAGTAGAAAAAATGTTTTGTTTCAAATAACTACAGAATTACTAAAGCGTTTGCCATAACTCTCTGTATAGTATTTAAATTATAAATTTTATTTATATTGCATATTTTACAAGAATATAACAAATTTAATAATGTTATAAAATAATTTCATTCATAACTTATAGCATAAAGATTAGATATAAATATTCAATAGTGAATTTTTTAAGACCAATACGAATTAACATACAGGGTGATCCCCTATAATGTCGCCCCCCTTTAACTTTTTTATTTTAAGTGTCCCAAAAAATTTAAAAGTGTGGTTATGTAGGTACTAAAAAATACTTTTTTTTTCGTATTAAAAAAAATGAAAAATTGATCAATATACAGGGAAAAACAAAAAGTTTATTTTTTTTCAATGGATCACCCTATATATGAATTTATTTTTCGATTCCTTGTAAAATTTTGAACAACTTTTATAACAAACCATATCCTAAATTCAACTGTTTCTGAAATATTCGCATTCGAAATGTTATCATTAAATGTTTTTTTAAACTGTTAGAAATCAAGAAGCCTCAGTATACCAAAATTTTTATTGAAAATAAGTTATTATAGTGACATTATGTCAATATGTCTTGTTAAATAAGTAAAAATGGCCTACTCAGACAGAGAAAGACAAACTATTTCAACTTATTATCTTAAAAATAATTTAAATATTTCAGAAACGGTTGAATAGACCTATCCCATAAAACGGACTTTTGGATAGCGCGTGCGTGAAAAGGCACGTCGTCTTTTTTTAATTATATAAAAGAGAAAGAGATACCACTCTTCTTCAGGCACGCGCTATCCAAAAGTCTGTTTTATGGGATAGGTCTATTTAGGTATATGGTATGTTATATGAAATATGCTTAGAATTTTACAAGGAATTGAAAAATAAATACATATATGTATAGGGTGATCCATTGAAAAAAAATAAACTTTTTGTTTTTCCCTGTATACTGATCAATTTTCCAATTTTCTTTATACGTAGAAAAAAAGTATTTTTTAGTACCTACATAACCACACTTTGAACATTTTTCGGACACTTAAAATAAAAAAGTTAAAGGGGGGCGACATTATAGGGGATCATCCTGTACCTACTTAAATATTTTGTAAATTTTAATAGATTTTTAAACATATTTTAATTCATGAGTTTGTTCACATCTTTAACAGATTTTTTTATCTTAGTTCATCTAGCTTATTCCACAGTTTTATCTACAAGTTTAATTAAAAAATTTAGAGACATTGACGAGCTGGCAATGGACCTGCTGATCGACTTCTGCTACACCTCGCACATAATCGTCGAAGAATCGAACGTGCAGATGCTGCTGCCGGCCGCGTGTCTCCTCCAGCTCACCGAGATCCAGGACATCTGCTGCGAATTCCTGAAGCGCCAGCTCGACCCGACCAACTGCCTCGGCATCAGGGCGTTCGCCGACACGCACTCCTGCAGGGAGCTGCTGCGCATCGCCGACAAGTTCACGCAGCACAACTTCCAGGAGGTGATGGAGTCGGAGGAGTTCCTGCTGCTGCCGGTGGGCCAGCTGGTCGACATCATCTCCAGCGACGAGCTGAACGTCAGGACCGAGGAGCAGGTCTACAACGCGGTCATGTCCTGGGTCAAGTACAACGTGACCGAGCGGCGCGTGCACCTGCCGCAGGTGCTGCAGCACGTGCGGCTGCCCTTGCTCAGCCCCAAATTCCTCGTGGGCACGGTGGGTTCGGACTTGCTGGTGCGCAGCGACGAATCGTGCCGCGATCTAGTCGACGAGGCCAAGAACTACCTCCTTTTGCCGCAGGAACGGCCGCTGATGCAGGGGCCGCGCACCCGGCCCAGAAAACCGACCAGGAGAGGTGAAAAGCGCCAAAAACCGCGCAACATTTACCTCATTCATTTTTTTCTTTTCCAGGTGAGGTACTTTTCGCTGTGGGCGGCTGGTGCAGCGGCGATGCCATCGCCTCGGTCGAGAAGTTCGATCCGACAACGATGGAGTGGAAGATGGTGGCGCCGATGAGTAAGCGACGTTGCGGCGTCGGTGTTGCCGTGCTGAACGATCTTTTGTATGCTGTCGGTGGGCATGACGGCCAGAGTTATTTAAATAGTATAGAGAGGTGAGATTTTTTATTATTTTTTATAAAGGGTGGGCCATCTATAAGTTGAATTTTAAACTACGTGCTATTAATGAAGCTTTCAACTTAAGCGCCGTGAATTGCTGACAGTGGTTTAGTTTTAACCTTCCGATTACAAAATATGCACCGAATAAATTTGGATCAACGTTTCGAAATACTCAAAACTTACTTTGAATGTGACTGTGATCGCAGAGACGGCAAGAAAATTGCGTTTGGAAGAAATTAGGCGCCGTCAAACCAAAGTATTACAAATTTGATCAAAAAATTGCGCAGAAATGGAATGCTGGTGGACATAAAACATGTTTCGCATGCTCGTCCTAGACGTACGCCTGAAGCAATCGCTGCTGTGGCCGAAAATGTACGCATGAACGCGTCAACATCAACTCGGCGCAGATGTCAACAACTCGGCCTTTCCCGTACCACTCTGAGGATGATTCTGCACAAAGACCTCGGTATGTTTGCGTACAAAGTCCAGCTTGTTCAGGAGTTAAAGCAAGTTGACCATCCACAACGTTTTCGCTTTGCTGAGTGGGCTTTAAACCAGTTGAACGATGACCCTAATTTTGCAAGAAAAATCATCTTTTCGGATAAAGCGCATTTTTACCTCGGAGGTTATGTCAACAAGCAAAACTGTAGGATTTGAGCCACGGAAAATCCACACGTCGCCGTAACAAAGCCTATTCACCATTTAAAACAAAACATTCAAGCTCAAATTGCCTAAATAGAGCAGCAAACTTTTGACAAAGTGCTCGAAAATTGGTGTTCCAGGATGGGCTACTGCCGAGCCAGCTGAGGTGGCCACTTAAATAAAATCATTTTCCATACTTAATCGGAAGAAACATTGTATCAAATAAAGCAAAATTCGTTGAAAAAAAATCAGTTTTTCTTGTTCTCATTGCTATTTTATAATTCAACATAAACATGGCACACCCTTTATATACTATAATATAGTATTTTAGCGTTTTTCTCGATACATATTTAACTCATTTTTGTATTAATATAACCAGGACATATTTTTGTAGGGAATTAAAAGGTTTAAAAAAAAATATCTCTTATAATTTTATGATAAATCTACTGTTTAAAAAGTTATTTAAAGGTCAAGTTAAGTTTCTAGATTTTCTATTTTCCATTTATAAAGCACGGGAATTTTTAAATAACTTTGTAATTTTATTGATAATACCAGGACATATTTTTTTAGGGAATTAAAAGCCCTACAAAAAAGCTCTTAAAATTTTATGATAAATCTACTCGTTAAAAAAATATTTAGGTTCAAAGTTAAATTTATAGTAATTATAACTTTACTATAAATCTATATTTTCAAAAGTTGAATTTACAATACATTTTCTAGATTTTTATTTTCCATTTATAGAACACGGGAATTTTTATTTAACTTTGTAATTTTATAACTCCTTAACGAATTTGTGTGTTAATAATATCAGGACCTAAATAAATCTACTCTTTCAAAAGTTATTTAAGGTCAAAGTTAATTTATAGTAAATTTTGTAGATTTTTTATTTTTCATTTATAGAACACGGGAATTTGTATTTAACTTAGCAATTTTATAACTCTATAACGCATTTTTGTATTAATAATACTAGGACTTATTTTTGTAGGGATTTCAAGGCTCTACAAAAAGGTTTCTTATAATTTTATGATAAATATACTCTTTCAAAAGTTGAATTTACAGTAAATTTTCTAGATTTTTTATTTTCCATTTATAGAACACGGGAATTTGTATTTAACTTTAACGCATTTTTGTATTTATAATACCAGGATATATTTTTGTAGTTCATTAAAGGCTCTACAAAAAAGGTCTCCTAAAATTTTATGATAAATCTACTCTTTCGAAAGTTATTTAAGGTCAAGTTAAATTACTAGATTTTCTATTTTCCATTTATGTAACACGGGAATTTTTATTTAGTTAATTTTATAAATCTTGAACGCATTTTTGTATTGATAATAAAAGTATATTTTTGTAGTTGATTGAAGGCTCTACAAAAAAAGATCTCCTATAATTGTATGATATATAAACTATTTCAAAAGTTATACTTATACCTTAAGGTTAAATTGAATTAAAAGTAAATTTTCTAGATTTTCTATTTATCATTTATTGAACACGGGATTTTTATACAAATGTATATATATTTTTTAAATTTGTAACTATAACTCTTTAACGCATTTTTGTATTGATAATACCAGAACAAATTTTTGTAGGGAATTGAAGGCTCTGCAAAAAGGGTCATTTTTTTCAAAAGTTATTTAAGTTCTAAGTTGAATTTACAGTAAATTTTGTAGATTTTCTATTTTCCATTTATAGAACACGTGATTTTTTTTAACTCTGTAATTTTATAACTCTTCAACGCATTTGTGTATTTTTTTAATATTTTCTACAAAAAAAAGTCTCTTATAATTTTCGATTAAATCTACTCTTTCAAAAGTTAATTAAAGGCAAAGTTGAATTTACATTAAATTTTCTAGATTTTCTATTTTCCATTTATAGAACACGAGATTTTTTTACTGTTTAACGCAATTTTGTATTGATAATACAAAGAAATATTTTTGTAGAGAATTACAAAAAAGGTCTCCTTTAATTGTATGATAAATTTACTCTTTTAAAAGGTATTTAAGGTAAAAGTTGAATTAATAGTAAATTTTCTAGATTTTCAAGTTTCCATTTATAGAACACGGGAAGAATACCTATAAGAAATTTAATAATGTAATAAAATAATTTCATTTATAACTTTTAGCCCGAATTATTATAATAGTGTTTATAAACATTAAATTTTTGTTACTTTGGTATTTTAAAAGTTATAAGGTTAAATTGATTTACAAATAATTAATTTAAATTTTCTAGATTTTCTATTTATTATTTATTGAACACGGGATTTTTATACAAATGTATATATTTTTTTTAAATTTGTAACTATAACTCTTTAACGCTTTTTTGTATGGATAATACCAGGACATATTTTTGTAGGGAATTTAATGACAAAGTTAAATATACTTTAAATTTTCTAGATTTTCTATTTATATAGGTAACATGTTTTTTTTTTAACTTTGAAATTTTGTAACTCTAACGCATTTTTGTATTGATAATACCATGATATATTTTTGTAGATAAGTGAAGGCTCTATAAAAAAGGTTTCCTATTATTTTATGATAAATCTACTCATTCAGAAGTTATTTAAGGTTAAAGTTGAATTTACAGTAAAATTTCTATTTTCCATTTATAGAACACGGTAATTTTTATTTAATTTTGGAATTTTATAATTCTTTTACGCATTTGTATTGATAATACCAGGACATATTTAAGGGTAAAAGTGAATTTGCTGTAAATTTTCTATTTTCCATTTATAGAACACGGGAATTTTGGAATTTGGAATTTTTTAACTCAACGCATTTTTGTATTGATAATACTAGGACATATTTTTTTAGAGTATTGAAGGCTCTACAAAAGAGGTCTTATAATTTTACTATAAATATACTCTTTCAAAAGTTATTTAAGTGCAAAGTTGAATTTTCAGTCAATTTCACGGAAAAATGAAATCATTTGACCTCAAATAACTTTTGAAAGAGTAGATTTATCAAAAAATAATATAAGACCGTTTTTTGTAAAGCATTTAATTTCCTGCAACAATCTGTCCTGGTCTATTCAATACAAAAATGCATTGACGAGTTTTAAAGTTAAAAAAAACATATCATGGGAAATATAAAACAACTCAAATTTTGAAAAAAAAAATACATAATACATAAAATAATAATTTTTCTCAAAGGTATGATCCACAAACAGACCAATGGTCTTGCGACGTTGCCCCTACGACATCTTGCCGCACGAGCGTCGGCGTTGCCGTTTTGGACAACTTACTTTACGCTGTTGGAGGTCAAGACGGAGTTCAATGTTTGAACCACGTAGAACGGTAAGACGACGTCTAAGAATGTATGTGAAGAGTTGCAAATAATGCATTATTTTTTTAATGCATGAAGGTTTCAATACACATTGTTAAAATTATGAGTAATGTAATGAGTGATGAGTGTTTAATTTTCATTATGCATTATTTCTTTTTTAATGAAAATTAAGTTAATTACTAATTACATTTTTTCCAATGAGTAATGCATTACATTACTCATTTTAAATTTGTAATGAGTATTTTGAAATTTTTAATTACAATTTTTTATTTTAATGAGTAATGTACTCACTTTGCATAACTCATTTTTTTATTTTTAATGAGAAATTAATGATTATTAAATTACTCATTTTTAGTGGGCAAGGAAAATATTTTTATTGCATGACACATTTTTTCATTTTTTGTTTTGAATTTTTTTTAACAGTCTTAAACCATTGTAAAATATAGACTTTATCTAGTTTCATACATAATATGTACATATTAGGTACATAGTTTAAATAACAAATATTACAATACAAATATTCAGGTACTAATTTGTTTTTAATTTTAAAAATGATATCTGATGCTTTAATCGTAATTTTTTGTTTAACACTGAGGTGAGGTGAGGTGAAAATAAGGAAAATACAATGTTAACATATAAACTTAATTGTTTTCCTACTCTATTTAAAAAGTACACTTTTTTGGACATTTTAGACATAATATAATAATTGAGTAGAAAAATTTAATCGTAAGTAATATCATAAGGGCATTTGATTTTTCCGAAAAGAATTGAAAAAACACGTTGCTAAGTAATATTTTAACAAAAAGCATGAGTGCTGGTGGCAACAAAAATCCGAGTCGAAGAGGAGGATTTTTGCACCTGCACGAATGCATTTTGTTAAAAAATATTACTTAGCATTGTGTTTTTTCAATTTTTTTCACAGGAAAAATTAGATGCCCGAATGGTATTTGACAAGACTATTTCATGAGTAACAGTTAACAATTAAAATATAAATTGCAATTTTTGGTGACAGCAGCTGTCAAGTTTTGCCGCGGGTAAACTCGAATAAACTGCTGACAGGTGCTGTCACACAGTTTTTTTTACCTAGAAACCATTTGTAATTCAAAATTGCGTGTTTGTAATTGGTGGAAATTAAGACGAGGGAAATAGTCATTGATATACAATTACACCACGGCGTGATTACACCCAAGTATTTTATTTCTTTGACTCTTACCAGACTAATATTATTAATTTTAATATCTACATTGAAAATTTTAAAATTTGAACCAATTACATTATATTTATATATTTTTTGTAATAAAACAAAGATCACACAACCAGTTATTAAGAGTAGATAAATCATTATTTAAAATATCTACCATTTAATTAATATTATTTCCATAAACATATAACATAGTGTCGTCAGCAAACATTAAACATTGCTCTTATTTACATCATTAATCATGTCATTAACATAAGGTGACCAACTCTCCTGAAAAAAAAAACCGGAATAAAAAATCTGTATTTTTTATAAAATTTTTACATGTATTTGTATTAACATAATATTACAAATTAATATTTTTTTAAAACTATATTTTTCTTGGGAGTGATTTTTTTTTATTAGTACTTCATTAAAGCATGTTTGATCAAAATTAGTTTTAATATTTAATAATGATTTTAGTGTTTCAATATGCAATTGTGAATTGTCTTTTGTCCAAAAGTTGTTCATATAGGAAAAAACTTTCTCTACAGGACTATTTGTTCAAGATAAACACAACAATATGGGTAATTCTTTTGCATTTTCGTTTTTTACAGAGGCATATCATTTAGAGTTTGAAATATAAAAAACAATAGATATTACAATATTTAACCACAATAAAACGCGCAGACGTCAGGGACATGCGCAATACTAAAGTTCGTTTGGGGAGAGCCAAGTGCGAACGCCAACGCCAATGTATTTAGTGGGAATAGGGCGAGCAGGGTTGCACGTACGATTGGTCGAAAAATCTGGCAAAATGTAAAATATAATTTTATGTTTATGGCTTAATTAGTATTGTAGGTATATGTAGGTATGAAAACAGAAAAGCTTTTGAAAAACAGAACTTTTACTTTACTTAATTTACAACCAGAACATGGTGCTCAAAAACAGTATAGTTCTGGTTAAATCAGAACGGTTGGACACCTTACGTTAACATATATCATGAATAACAATGGACCTAAAACTGTACCTTGTGGTACCCCTTTTAACATTTGGTTTGACATTTTGGTTGATAAATGTTTATTAAATCTCATTTTGAGTTATATTTAAAATATATGAACTAAAACACTTTACACATCCGGATAATTCAATTTTGTTTAGTTTCTTTAATAAAAGATATTTATTAGTACAAACTCACGACGAATGTCCAAAAATAACTACTTCCCAAACATCAAACCAATTATTACAAACATTTAAAATAACAGTTTAAGATGAATGTTTACTTCTAAAAGCATTATATTAAATGCTGGCTAAACCCACCTTTAGACTCTCAAGCTCTCAACTTGAGACTCTTAAGCTGGACACAACCGTCCGCTAAACCGAACCGCTATCTCTCGCTCCAGCTACGACCCGAAGGAGAACAAGTGGACGAAGGTGGCGCCGATGACGACGCGGCGCCTGGGCGTCGCGGTGGCCGTGCTCGGCGGCTACCTGTACGCCATCGGCGGCTCGGACGGCCAGTCGCCGCTCAACACGGTCGAGCGGTACGACCCGCGGCACAACAAGTGGACGCTGGTGAGTCCGATGTCGACGCGCAGGAAGCACCTCGGCTGCGCCGTTTTCAACAACCTGATCTACGCGGTGGGCGGCAGGGACGACTGCATGGAGCTGAGCAGCGCGGAGAGGTACAACCCGCACACGAACACCTGGAGCCCCATCGTGGCGATGACCTCGAGGCGCAGCGGGGTATGTTTTTTTTCCTTTGTCAAAAATCCTTTTTAGCTAGATTCAATTACTAAAACCTCATTCAGAGTCCCAAGCAGCATTTTTGGTTCCAAAAACCATTACCAAAGTGGTGATAACTTTAAATTAGATAAGTATACTAAACAGCTACTTTAATTTTTACTTAAAAGTCATTCTAACTTTTAAAAAGCAATATTTTTTTAACAGAAACTTCATTCTTTTCTTAAATGGTTACTATAAAGTAATAAACATTTAAGTAAAACTTGGTTGCCCCCAAGAAGACTTTGCAAATTTAAAAAAGGTGTTATAAGTAAAAAAAAAGAATTTCCTGTTGGAACTACCTCATTTGATTAAATATCTATTTAAAAAACGAGTGAGTCACCTCAAGATAAGTAATAAAAAAAAATTTTTGAATTTTTTTATAAGGTACAAATTATTCCCCCATGCTAAGAAAAAAAAACAAACATTTTGTTTTCAACCCACCCTATTGCTTAGTTTTTGTGTGATGTTCTTACATCTCATCTCTGTTGGCTTACCAACCGAGCATATATGCTCAGGGAGTCCTTTGTTTTGAGTGTATTCCACTACACCAAGTTGCCCGACACTGATGAGACCTAATATAGGTCGAAACAGCTGTCTGTCGGTATTTGAAGTTGGTGGAACGCACTCAAAACAAAAAACTTTGGCGAGGTGTAGGTTCAATTTTTTCTTACTCAAGCACTTTTTGTTTTGTTTTGGTGTTGGGAAATATTTCTAATATTTGTTTAACATACCACCAAAGTTCTTTTTCAAGTATGACATAGATGTTGACACAAAAAAAAATTATTTAGGTCGGCTTGGCAGTGGTGAACGGCCAGCTGTACGCGGTGGGCGGCTTCGACGGCACCGCCTACCTGAAATCCATCGAGTTCTACGACACCGAGCAGAACCAGTGGCGCCTGTGCAGCTCGATGAACTACCGGCGCCTGGGCGGCGGGGTGGGGGTGATGCGCGCCCCGCAAACCGAAAACCGGATTTGGTAGCTAAGCGCCTGTCTGGTGACCGACAAGAGCCAGATCGACATCGACCTCGAATTTCTCGCCAGCGTTCCGTAACGATTGCTCGCGTTACGAGTGCGACGGGTGCCGAAGAACTTCGGTAAGTGCAAATGACAGATAAACACCACCATTTGAGGACTTGCAAGTCTAATCCTCGTTTTTTCCAGTAAGTTCTCAGTGACACACGCTGCTAACTTCTCTCTTATTTACAGAGTTAAACAACCTGTTGCTAGGTAACTACATCTAGCAACAGTTTGTTTAACCTTACTACCAGGGCTGAAGCTAGCTAAGAGCTGTCACCACTGTGAAACTCTTTTAAACAAACAGTTACTTTTTAATAAAAACTTATTAAGTTTGGATATCCAGGGCAAGTTCAAATCAAACCCTGGACATTTTTAAACCCCGAGTAGTTTTTAGTTGATTTCTCAAAGTGTATGAAGATTTAGGTTTAAGAGAGCTTTATAATATTACCAAAAGAGTATCAAAACGATTATGATAAGAGTTATTAAGTATTTACTAATTAGGTCTCAAATAGGATCTCCGCCCCAGTTTCTCAATTTTAATGTAGGTATTACTGGGTAATGTATATTACCCATGACATCGCTTTTTAAATGATTTTGTAGAATGTTTGAGATTTTTAATGAAGTGGTTAATTTTTAACACATACTTTTTATGGTTTTAAACGTTTGCTTACAAAAGCGGCAAGAAAACACATCACACAGCTGTATCATTGAAGATTTTTGTCCATATATCTCGGGAACGGTAAATTCATACCATTTCAATAACAATACAAAGTATATGTTAAAAAAATTAACCCCATTCTCCTCTTGAATTATACTGGCCGACAGCAAATGTCTTTTTTGTGGGCCAGTGCAATATAAATAAATGTGAGTCACCCCTTTATTTTTTAATCGCTATTTTAGTTTGCAGTGTAAATAATAATTCCGTTAAAAAAACATCAATGTTACAGAATATAAATGGTAATTTTGTACTTATGTGGTATATATGTGATTGTTGTACCTAAATTTTGTTGAATATTGAGATTTTATGATGAATATAATGAGAAATTATATCTATGTATACAAACTCGGTTTTTTTTATCCATAATGTATTATTTTTTTGTAATTATTTATTTTTATAATTTTTCTTTACTGATAGGTCTATTTGTTTTGTTTTAAGTTGTATATTTTACTTTATTTATATTAGGCTATGCTATACACACTTAATAATTAAAAATAAATGAATTTGTAAATTATGGGACTTTTATTTTATGAGATTTTGATTTCTAGATATTTTGGAACTCAAGTACAGTCAATGTAGAGCTTGCAATTTTTTATTTTAAATAAAAAAATATATTTTGCCAACTGTGGCAAAAAGTTTTGACTACAATTATGTTGAAAATTTAAAGCTCTACATTTTTTGTTTTAATACTTGTTTTGTCCAACCAATGGAAAACAAAATAAAACGACTCAAAACAAAGGGAGTTCGGATTTTTTTTTCTTTTTTCTTTTTATGCAATATTTAATTACCTACCTGTATTTATTGCTTTTAATACAGATCATTTACTATAGAAATTGAAGAATTACCATTACAAAGGAAAATAAAACAACATTGAACTCTAAAAAATATAATAAAGCCGATTTAATAAAATGGAATGGACTCTAAATACATATGGTATCACAGAAATGTACCAAACAAAAAAATTAAAAATATAAAAAATAAAAATATTATATTGGCAAAAACCATACTGGGACAAATAAATGTGATAAATCAGACTTAATAGTAAGTGAATCAATATTTACAAATAAAATCGTCAAATCATCAAATACATTTAATTAATATCTATGTAATGATTAAATAACGTATTTATTACACATTTAATTGCTAAGAGAGCTAAAATCATACAAATTGCAAAATACCCACTGAATTTGGGCTTTTATAATATAAAATTGGTGTAAATTTGACTATTTTTGCAGTATAGCACATTCACAAAATGAAAAAGATCGGGAAAAAAGTCAACCACGTTTATTCCCACAACCTGACAGCATCAAAGGCTTAAATTTGGTAAAAAGTTTATTATTGTCATGTTAAACAACCCGTTAAAATTTCAGGATTCCACCTTTAAAAATCGCGAGATACGGCAAAAATTGTTTAAAACCCAAGGTTTTTCATGTTCTGAACGTGCTGTACAGAATACATATAAACTGCTGTAAAATTTAAAGCACATGCTGGCAGTGCATGCTTGATAATAAGTAAATAACCGTATTTTCAATACATTAAGCATTTGTCTCTAATATACTTTATTCAAATCGGTCATTTAAAAAACTTCGCAATTGTTGAAATTGTTTGGTTTTAAAAATGACGAATTTATTTATGAACTAACATTTATAAACGAATGATTTAACATCTTTGGACTGCATAGTAGATAAGGTATATAATATTATTTACCATATACATATATGATGTTCACTTATATAAAAAAAGTTGAGTGTTTACATTTAAACAACATTTATAATGCAAAATTTTGTTATAGAGCTATAAATTTATCATAAAAATTTGTTGTAGAAATAAATAAAAAATACTTTATTGCAATATAAAAGATTTGATTGAGCAATTACAACCTTCAAAACGTCAATAAGCCTGATAAAATGTAAATACACACCTATAGTATGTTCAAAGACTGAAAAAGAGCCGTGTATTTTGTAAGTTACAACGATAACAAACAAATTAACGAAAAAAACAGACAAATTTTCCGTAACTTGTAAACATTTTTACCCAAAATCAAAAAGGACTTACCTGGCAATTTTTCAGCATCCAAACATACAGTACGTAAAAAATAATAATTCACAACCGGTTTGCAAGCCTTTTACCCGCTGTACTGATAGGTGGCGGCAACGGGGTGCATCTGGCGCGGCGTGTGCTGCAGCCGCTGTATGTGGCAACCGCGGCACATCAGCCTGCCCTCTAGCGGATAGCAGCGCTTGTCGGGCTCGTCGGTGAGCTGCATGCCGCACTCCTCGCACACGTAGCAGTCCACGTGGAAGTCTTTGTCCATCGACACGACGCGCACCGTCTCTTCGGTGCCCTCGACCGGAGTAATGCCTTCAGAAAAAAGTTATCATTTGAATAACCCGCTTTTAAAAAAATTCCGTTTGCGTATCTTGCCTAGAGATATGACTTAAAAAAACGATTGTTGTTTTTAGTTTTTTACACTGTTTTTATGGTATTTTTCAAGAAGTTTCATTTGCCTAATTTTTTATGTTTCCAGTGGTTTATAAACTAAAATTTAGCCAATAAATGACATTTAATAAATATATATACAGTCACGTGCTATGCACGCGCCATTACCACCGAATTGACCAATAAGGGCCGCGTTCCTCACCTGCCGCGTTCCTCACCTGCGGCGATCAGTAACTACCTATAATAGAGTTTAAGAAGTTTTTTACATTGTTATTGGTTTCTTATGTGTAAACTACCAAATCATAAGAAATCAATTTGTTTATTCTCAGTCAAAATTTTCATTAATGGATAATGTAATATATTCCACAATCCACTAAACAAGGTCTGTTCGATCTCGTACTAAAAATACTAAAAATCACTGCAACACTGCACATCATTCAAGGGCGGCCATTTTTGTTGTTTACAATTCTTGTGCTTTGGGTTTGTACAGATTAATAATCGTTTTACAGAGAGACTTGCAAGCCTTAAAAGAGACCTCAAAGTGGTAAGAACAATCATTTTACTCCTCTTTTGTAAAAAATAAACCTTATTTTATCAGGGCTGTCAAATGTCAATTTGAAGGTTAATTTGTGGGTTATGAAATAACCTTAAAATTGACATTTGACAGCCCTGATAGAATATTCTATAAGGTTTATTTATTATTATTATTAATCTGTACAAACCCAAAGCACAAGAATTTTAAACAACAAAAATGGCCGTCATTGAATGATGTGCAGTGTTGCAGTGATTTTTAGTACGAGATTATACAGACCTTGTTGTGTGTATTGTGATATATTCTAAATTTGAGACGTATACTGCCAAAGCGGCCTAACTAAAAAAAATAATTTTGGTTTTTTATCTTAAAATATTCCTATTATGCGCTTATCAAGTAAACTAGCCTAATAAAGTATTTTAATATTCTTATTAAAACACATTTTATTAGGCTAGTTCACTCGATAATAGGAATATTTAAAGACAAAACCACAAAATGATTTTTTTTCAGTAAGCCCGCTTTTGCAGTATACGCCTCATTTAATTTTATTATTAATATTATATATATATTTTTTTTAAGATTGATGTTATTTATTGACAGAATATGCTTTATTCTAGCCAGTGGCGGCTGGTGGATTTTGGGCACACCCATATCTCAGTTATTAGACATGGGACCCACATCAAATTTATATGAGTTAATAATGACACTATATAGACAAGAGTTTAAATTGAAGTTTGCGAAAAAAAGTTTTTAAGTGTGCCCCCCAGCCTCCTGCCCCCCCAAATTAAGATAATTCAAATTAAAGTTCTACAATATTTAATCCACTGAAGTTTATCGACAAATTTCGAATTTTATTAAAGAAATTCAAGAATTAAAGGTTTTATACCATTTTAAATTTTTATTATTTTTTTTACTAAATTAAAAAAAAAATTGAAATGGTATAAAATCTGTTACAGTAATACTTGAATTTTTTTAATAAAATTTGAAATTTGTCGATAAACTTCAGTGAATTAAATATTGTACCTCTTTAATTGGAATTATCTTAATTTGGGGGGGCAGGGGGCTGTGGGGACACACTTAAAAACAAACTTTTTTTTGCAAACATCAATTTAAATCAGAACTTGTCTATATAATGTCATTATAAACTCATATAAATTTGATGTGGGTCCCATGTCTAATAACTGAGATATGGGTGTGCCCAAAACCCACCAGCCGCCACTGATCGTAGCGCATTTGAAAATAAAACGAAAAAAAACCGTTTCTTTCTAGTTTTTGCTAGTTATTGCTTAATTCTTGTTTATTGTAATACTTAAGACACTTAAAAAAACTTTAATAAAAGTGATTTTTTAGTATACCGCGGAACTTTTCCAGCGATGACGTCAAAATGTTTACAAAAACCAGAGTTAAAAAAGTTAACACTTATCTTAATACATGTGCAAAAAATAACTATAATATCACAATATAATCATTTTTATGTAATCGATGGAAAACTTCCGCGGTATGTTTATTAAAGTAACAAAATAGTAACTTAATTATATTTAAGGGTTATTTGCACCACTGTGCGAAGTTTTAAAACGCAATTTTAAGTTGTATTAATTTTGACTTGTTACATAAGATGGTAATTTAAAACGTTCTTCCGTTTCATCGAAACGGTTAAAAGGTCGCGACTTAAGTCTAAATGTAAATATTTTAATTTTTATGGGCGCTAATGAATGGCATCTTTGAATAAATTGTCCTTAATTTTAACGCAGATTTTCTTTTTTCAGTAGTATTATCGATATATCGATATTTTTGCTTAGTTGTATCGAACTATCGATAGTTTCCCACCTCTAATTTCGGGTTAGTTTTTGCTTACCATTTCCACATGCCGCGCATTTGGGCGCGAACATCCGATGGTAGTCGTTGACGCAGTAAATTTTGTTATCGACGTCGACTGTGAACGGCACGCCATCTAGACACTCGTTGCAAACGCAACAACGGAAACAGCCGGGATGATACGATTTACCCATGGCTTGCAAAATCTAAAGAAAGAATTAAATTTCGTCGTTCATTTTCTCTTAAGCCTGATTTATAGATTGCCTTCCTTCCTCCCGTAGAAGATGAACAATACGAAAACCGTAGTGCTGTTTATAGATTGCTGTACGGTAATCTATAAACAGCACTAAGGTTTTCGTATTATTCATCTTTTACGGGAGGAAGGAAGGCAATTTATAAATCATGCTTTACTTTGCAAAGAATTTTTGTTCAATTTATCTTTTAATTAAAAAAATGTTCACCAAACACACTTTTGTCAAATAACAAAACTTACCATTTCCATAATCAAATGCCCGCAAATAGCGCATTTTTCAGCCGTTTGCTGGAATCCAGAATACTGTAAAAAATTAAATTGTAGAAAACTACCCTTTCAAAAATAAATTTCACTATAACTAAAAAACAACAAAATAATGTAAAAACATCAAAATCAACGCATGCTTTGTATGAGGGTCATTCCATGACAAATTATAATGTGCGACAAAAAAACTAGAAGAATCGCGTAACTTTTAAGTTAGTTAGTCTTCAAAATCTGCTGAATGACCATTGTGCCTCTAACTATTGGAAATACGAAATAAAAACTGTCAATCTGTCAACCGTTTTGCTACCTTGTGATTTAAGGTTATTTATCATAGTATTGGTGGATTGCGTCACAGTCCTGAAAAAATTAATAATTATCACATTATAAGTGTGTTTTCTTGTTACTTTGACACTGTAACACCCGAAACGAAAAATCAGAATTGTTTTTTTTTATTATTATGTACTATGCTCCACACCTCAAAGTCATCGGAAAAGCAGTCACACCTCTTTTAAAAAGGTGTGACTACTTTTTCGATGATGTTGTCGAACCAACCGAAATTTTGGTATTTCTACCGAAATGGCAACGGACCTACCAAAATACCGAATACTACGATTTTCGTCAATAATTATGTTTCTACAGATGTTTTTTTTTCCGATTTATCAATCGTACCCGAAGCTGCTTAAGTTATGTTAAAGGAGAATTCATTATATTTATGTTTATTTGTTACTTACTTATTTTGTAGTACTTAGTAATTAATAAAACACCGATTTTGTCCATATAAAGTGTGAATTTTTGTACTTGTAACACCCGAAACAGAACCATGGTAACACCCGAAACAAAGTAAAATTTTATAAAAAAAATAGTAAAACGTTATTTGTGACAGTGATTATGTGGTAGATGGTTAGTAAATAATATACTATTGAAGGCCTGTAATTTTTTAGGAATGTTTCCCTAAGAAAATTCGCTAAATTTCAAATAAATGTAACAATGGCCAGGGCATAGAGGCAGAATCGTGAAACACCCGAAACGCATACTTTTTGCTAAACTGTACTAATTTTACAATTTAAAAAGAAGAACTAAAAACTTAGAGAATAAGGCAGTTTAATTGCTAAAATATTATTTAAAATATATAAAAATTTATACTTTGGTTGAACAAATGTAACACCCGAAACGATGGAATGACCCATGAATAATTAAATTTGTGTCGATAGGTTTGTACATAACAAAAACTGATTTAGGAGCATGCGCAGTACACAAATTAGGTAAGTATTGCGCATTATCCGGCGTCCCAATTAATTACTTAGCCTAAATAAAACTTAAATAATAAAAATAAAAGAAAAATGTGTAGCTACATTTGGTTTTGGGCTTACTAGGTAATCTTCTTCGCAGTAGACCCGGCCATGGACGTTGTAGAAGGCTTTGCCGCGCAGCGCGCGCCCGCACGAGCAACATATGAAACAGTTTGTGTGGTACAAGTTGCCCATGGCTTGGCAAGCCTGGCCGGCGCCCGTCACCTTTTCCCCACATGTGTGACAAACGCCTGAAAGAAAGGATTAGTGTTTAAAAAAAAGTATTTCGTGTTATTTGTAAGAAATTATGCAATTATTGAGTTTATATTATTATTATTTATAATTTTATTATGTTATACAAGGTGTCCCTAAACTTAGTGGCATAAATTTGGGAGCAGATTAAGCAAGTCAAAATAAGACGAAAATCTAAATAAATATTTTTCCTAATTAGGTATGTTTAAAAGATACAGGGTGATAAAGTTTACTTATCATATCAGTTTTTTTAATATAACTTCCAATATAGTATAATATCATCTTTCCACGTCTACCATATATGGTAGACGTGGAAAGATGATATTTTGAGAACAGTCACTTACTACCAAAATACATATTCACACATAATAACAATTGTTCGAGTGAACGCAGTGTCGTAGAAACAGGGGTTGCATAAGCTTATTGTCCCATACAAACTTTGAGGTTAGGTTTTTATACCATTTGATGCATTTTTTCGATTACTCAGTTCGTCTACTATTAAAAAGGTATACCTCTCAAACTTCGATAAAATAAACCGTTTCCGAGATATACGAGATTACAATAATTGTTATATCGCATTAAAGGACTAAAAGGTATATGATAACAAATTTTTTAATTGAAAAAACTATAATTTTTTTAATGTGACGGTCAGGGCAAAAAGTCTCGAGGCTCATGGAATGCCGTTTTTTTTATTTTTTTCAATTAAAAAATAAAATTTATTTATTTTCATATACCTTTTAATACGTTTTAATCCTTTTAAATAATGCGATATAACATACGTTTTAATCCTTTTAAATAATGCGATATAACAATTATTGTAATCTCGAATATCTCGGAAACGGTTTATTTTATCAAAGTTTGAGAGGTACACCTTTTTAATGGTAGACGAACTGTGTAATCGAAAAATTGTATCAAATGTTTTAAAAACCTAACCTCAAAGTTTGTATGGGACAATAAGCTTAAAGCAACCCCGTTTCTACGACACTGTGTTCACTCAAAAAATTGAAATTATGTGTGAATATGTATTTTGGTAGTAAGTGACTGTTCGCAAAATATCACGTTTCCAAGACTACCAGAGTAGAAGTTATATATAAATATTATAAAAAAATAATTTTGTCGTTCGAATATTTCTTTGTTTTCACGGGTGCTTTGCTAACTTCATATGAAGTTAGCAAGGCACCCACCTTAAATATCTGATTAAAAAAAAATTTAATAGTTAATATTTTGCCGTTAATTTGTCGCTAATTAGTTGTGAATAAATTAATTTTGTCGTTCGCATATTTCGTTGTTTTTATGGGTGCTTTGTTAACTTCATATGAAGTTAGCAAGGCAGCCCCCTTAAATATGTGATAATATATTTTTTTAATTGTTAATATTTTTCCGTTAATTTGTCGTTAATTAGTTGTGAAAAAATTAATTTTGTCGTTCGAATATTTCTTTGTTTTCACGGGTGCTTTGCTAACTTCATATGAAGTTAGCAAGGCAGCCCCCTTAAATATGTGATAATATTTTTTTTTAATTGTTAATAATTTGCCGTTAATTTGTCGTTAATTAGTTGTGAAAAAATTAATTTTGTCGTTCGAATATTTCTTTGTTTTCACGGGTGCTTTGCTAACTTCATATGAAGTTAGCAAGGCACCCCCCTTAAATATATAATAAAAAAAAATTTAATAGTTAATATTTTGCCGTTAATTTGTCGCTAATTAGTTGTGAATAAATTAATTTTGTCGTTCGCATATTTCTTTGTTTTTATGGGTGCTTTGTTAACCAAAATAATCAAACATTATCTTTTTCACAGACAACCAAACCCTAATTATTTATAATTAAACCCTACTTATTAAAAAAATATTAATGACACATTTAAGTAGATTGCCTTGGTAACTTTATATAAATAAATTTAAGGGCAAAATATTAACTATTAAAAAAAAATTAATCATAAATTTAAGGGGGGTGCCTTGCTAACTTCATATGAAGTTAACAAATAAAAATAATAAAAATGAAAGAAATATTTGAACGACAAAATTAATTTTTTTACAACTAATTAACGACAAATTAACGGCAAAACAATAAAAGGATCCGAGCGCCAATTACAAAACTTTTATATAGAGCACTTTGTGCCTGAATTTTTATTCATAAATATCCATATATCCATTAAAAAGGGTAAATTTCAATTAAAAACAATAGTTAAGTCTGTTGAGATAATCACCAAACATCAAAATATCAATGTTCTATTAAATTTTCATCAATAATCAAATTGAAATAACCTTTTTTAAAAAATAAATAATGTCGCTTGGTTGCTTTTAAATAAACATGGTTTCTATAAAAAAATTATTCATGTAATAAGTGGAGCGGGTGCTTTGCAAAGCAGCCGAAAAAAAAACAAAAAAGTAATCAAACGACAAAATTAATTTATTCACAACTAATTAGCGACAAATTAACGGAAAAATATTAACAATTAAAAAAAATTATTATCACATGTTTAAGGGGGCTGCCTTGCTAATTTCATATGAAGTTAACAAAATACCCATAAAAACAAAGAAATATGCGAACGACAAATTTAATTTATTCACAACTAATAAGCGACAAATTAACGGCAAAATATTAACTATTAATTTTTTTATTACCAGATATTTAAGGGGTCTGCCTTGCTAACTTCATATGAAGTTAGCAAAGCAGCCGAAAAAAACAAAAAATTATCAAACGACAAAATTAATTAATTCACAACTAATTAGCGACAAATTAACGGCAAAATATTAACAATTAAAAAAAAATATTATCACGTATTTAAGGGGGCTGCCTTGCTAACTTCATATGAAGTTAACAAAGCACCCATAAAAACAAAGAAATATGCGAACGACAAAATTAATTTATTCACAACTAATTAGCGACAAATTAACGGCAAAATATTAACTATTAAATTTTTTTTATTATATATTTAAGGGGGGTGCCTTGCTAACTTCATATGAAGTTAGCAAAGCACCCATGAAAACAAAGAAATATTCGAACGACAAAATTAATTTTTTCACAACTAATTAACGACAAATTAACGGCAAATTATTAACAATTAAAAAAATATATTATCACATATTTAAGGGTGCTGCCTTGCTAACTTCATATGAAGTTAACAAAGCACCCATAAAAACAAAGAAATATGCGAACGACAAAATTAATTTATTCACAACTAATTAGCGACAAATTAACGGCAAAATATTAACTATTAAATTTTTTTTATCAGATATTTAAGGGGGATGCCTTGCTAACTTCATATGAAGTTAGCAAAGCACCCGTAAAAACAAAGAAATATTCGAACGACAAAATTAATTTTTTCACAACTAATTAACGACAAATTAACGGCAAATTATGCATCTAATCGCTTTTTGATTAGCGATGGATGCTTTGCTAACTTCATATTCATTATATTATGGTTATAACATTTTTAAATACTTCTAAAAAATGGTTTCAAAATATGTTTTGATCATGTTTTTATACTTTTAAATCAATTTGACATTCTTAAATAGTTTTTTACATATTAAACTGTTTTTGACATTTTAAAATAGGAAATTTTTAAATAATGTTTGACATTCATAAATGTTTTTTAATATTTTGAACCTTTTAAAATATGTTTATATATACCATTTTTAAATACTTCTAAAATGGGTTCTGACATTCAAAATTGCTTTTTTAACATTTTTAATTGTGTTTTTATACTTTTAAATCAATTTGACATTCTAAAAGTTTTTTACATATTAAACTGTTTTTGACGTTTTTAAATACGAAATTTTTAATTAATTTTTGACGTTCTAAAATGCTTATAAAACTTAAACTTAAATATTATTAGAGATAAACACAAATATTTTGGTTTTGTAGCATTTTTATTAGTGTCCGACCGAATGTCAGTTTTTGGCCGAAGCCGAAGGTTCGGCTCTTGTCGTAACCTTAGGCTGAAGCCGAAGTTTTAATAAGACTTAAAAATTTATAAAAGTTGACTTGATCAAACTAAAAAAAAATTTTTTTACACCTATATTACAATATAAATAGTAAAATGTTATTGCGTTTAATATATTGTTAAAATATAAATAGGACATACCTATCAAAAAACAATAACTTGGTTTTAAACCTTCGGCTTCGGCAAAAATCCTTCGGCTGGTTTTGGCCGAAGCCGAATGTGCGACCGAATGTGCTTATTTGGCCGAAGCCGAAGTTGAAGCTTCGGTCGGACACTAATTATTATACAACATAAATAAACATTCCCACAATGTGTATATTTACTTATTGCTAAGAAATCTAAAAATAGAAAAATGACCACTGCATTGCTTAAACAAATAATCTTACCAAAATATTCCCCCTCCTCCTCGTGTTTCTCCATCTCCTCCTCAATCTGCCTGGTCATCTCTTCAATTTTCTTCTCTGCTTCAGTGGGCCCCCTCGGCTTTGGAGGAGTCACACTGTAAGGCAAAAGATTCTTTCCGCTGATTTTCAACTTCATACTCGCATTACTGCAAGTACTTGGAGTAGGGCTAGGAGCTGGGGAAGGTCTTTTTTCCTCGCATTTGTTCCTGCCCTCTTTTGAGGGTACAATTTTTGTTGGGGTTTGTGCTATACCAGTTGCAGGTGACCTATCATAGCTTTTTGCGGAGGATGTTTGGAATTGTGTGTTTGTGCTTAGAGTGTGAGAGATGTTACCAGTCATACAAACGTAATCGCTACCGTTAATATCTTCTAGTTGTTGTTGGGAGTAGGATTTTGATGGGGGTTTATTATATTGTTGTTGGTAGTTGTTGTAGGGTTGTTGTGGGGCTGGTTTTGATGTTGCTGTGACTGCACGTTGCGGCCCCTGCATCACTGAATACACAGCTTGTTGTTGATTATAATTAGGCATATAACCTTGCATTGGATAACCTGAATTAGCTGGGACTTGTGGACCAGGCATTTGAGACATACTGTGAACATTCTCATAAACCGGAGGCCCATCCAAATCCCTCATTCTATTCCCTGAAGGGACTTGTGGCTGTGCCTTTCGAAAACCTCCCTCTCCACACTGTATATTCCCTTTTTGATAATAACTCTGCGGTGCAGCTCTAGCCGAGTAGTAATCTATATTCTCATACACTGGGGCGCCTGCCATACTATGCCTAGGGCTTCCAGAATGCTGTGAAGAACCACTAAGAGAGTGTGTGGGGCTTGCATTTAAAGGAACTTGAGGTTTTGCACATTGCACATAAACATCGTTTTCTTCAGCTGTTAGAGTCTCTACTTGCTTGGGGGTCGCGTATTTACTACTAGCTATAACATTGCTACGCTCGTACATCGCGTAATCACTAGGTTTGCCTGTGTCTTTAGCGAAATTCTCTATAACCCCTATGGATTTTTGTTTTTGATGATATGTGGTTACCGCGGGCTCGGCTTTCGATATATTCGTTATTCTACCGTACCTCGGGTCTTCGCCTTGTCCGTTCAAAGACATGTATTGCATTTTTTGGATATAGGACTGATCAAGAGATGGATCCATTTTTACCACACAACACGCTTGGAAAACACGTATCGCCAACTAAATCTGTCTAAACGAGGGTATGGGGTATTCCTCACCCTACTCCTATCGTTATTTTATCACAGAAACGCGAAATTACTTCTATTCATGTCGTTTTTATTCACAGAAACATGAATCACTTAATCGGTGATTATTTACTTCGGAAAGATTACGCCAGTTCAACAATAACGCCACCTAACACAAGTAATCCTTACTACAAAATCAACTACTATGGTGCGGCAACCTGGTATACAACAATGCATATAAGTTGCCATCAAAACAAATTCATGAATTTGCCGCTAGATGTCTCTATTCAATTGTTTACGGTTATTATTATTACGAGACCGGTAGGTCAATGCAAATTACAATTTGTAATGGTTTATTAACTGTTCAGTCATGGGCAAGTGCGGTATCATCTTGTTGCTTCTAGCGGCGTTTGCCGGTTTCATAGGGTTCAAGGTTAAAAATGCCCTTTTCGAGGTGCCTGAGCTGCCCAAGTTGGAAGATACTTGGTGGGGTCCCAGGGACCCTAGCAGAGAAGATAAGGCTATTACTCCTTTTAAGATTAATGTTGCTGAAGATGTAAGTTAACAAATAATTAAAGATGGATACTTTAATATTAAGTAGGATGATAAACATTTATTTACTGCGTTTTATTTGTTTAGAAAATGTTTTCTAGAGAATGCATGGCTTTCTCTGTTGTATAGTGTGCTTAGAAGTCCTAAGCACACTATGCAACAGAGAAAGCCTATTGTGCTCAGGGGTTGTTTCTACTTTCTACAAATAATTATCTTTATAGAAAGCAATAAACCAATCAGAGCATGGTATGTTTTATTGCATTGCATTGCTTTCTATATAGAGATCATTTTCTCTAGAAACTTTTTACTTTCTGCTAGAAAGTAAAGTAGCAAACTTAAAAAAAAAGTTTTGTAAAAATAAATATTGGTAGGTCAGTATTTATTTTAAATGAACTAGGTAGACAAAGTTTTAGCTGAAGTGTCTACAGGTGGCGACAAATAATAATTATTAAATTCAAGGTTCAAGGACTTAATAAATTTATATTTTATTATTTGTTTTTAAATGAAACCTACAATCAATAATAACCAAGTAGGTATAGGTACATTTATTGCAATCACTTGTTTACATACTGTCTTTTATTATTATCTTTAATTAAATGATTTTATAATTATTTTTAAAGTACAAAACTACCTAATTAGGTAATAATTAATTGTAATTAATAACTATTTAATATACCTAAATTAATAAGCCAATTTTTTAAAATTAAAGTTATAACATATATATATGTAACATCAATTATAATAAATCAATACTTTAAAAAATAATTATAGAATCAGTTTACCTAATTAAAGATTATAATACAACAGACAGTAAACAACATAGAAAAAAGATAAACAAGTTATTATATATTTTTTAAATATATTTTTTTTGGTTTTCCTATAAAAATATAAAATTCATAGATGTATACAGCTATACAGGGTGTTTCATAATATATGCGCAGGACTTCAGGATGTGATAGCTCATCCAAAAAGATGAAAAAAGTCGCTATTAACTTACCCTCTAAAATGCACAATTTTCGAGATACAGGGTGTTGAAATTTTAGAAAAAAAATCGTTTTTTTCGATTATCTCCGGAACCGTTTATCGTACAAAAAACAGCTTTTGTAAGCATTTTCTACTCAAAATAAGCTGTTTTGTGCCAGAAAAAAATTTTTTTTACTCATACTGTTTTTATTTTAGTTTCCCATTTAATTAACATGGGAAAAAATAATTTTATTTTTGGAATTTTATACCTCTGTATCAAAGTAACTTATGGCAATGATCATTTGCAGTTTCTTATATAAAATGTAACGATCTACAAAAAAGGTCTCTTATTATTTTTCGATAAATTGATTTCTTCTAGAGTTTTTCTATGTAGGTCAAAGTTTGATTAACATCAAATTTTCTGTTTAATTTTTCAATTAGCAAACGGGAGGTGAAAGGGGGCAAAACAAGGCAGCGTGGGGGGGGCAAAATGGTGTACCCAATTTTGGTAAAAAAAAAAATTTTCGGTTTCTAAATTATTTGTAAATATATTGACTCACGTTCACGCTTTTAATCTAATTTAATTTTTTTTTCAACTCTTTCCCTCCCAAATGTTGGTGATTGATAAAAAAATTTTTTGTGTACCCCATTTTACCCCCCCCTGCCTTGTTGTGCCCCCTTTCACCTCCCGTCTGCTAATTGTACCATAAAATTAAAAATTAAAAAAAAAACAGAAAATTTGACGTTAATCAAACTTTGACCTCGAATAACTCTAGACGAAATCGATTTATCGAAAAATAATAAGAGACCTTTTTTGTAGAGCGTTACATTTTATATAAGAAACTGCAATGATCATTGCCATAAGTTACTTTGATACAGACGTATAAAATTTCAAAGAAAAAATTATATTTTCCCATGTTAATTAAATGGGAAACTAAAATAAAAACAGCGACCTCTTAGAGTTGAGCTGGAACTCCCATATTTGGTGAGGATTTTTTTATAATAAATAGAAAGATTTGAGGGGGTAAGAGCGAAAAAAACAATTAAATTTTTTTTTAAGCACCCTACCCAGATAGCACAAAGAAGTACTAAAAACGTCCCGAGTATATCTTGTATCAGACATTAGTAAGTTCCGAGTACGTCCGAATCAGGTCCTGAACCTTCCCCAGGACGTACCAGGGACATCCGATGTTACCAAATCGTCGGTCCCCAGAACGTCCTAAGTAAGACATCCTCTGGCCATCCTGAAATGCTTTATTGGGGACTAATGGACAAGCTTTACAGAATTGAAGAGTGGTTTTCCGAAAGGCCCAGACAGCAATATGACGTCTTAATTAAGTCTTATTTTATTAATTTGTTAAATTGATTTTATTAAAATCATTTTAATAATTTGCTCGTATTCGCTTATTTTAGAAATTGCGATTACTTCCACAGATTATACAACTTCGTCTCACTTTTGTTTAAATTTAAGCGTGCTCTTCACCGGCACTGATAGACGGCCTGTCTCCCTCTTTTGGAGCTCGTCAGTATCGGCGTTTCTAGGCCTAAGACCCTTTGGTATGGAGCACGCTCTAAATTCTACTTCGCCGCTTCTTATATTAAACACAAGCAGTTACAGCGGTGAGAAGAAAGAATCGCATTAAAATGTCATAAATGTGACGTTTCCATGTTGACGTCTTAAAGAGTAAATAATATGATTTCAGTAAGAAGTAAGAAAAGAGAATACTGTAAGATATCATATAACTAAAGTCTTATTTATGATACCTACCCTTAGTAGCTTCTAAGATGTTAAAAAATTTACTTCTTATTTATGAATTCATCAAGAACTCTTAATCTTGAGCTCCTAAAAATGATTTCTCTAAGATGTCATATTGCTACCTCAGTAAAATGTTTTTTAACAGACTTCGTACAGAAATCTTTCTGAATTGGATGCTGTCTGGGGGGTCTAAGTTACAAAAATTAAATTGTGAGTTATCAATGAAAAACAAATATTTTGCACATGTAAATGTTAAAATGTCTGAAACACGTTTGGAATTGCATATTCCGCTCTCCTGAAATCGTGAAACTCGCCTTCGGCTCGTGTGACAAACTCTTCACTCCAGCGGATATGCTGTATTCCAAACTTGTTACAGAATATACTATTAAGTCATTCTGCATGACACAAACTATTTTTAAATGATAATATATTATTTAACCAACCCTTAGACCCTTTGGAAATACAATGCTTCAATTACGTCCTTGGGACGTACCGAGTATATCCGCTTTAATTTTCCCAAATAAGTAAGAGACTGGACGTACCCAAAACTTCCGATATAGGTCTAGGACGTTCGGACCTATGTGGGACCTGAAATGGACGTCCTGGGTACCTCTTGTGCTATCTGGGTAGGTACCATATATGGTACTATATATTATAATATATATTACCCATGCAGATTTTTTAAATTATACTGAAACATTTCTACATTTCTATATATATACACATATATATTATGCAAATATAATAAAATAGTTCAATTTAAAACAATTTATTAATAAATAGTATACCTACTATATAGTAGGTATACTATTTATTAATAAATTGTTTTAAATTGAACTATTTTATTATATTTGCATAATATATATGTGTATATATATAGAAATGTAGAAATGTTTCAGTATAATTTAAAAAATCTGCAGATAATAACACTGTAGGGAGGTGAAAATATCACAGCTAAACGCTCGGACACGTAAACTTATTTTTTCGTCGTAGATTATAAATCCGTGCTTGGTTTAGCTGTATCAGGTCAAAATTCAAAAATATTGGAAACACCCTGTATAAATTTAAACACCATGTATAATTTTTTTTTTAATTAAATTTGGCGGGACCCATACATGTATCAGTTCCAAATTAATTAAATAACAAATTCTTGCAAAATTTGAAGTTAATTGATCAAAAGATACACGTGTCCCTAAGGGTTTTTCTTAGATAATTTAGGAAATTTGAAATGTTTTTTGCTGAGTTTTTTTTTTATTAAGTATAATTAAGGATATTATATTAAATGAAATAAAAAGCATAAAACTGTTGACACAAGAGGTGAATTATATTATTTTACAAATTATAATATACCAGTATACAGTGTGTCCCCGGATCGGATTTCCAATAGGAAAAACTTTTTTAGACCTGATACAGCTAAACCGAGCACGGATTTGGAATCTACAACCAAAAATTATGTTTACGTGTCCGAGCGTTTAGCTGTGATATTTCAAAAGTTAAAAATTTACCTACAGTGTAATTAATCAATTTAAAACAATTTAATTAAGTCCTACCTAATGATTTTTTGATAAATGATTTTCATTGCTTTTTCCAAAAATATATGCGCTTATTAGGATTTTTGAGCTCCTATCTTTTTAATTGTTCATGAATTTTTTATATTTTAACCAGGTTCTAAAAGACTTAAAGCATCGCCTGGACATAATAAAACCATTCACCCCGGCTCTTCAAGGCACAAAACAAGACTATGGCATGCACCCAGATTTATTACAAAAAATAATAAACCATTGGAAAAACAAATACGACTGGAGAGAGCGCGAGAAATTCTTGAACCAATACCCGCAATTCACTGTCAGTGTGCAAGGCTTAAGGTTTAGGTGAAATATAAGTCTAGAATGATCCATTTCAATGTTGTGTTTTAGAATCCACTACATTCACATAAAACCTAAGAATGTTGGTAATAAAAAAGTCATTCCTATGCTTTTGTTGCATGGATGGCCTGGATCTGTCCGAGAGTTTTACGAGGCTATTCCACATCTATCAAAACCACAAGAAGATTTTGTTTTTGAACTTATTATTCCTTCTTTGCCAGGTAAAATAAATAGTAAATTCTAAAATGTTCACCTTTAATTGTAGGTATTCTTATATTACTTTCAGATACTAGAAATTTTTTTTTATTCCAGAATGTCGAGATTTTATATTTCTTTAAGTCCAGAATGCTTTTATTTTATGTTTCCTAGATTCACGAATGTATGATTCTTTAGGTTCCTTCAAAATAATTTTTTATTTTTAGACTGCTTCTATTAGATTCTAGAATATGCCTTAAAAATTTCCAAATACATTGTGAAGTGATTTCTTTACTTTCTATTATGTTCACTCCACATTATAGATGTTTTCTTTTGAATCTGGGCGTTTTTAGTAAAAATTGATGTAGTATTTTAGATCCTGGATTCTAGAATGTTCTTATGATTTTCCAAGCCTCAAATATTTTTTATTTTTAGATTCTAGAATGTCCACTCCAAATTTTAGATTGTTCCCTTTACATTCTAAAGTACTTTACTTTCTATAATGTTCACTTAACATTCTACCAAATGTTCTCTTATCTAGAATGTTCATAATAAACATTATGTATAGGTTATGGTTTTTCTGAAGCTGCCGTAAAACCAGGTCTAGGAGCAGCCCAAATGGCACAATTATTCAAGAATTTTATGGACCGTCTGGGTTTTCAGAAGTACTACATACAGGGTGGAGATTGGGGTGCAATTATTGTCCAGCACATGGCTCAATTGTTCCCAGAAAAACTCATAGGGGTACATTCTAACATGTGCTTCGTGAATACTCCGCTTTCGAACATGATTACATGGTTTGGAGCCTTTTTCCCAAGTTTGGTGGTTACCAGTGATGATGAGGCTAGTAAAGTTTATCCCCTTGCTTGTAAATATTCTTATATATTGCAAGAAACCGGCTACATGCATTTGCAAGCTTCCAAACCAGACACAATCGGTAAATATCCAATAAACAACAGCTCTAGGAACATTCTAGAATGTTCTATTTTTAGGTTTCGCTCTAAAAGACAATCCAGCAGGGCTGGCGGCTTATATCATCGAAAAATTCTCGACTTGGACCAACAAAGATTATAGAGACCGTCTTGATGGAGGTCTGCAAGAAAAATTCACCTATGAACAATTATTGGATAACATTATGATCTACCATGTTACTGGATCAATTACAACATCCGTGCGATTGTATGCTGAATCTTTTAATAAGGCACAGATGTCAATGGGACTCTCAAAGTATGTATGCAACTTTAGGAACATTCTAGAAATATTTAAGGATGTTTTTAATAATTTATTTTCTTTATATAGGTAATATGTTTAAAGGTGCACGATAAAACTGCAAAAGTTTAAAATTCTAGAAATTCTATTAAATTCTAGAATGTTTTTTAGTTCTAGAATGTTCGCCTCGGATTCTAGAATGTTCTCATTAAATTCTAGAATGTTCCTTTTGCGTTCTAGAATGTTTTATTTGGAGTCCATAATGTTACAGAACATTTCCTTTTTAGTGTTCCTGTAACTGTTCCAAGCGGTTGCGCAAGACAAACCCACGAACTTAACGTCCCACTGGAAAAGACCTTAAGGCTTCAGTATCATAATTTGGTGCATTTGAAGGATTATGAAGCAGGTCACTTTGCCTTTTTGGAAATTCCAAAAGTTATGTCTGAAGATGTAATAGAATTTGTCAAGACAGTGGAAAAAATGCCAAAGGAGAACATAAAGTCAGAGTTGTGATAGAATAATGTTTTATATTAGTGTTTTGTTTTAATATACAGTTTTCTTTATTATAAAGGTGTTTCCTTCCTAAACTATGGTAAAGTTTAACTTTACAGTTTCCATACAGGGACGAGCGAATAAGTATTTCTACAGCTAGCCTTGCAAAACACTCACAAAAGGCTGGGCAGGTAAAGTATATATACTTTACTGATATACTGATACATGTATAAATGGATGCATCTAAGGCAACTCACTTTTACTTCCTAGGTGATAATCAATTACTTTAGTAATTGAATGTTGACAACAATAAAGTTTAAAGAATATTCTTTAAGCATTTTTAATGAGCGTTAAATTATTTTTATACCCAGTCGATTGACAATTAATAAAAATGTATTACGACATATAAACAAATGTAAAATCTGTAGTTTATGATAGAAATATTTTATTTTGCAAACAATAACATAACAATCGGCAACATCGCACTGTAGTTTTCTGCCTGCTTTGTTTACATGCACAGGGGATTCCCCCCAGTGGGGAAACTGGTATAGCCAAGGTCAAATCATTATGTGACCGTGAAAAACAATGGCCCATGATAAGGAAGGTATTAAATTTTAATAAATTTAATTTTAATTTAGTTAAATTTAATTTTAATTTAATTTAATGCGCATGTCAAATAGTGCAAATATACAGTTTTCTTTATTATAAAGTTGTTTCCTTCTAAACTATGGTAAAAAAAATTAAAAAATTTTACCGTCTCCATAGGGACGAGCAAATAGGTATTTTTACGGCTTGCCTTGCTAAACACTCACAAATGGCTAGGCAGGTAAATATACCAACACATGTATGCATTTATACATGGATGCATCCATGGCAACTCACTTTTACTTTCTAGGTGATAATCAATCACTTTAGTAATGAATGTTAACCATAGACAAAAGATTTAAATCTTAGAGAATTCTCTATGATGTTGACAACAATAAAGTTTAAATAATGCTTAAACATAAAATAAATTTAAAAATTAAAATTTTAATTCGAAACGTTATTTTACACGTTTGTATTGATCAATACAAACGTGTAAAATAACGTTATTTTACACGTTTGTATTGATCAATACAAACGTGTAAAATAACGTTATTTTACACGTACGTGTAAACCGCAGTCATAAATTTATAGCTGTGGTTAAATTTAACCATAACAATTGTACTTAGGTAGTTTTTCCAGGCTTTATGAAGGTTCAAGGCACGCTAAAGCTCTCCTGTACATTTCTTCTTTCAGCCTGGAAAAATGTGCATAGCAGCCTAGGTCCACAATTCTCCACTGTTTGGTAGAAATTAAATCAGTATTGCTTTTTAGTAATTCTGGAAAACACAAGTAATTATAAATCAATAATAGATTTATAAGGTATAAGTATACTTTTACCTACTTATCTAAAGATATGAAATTTAATAAAAGAAACAAAGGTTCGATAAAACAAATTTATTTTTTTCCACTTTTCACAATTGTACAAATACTTTACATATGTAATATATATTTTACATTTACATTTAAAGTATACTTATAAGTAATAAATCCTTAAGGATTGTCAATTTCTTGAATTACACCCTTCGGCGAGCCAAATATTTCACTGCGCCACCTGCAGCTGCTCCAACTGACCCACAGATCGTAGTTGCAACACTCGATCCCAAAATTGTGCCGGTAGCCCCAGCAGTTTGAAGGGTGGCCACAATCCCCCCAGCTGTAGTTGCTCCACCATAACAACTCATCATCCATGCTGCAGTGGATTTTGCAGCTATACCAGTTGCTGTAAATCCCACGGTCGATATGATTGCTGGTGCAGCGACTATCGCTACGCCTGCACCAACGGTCCCAGCAATGACAGTTCCCATTGAAACCCCCGAGGTTGGAGCAGAAGCCTTCGCTGCGCCTAAACCAAAGACCCCAGCAGTGTTATTCACCCACTGATTCATTGCAACTCTGAGTGAAATTCAAATATACTAGCAGCTGAGACATTTTTCGTTACAATTTATACTGTGATGTACTTCTACTGTAAACCATAGATTAGATAGTCCACTCTGTTGGGGGGTTTACTGAGATGATAGCCTATCTAATTATAGCTTAAGCTATAATTATAAGCTGCTTTGATTAAGTCAATCAATTTGAATATTTTTTTTTATAAAATTAAACAATTGTTATTAACTTAAGTAGTTATATATAAATATTATTTCTTTCATTGACTATACTTTGACAGATACATAACCTCCTAGACCAAACCTATCCCTGTTAAAAATCACCCATAGAGACCAATAGAAACCAATAAAAAATCAGAATGGAATGAATTGGTCTCTATTGGGCCTATTGGTTTCTCAACAGAATGAGCATTGGTTTCTATTGGTAATTTCCGTACTGGAAAATGCCAATAGATTACCTAATGGTCTGAATTGGTTTTTATAAGAAGTTACAAGTACAGGAAATTCCCAATTGAAATTCAATTGGTAAATACCACTTAAATGTTCAGCGCCTGCGCAATTTAATACAAATGACCACTTGTTTCTATTGGCAATTTTCTTACTGGAAAATACCAATAGATAAACTAATGGTCTGAATTGGTTTTTATAAGAAGTTACAAGTACAGGAAATTCCCAATTGAAATTCAATTGGTATATACCACTTTAATATTTATTTTCAAAATTCGCCAATAGGTAGGCAACCCATGCATACCTCTCGCCTCTGTAGCACAATACATAGGCCTATAAAGGTGGAATGCCTTGAGCTGCTAAGTAAGGATCCTAGGGTAAGGATTCCTTACTAAGGCAAAATTACTGGCCATGGAAACGCCTGGCGTTTTGGAATTTTTAAAGGGGCACAGGTCGTCCTGTGGCCCACTCTGCGAAAAGTAAGCAGTGGGCCCCACTACTTACTTTTAGCAGAAGCTATTTATAAAAATTAAATTAAATGTTAAACAGCACTATTTTTGAGAAATTATTTAACCATCAAAACACGTAATTTTTTTACCTTAAAGACGTCTAAAATGGATAGTGGGGACCAATTCAAACCAATAGCGGTACCTCTAGAAAATCCAAATAGCTCTATTGGGAATTACCAATAAAATATATCTATAATATATCTATTGGGAATTACCAATAAAATACGATTAGTCTCTATCGGTCTGTATTGGGATTTTCCAGCGGTGTCGCTATTGGTTTGAATTGGTAATTCATGGTACAGATACCACTATTGAGACCAATTGACCATATGCAAGGAATGCGGTCGATGTTGCCAATGGTAAATAAATAAAATTCCCTATTGGGAACATTCAATTATATTACGTTGGCTACACTGAAACTTTGAATTTCCCGCACAAACTAAATTATTTTCCATCTTTTTTTTAATAATAATAATTAATAATAATTTCCACATTTGAAATTCGCACCTTAATTTATTATAAAACATTGGAACTACCTTCTTTATCTCTGGGAACTACTAGAATGTATGTCAGTTTGTGCGGGAAATTCAAAATTTCAGTGTAGCCAACGTAATATAATTGAATGTTCCCAATAGGGAATTTTATTTTTTTACCATTGGCAACATCGACCGCATTCCTTGCATATGGTCAATTCAAACCAATAGAGCTGCCGCTGGAAAATCCCAATAGCTTTTCTATTGGTCTTTATGGGTGATTTTTAACAGGGATAGGTTGCCTATAGGCAATGCCTATTAGGCATAACCACAATCCACACGTGGATTGTGGGCATAACCTGAAAAGCCTTAAATGCCAAATTTTCAAAAGACTGCGTTCCGTACGTGGTCACGTGGTAGGACTTTGAGGTGTGGAGCATAGTACCTATAGGTATGAGCTTCATAATTATAACTTTTAAGTATACTTAAAAGTCATAATTATAAAGCTCATTCACATCCACTTAACAATTCAGACATTCAGGCAAATTTACTAAATAATTCGTTAACGCTACCTAGCCACTAGAATCAGTGGTTATCGGCCAATCCGACCAATGAGCTCATTGGCATATTAAATATAATGATAACCAATAATTTTAGTGGCTAACGTCAAAGATAATCTTTGGCTAACGTTAACGAGTCGTTAATAATGACTCATGTTACTAACATATGTTATGATGTTACTAACATATGTTATGATGTTACTAACATCATGTTAGTGAATTGTCCTGATTGTCAAGGCAGTGTCAATGTCAAGTGAATTCTGTCCTATTTTCTAAAAATAATGCAATATAATATATTGCATATATTATAGAGAGTATATTATTGACATCAGTATTCACGTTGTAAGGCATCATCTCTGATTTCAATATTCACTGTGATTTAAACCAATCCGGGTTTAAATTTGAAAAAAGTTAGGTTAACCAATTGGATCTTTTAATATGAACGAGGATCGAAATAAATTTTGTAATTAATAAAAATTACTTGGTATAATTAAGACTCGAGATAAATAAAATTATATATAAATGTCAAATTTTTAACTTAAAATTACTTAGGTATAAGACAAAGAAAGAGGTATAAGCCAAAGCTGTATAACTTTAAAAGTCATTTTTCCAGGCTTTAGAAATGAAACAAAAATTTGGTAGTAAAAATTTATTTTTTCCCGCTTCTAATTTTACAATCACCACCCAAATATAATTAAACATTCTTATTAAAAAAAATAACATTTAACTGAAAATTAAATACCAAATTGAAATAGTCAGAAAAAAAGGATTGTCAATTTCTTGAATCATTCATCTACCCACCATTCGGCGTCCCACATTTTTCACTATGCCACCTACAGCTGCTCCAACTGACCCACAGATCGTAGTTACAACACTAGATCCCAAAATTGTGCTGGTAGCCCCAGCAGTTTGAAGGGTGGCCACAATCCCCCCAGCTGGAGTTGCTCCACCATAACAACTCATCATCCATGCTGCAGTGGATTTTGCAGCTATACCAGTTGCTGTAAATCCCACGATCGATATGATTGATGGTGCAGCGACTATCGCTACGCCTGCACCAACGGTCCCAGCAATGACAGTGCCAGAATTATTTTTTACCCACGGATACATTACAACTTCCTAGGTAATATATTATTATTATAAGAAATAATATCACCCACCAAATTTTAGATTACCCAGCGGTAAGCTTTAGGCAGTATTTATCCCAGAGTGAAATTTAAAGGGACTGCAAGTACGCGTGCTATGTAAACTAAAAAATGTTTCGTACTTGTAAACCAAAGTTCTTTGTTGTATACCAGACATACTATAACAAATACCCAAAATAAGCCAGGGCAGTGCTGCCAACCAGTCGAAATTAAAAGCCGCGCGCATGATCAAAAATTGCCGTGTTCGAAAACTCGCAAGAGTGAACTCTGGATACACTGCAAGTTTACCTTGCGCGTTCTAATTCTCTGGTATATACCTAGATATATGCAACTGTCAGCTGTTCGAAAACAGCAAGTATATGCCCAGAGTGCACTCTCGGTTGTCCAAGCTTGGTTAAGTTTTACCCGTCATGCGCATAGGGTACATCCAACAATAATTTGTATTTACCTTCATATAGTTTATTTATAACTGTTTAAAATTCAATAAAACAAAAACGAAAAACATTAAAATAAAAGAATTTATTATAATAAATTATTTAAAAATTATCAATTCTAAAAAACAAAACAAAATCCATCACAAAAACTTGAATAATCCATATAACTAGGGTTGAAATTTAATAATTTAATATTTTTATGTATTCAGTCAAATAATTTTAGAACACTACAACATGAAGTTTGTAGGTATATGCTCCGCGGCGTTCGAAAATAACAAGGTGGTCAGGTATAATGTAAAGTCACGTGATTATATACCTATCCGTATACCACATCCAAAGTACACTCTCATTGAGGAGTCTGAACTGCATGTAAACAAGAATCTTTCTAAGGAAAGTAGGCGCTGGTGTCCCGTTTATTCTGAAACAATTGACTAATTTGTACCGAAACGCTACCAAAAGAGCAGACGTCAGGACGCATCAACAATCAGCGCCGCTGGTGGTAAAAGGCTTAATTTGTGCAATTTAGAGGGCAGGTTTTGTCAATTTCCCGATGGACAAGGCAGTTAAATCAACGTAAATTGACCGTTCGGGGAATTCGCTAGGGTACTAAACTATAAACGTGGAACTAGAATTGCAAACCGTCCTTTATTTAAAAGGACAGGCCTTTATTTTAAAATTGCATATTTAAAAGGTGTCAAATGAACTGACTATAAATGTCCTTCAAAACAAAAAATCTTTAAATTTAAAATAATACGGTTATAATGTGTCTAAAATCTGACAGTTGGCAACGTCTAAAAAATATCGGTAAATCCCCGAGTTCTCTGACTCCTCTTCCGTAAACGTCATAGAGTCATGTCTATGACATAGACATTTTGGAGTGGACGCGTATCTATCAAAACGTTAAAATATGACCAAAGCTGGACAAAAAAAATGGCGTAATTTATTTATTTAGGGACTGGTTTAATCATGATTAAAATAAATAGACTTCTTACTTTAAAAAGCGAATTGTTTGTAAAAAACTTTATTTATGAATACTACAACGGTTTTTTTATTGTTCATCTTCTACGGGAGGAAGGAAGGAAGGCAATCTATAAATCAGGCTTAATTCGGTATGAAATGTTTCGGTGTATACCCATTGCGCCACTTTTTTATATAAAATAATTATCCACATTAACTATATATGGTTTTTCTCTAAACTTCGACAGTCTAGGCCCAACTTTCAACACTGGATAGTAGGTAAATAGTTAAATGTCAACTGCTTACGCCCACTAAAAGCAGATGGCACCGCCCATGGTTTGTGTTGAAATTATTTTTGATGAGAATTTCTAAAATCTCTAAAAATAGTTACAGCCTAGATTATAGTTTAATAGATAAGGTAAAGGATTGCTTTCTTTTAAAATAATGTTGACCTATTAATATTGTTTATTAATATATACTTTCTAAAAAAAATAGGAGTTATTGATTTGCAATTATTCAAGGTTTCTTTTAAATCATTCTTATTTATAAATATTATAAGACATCTACAGGTTTCACAATTTTATTTGTGAATTAATAGTTACAGAAAAAAAAGTTCCATCATGAATGACCCAGGTTTTCCATCTCAACACACAACTACCACAACTACAACTACGGTTCAAACTAATATTAGGTTTGATCCAACCTATATTAAGACAATACCAGGAATGCTAAAAATTGCTGAAGTTGTAAGTATTCCACTAAGTATAAAGCAAGATAAATGATAAAAATGGTTCTCATGGAAACAGTTCAAATGGGGTTGGCATGGTTGACACATATTTCCTGACAGAAAATTGTTTTCTATCCCTGTATATAAAAAATATATATATAGACTCAAACCATTAATTTAAGGTTCTTAATTTACTGGGATTTATTTGCATCGAAGCCAGTGGTGTATATTCACATGCATCCAGAGGTTCATGGTTTAATTTTGTATCGATGACTGCATTTTGGTTTACTGGTATTTTATTGGCTTTGTACTTGTTCCATGTTATTGAAGTATCTTACAAAATACCCTGGTTGAAAATCGAATTTGTTTTCTGTGCCCTATGGACTCTCTTCTATCTTATAGCAGCCTCGTTGGCTGTCAGCTTTAACCATGAAGCCTATTCTGCTGCAGGGGTAAGTTTTACTCGGTTTTAGCTTTAAAAAAGCATTTTTTATATGTACACAATAACCATAGATTAATAACATTGGAAGTGACATTTTCACAAAATTCAGTATAGTGTTTATTTAAATCTTAAAATATTCAGGTAGGTACTTCACACAGGGTTGCCAGTTCGGTTTTCATTCCTTCAGTAAATATCTAAGGTAAATATGTAGCCAAAAAGTCAGTAGATTTCAGTAGACTTATTTTTTGCTCTACAAATTTCAGAAAAGGGTATACCCTGAGGTTATAACACATTTTTTGTTGCTAAACACATATTTTTTCGACGTTATAGTTTTATTTTAGTATACTAAAATAAAACTATAACGTCGAAAAAATATGTATTTAGCAACAAAAAATGTGTTATAACCTCAATTATAACCAAACATTTTCATTTAAAAAAATAAAATAAACATTCCTTCGAATTCCGATGCTCGGATGTTAAACATATTTATTTTTTTTCTTTGACGGGCCGGAACCTACATTTTCAGAGTTATAGTCCTCACTTGAACTAAAAGATAATACGGTATACCTATTTAAAATTACATAAGTGCACTTACCTCATATTTTTGCAACTGCACAATAAAAATAAATAAATATGTAATTAAAAATAAAATATTAATTATTATAATTCAATAAACCGAATTTATTATATACGGAAACGAAGTCCCCGTCCCCATGGTCTTTCACATAACCTCTACTGTTTGACATAATTCCCCCGTAATCCCCGACGGGGATTCCCCGAGGCCCGTGGTCAGTATTACCAACATATCAAGCGCTAAGACGCGTTAGAATTTTAAATAGTGCTTGTAAATGTATTTAAATAGAGCGTTCGGAATTTAATGCATGGTAAATGTAAGTGATATATTATTGATAACCATAATAAATAAACCTTATATTTTTTTCAGTAGATTACAACATTTTTCAGTAGATCAATCAGCAAATCAGTAGATCTACTGAAAAATCAGTAGAACTGGCAACCCTGACTTCACATCCAAAAGTCCCACTTTAACATTTGAATAAGGAATGCAGACAGTCTGCAGTAGAGGTGGGAAGTTTAGTTCACTTTCCTGATTTCGATCTTTCGATCTCGTTCATTAAAGTGAATAGTACAAAAGACTAGTTCGTTTAGTTCACTGATTTATAATCGGATTTGTCGGATTTACGTAGTTTCGTTCGCGAACTACACTTCTCTAGTAGTTCAAGTGAACTATATTGAGATTGATTGATTGATTTGCACCAAAGAAGTGTTCTTGGAATTGCACTTGCTGCTGGTCAAAATGGTACGCTGTTGCCAAGACCATTAAGTGGTTGATTTGATTTTAGGGACAATTACGAATTTGCGTGAAAAAAAATCCATTAGTAAATACGGATATAATGAAATATATTTACGGATATTTAGTTTAGTTCGTATTGATTCGCTCTTTTTAGTTTTGGTGATTGAATCTTTTAGTTCAGTTACGAAATTCGATCTTTTGAACTAGTTCGTTCGCGAACTACACACCTCTAGTCTGCAGCAGACTGCATTAAGGTACGGATTCGTTGATGCGAGTCGCATCAACGAAACTGTACCTTTATGCAGTCAAAACATTGAAGTTGTCGCAGTTTAACGCTAATTTTGTGTTATTTTCCAATAATAATACTAAATTATCTATTGTTTCATTTTAAGAAAATGCACCGTGTTTGTTCAATTGTAGGTAGGCAACCCAGATTACAAATCGATAATTCTGCTCTCGGTTTTAAAAGCGGAATTTCAATATTTCTTTACCCTTTGTATTGGGTACAGAAGTAAATACTATTATTTTTTAGTTCTTTGGATTCTGCGGCATGGTCGCATATGGATTTGATGCTTTTCTCAAATTCAAAAGTGTTAAAGAAGGACAACTTGCTCAGGGAGAAAGAGTAGTTAATAAAGAAACAACAACAGTTACAACTGCTTATTAATTAGTATTATTGATATTTTAACATGAATCTATTATGGAATGGTAAAACCAAAAATATCCTATAAGAATTGTTTACAAATTTACTTTATTGAGATTTATAATTGTTATTGTTTTTTATTGATATAGCTATATCATTTTTAAAATGATTAGGTATTTCAAAATTTATTTTTCGAATTTTATATATACAGAAACTTTATTGCAATAATTTATGAATTGTTGTCATTGTTTTTTATGATTTTAAAACATATTATGAAAAAAAAATTAATTATACTTTATAAAAGATTTTTATTTATTTTTTAAAACCAAGGCAAATTTAAGTACCTCCTAAGTTTTTGCCACATTATTCTGAAACAGTATTTTGAACATACTATATTATTTATAAATATTTGCAATAATTACTTACACCAAGCATTTGTACATACATAAATTCATATAGCAAATATGTGTATAATTCATTGTTGCCACAGGGGTACCTACCCTCCTGTAAATCTATCTTAAGACAAAACGTTATTCAGTTTTAAAAGCAAGTTGGTTTTTGAAGCATGATCTTATTTACAGAAAATTTTTAGTTTTCTGAAGCCATGTTTGTGCACATACTTAGAAGTATGTGTTTGTGGCTGCTTTGTGACATCTGGTATCAGCGCCATAAACTAAAATTATTATTTTTATTTTCTTCAGTTTCATTTGTTGATGATAAATTGCTGATAATAAATCTTTTGTGGCAACACCCTTATTATAGTAATTTAAATATTTATATTGTTGCAATTTCTTATCACCTAAATAACACATACATATGTATATGGTGTCCAATTTAAAGTATTTTATATTATATACCATATCAAAGAGTACAATAAACTGATATTTTTTAAATATAAAAAAATGTTTACTACCAACTTTTATATTTTTGGTGTCTATAGTGTAAAAATATATATACATATTATATACATTGTTAAGAGTGGCATTTTTTGTTAATATAATATAAAATAAAGCACTACCCACTATACAAATTGTTTAATTTAACAAAATAATAAAAAAACATAAAAAAAGTAAAAAATAATTTATTACAACACAATAAATAAAAAGGAAACACTAGGATATGTAAAATCAACCTCCCCATGTTGTTCTGGTGACATGATCAGCTTTTCTTTTGGAACTTTTGATGAAGCCAAGAAACTCCAATTCTTGAACTGCCTGAGTAAAACGAGCTCTATTGAATGCTTTAAGAAAAATATTTACATTTTTTTGTCCGACAGTAAATATAGCTGCTTATCTCTCCCATTTTTTGTCCTATACAAAATGGCATTCGAAAATTGGAAAAAATTAGCGGTTATCAAATAATTTGAAGAAAAAAACTGAAAACCTGTCAAAACAAAAAATCGTCACAAATTGGTTATTCCTGGGAATTTTAGATTTTTTTTGCCCATCAGATTTTTTCTATGGGCTGCACATGGAATTTTACATGGTTAGATTTAATAAAAATCCAATGATGTATTAAAATTGCAACAAGTTATTGCAGTTATAGAAACAAAAGAAAGTGGCTTATGCCACATGCCATAATATAGTCCCAAAGAAATTGGATAAAAATGTAGATAAATTTGCATGTTTACTTAAAAAACTTTTTTTGAAAATTCCCAGAAATCACAAATTTATAACGATTTTTGGTTTTAACAGATGTTTAGTTTTTTTTCAAATATTTTAAGGACCTCTGTTTCTATTTAATTTTTAAATTTTATTTTATTAGGCTTGTAATTACACAACCTTTTTCTTATATATATAAAAAAAATCCCACATGTATTCTGCTGTGAAGTAAAATATTAAGTAATAAAGGACAAAAAATAATTTTTATTGTTTTTATAACAATGATACATGGGGCATTCCATACCAAATCACCCACCTTTGACCCTGACCTCTTTTGATTTGAAAAACTGAAAAATAGACTTGACTTATCAAAACGTTTTTTTTTTAATTTTCGTTTTTTAATGTAATTTTCGGAAAATATTTTTTTCTTACTTTTTAAAAAACATTTTTTAATGATTACAACTTTTAATTTAATTTATTATTTTTTAACTTTGAGGTTCTTTCTGCATCCTTAAAAATCCCCAGAGTGGTATTATGAGGAATTAGCGAGTTAATTTTTTTTACAAAAAAAATATTTAGTTGAATGAATCTTTCAAAAAAATAGCTCTATTTTTCAAATCGACTTATCGGAACGTTTTTTTTATTTTTTGCTTTTTAATGTAATTTTCATTTTTTTTCTTACTTTTTTGAAAAATGTTTTTCTAATAATTACCACTTTCAATTTCATTTAATATTATTTTTTAACTTTTAGGTTCTCTCTACATAAAATTCCTTATAAGCTAAGAGTTAATTTTTATTTCAATTGAAAAAATACAAGAATCATTTAACTCCAAGGATTAGTGTCCACAACATATTGTCTTTAACTCTAGATATAAAAAATAGAAAACAAAAAAACGCCACTCTAAACATTTCAGAGAATTTGCAGAAAATGCGAGTTTCTAACAGAGCTGGGCCAAGTACAAGTAAAATGTACTTAAGTACCGAGTACAAAGTACTTTGTATAATTCCTGAATAAGTACAAAGTACCAAGTACTATACAAATTTCAAAGTACTTTAAGTACAGTACTGCAAGTACAGTACTCAGTACTTTATAATTGTATTTTAAGAGTACATGTCAACAAGACAAGACTCGCTGGTACCAAGACTTATTATTATTTTATTATTATGTAATCTCAAGGGGCTATGCACGCACAGTTCAGAGCACCTAGCCGATGAGACTCTTGTACTCTATCCCCCCCGCATTACCTTAGGGCTGCCGAAGATATTGTCCTTCTTTGCAGAAGTCTAATATCTGTCCCACACTTAGCTCCCTAACCTGCTCCGGATGGATCTCCGTCTGCCCAAACACCGCGAATCTGGTCCTCGCTAGTGCTACACATTTGCACAAAAAGTGCTGGGAGTCTTCAATCTCCTCCTCGCATCTTTCACATCGTGGAGATGTCGTCTTTCCTATCACGTATCTGTGCTTGTTCAGATTGTTGTGGCCGGAAACGATTTCCACAACAGCCCTTATTTTTGGTCTGCTCAGCTTCAGGAGCTCTACCGACCAGGTTTCTACACCGCTGCCCATAAGGGTCTTGCCTGTGTTGCATCCCGGGCTTTGCTGCCACTCTCTCGCCTGTTGGCGCTTTGTCCATGCTTTAATGAGGTTTACGCCCTCCCTGAACGGCATGCCCACTACCTTCTCTTGAGGACCACATAGAGTGGTGCCCTCCTTTGCTAATCTATCGGCTCTTTCGTTGCCTTTCCATCCGGCATGACCTGGAATCCAGGCAAGGTTGAGCCGATTCCCTCTAGCGACTCGCTGGAGTGCCAGGATGGTTTCCTCTATCAGCTTGGATGAGAAAGACTCATTAACCAAGGCTTTTAGAGCAGCTTGACTGTCTGAGCAAATCCAGATGTCTCCACCTGTACCTCGTTCAGACAGAACCCTCGCGCATTCTTTTATGGCGAGAACTTCCGCCTGGAAGACCGTGTTGTGTCTGTCAAGTCTGTAGACAAAGCTGTCCACCGACTTTTGACCACAGAACCCGGCTCCCACTCCTTCCTTCGTCTTTGACCCATCTGTGAACCAAATGCTTCCATGTTTTGGGCCAAAGCCTTGCTCCCACTGCTCTCTACTGGGGATATGTACCTTGAAACACACCCCTTCAGCTAGCTGGATTTTTATCCTGTCCTGTACCAAGACTTGGTAATCAAAAGATTTTTTTTCTTTGACATTTATTATAGAATTTACTAATATAACTGATTTAGGGGTTTTAAATTTTTCTTTATTCGCATATTAATTAAATAATCAAAATTTGTTTGTTTATTTTTTCTTCCGATGTAGAGCTAAACCTTTAGCTGCTCATTTTATTTATTACTTTAGTATACTGACAGTCTGTAAATGACAGAATTTATTTTAATTACAGATGCCATGGTGTTTTCGCGGAAATAATGCATGTAGCATTATTTTCGTATACAGTGGTAATAATGCACATTTAGGCCAAATTGTGACAAAGATGCATGCAATATAAAACGTACGAAAGAGTGAGATTAACAACCATCGACTGGTTAACAAACGTGATTCCCCTCCGTCATGAGCGTGCAGTAGAAATTTTTAAAACAATTAAATCAAAACGGTCTATTACACGCCAATGTTTTGCTTCCCCTTCTTTAACTATCTGCGTTACCCGCCGGGCAGGTCCCGCCCACTCGACATGTTCGAGATTTGCCACTATTTAGTGTCAGTTTCATTACGACTGAGGTAGGTTGTCGGTTGTTATAAAACAACGTAAATATTTTATTATGATTTTGTTTACAGAAACAAAAATTCCTTGCAAATATTTCTTAGGAAATGTGGAAAATAAACAATAATATTCTTGTAATAAAAAAACAAATATTCTCAAATAAAAAAGTATTCTAAAAAACGTAAAGAAAAAATAATTTAAAGCAAATGTTCAAATTATTTACAACATTTTGAATTGTTGCCCTTGCTGGTAAGGGTCTATTTGGGAACATATTTGGAAATAATCTTTGAATTTCTCGATCTGAGATCCCATTTAAATGCCACGTTATAAATTGAATCTTTTCTTCAAGGGTGTAAACCATTTTTATTAGAGAATATTTCCTAATTTATAACAAACGTACTACCTCTTATTTACAAGTTGTAAGTTACAACACAATGTGTTGAACACATTCTCTTGTCTGCGCCGAGCAGACTCTGCGGTCGGGCCGCCCGTCTCGGACGATGATCGTAGCCGCACGGCGCGGTCTGACTTGCCCCACTACTCTTACGTCACTCCACCACTCCCACGTCTCATAATGCATTTGTCTTTATTTAATAAACGGCCTAAGAGCACATTACCATCCCTGTATAATACCACTAGTGGTAAAATTTTACCGATAAAATTTTTGATTTTTATACGAATGTTTTTTTCTTGGAAATTTGTGGCATTAATTTTTAAGACCACGAGCCGCTAGGCGAGTGGTTTGAAGTTAATGCCACGAGCGAAATTTCCAAGGAAAAATCTTGAGTAAATAAAAATCAAAAATTTTTTCAGGGAAAATTTTATCACGAGTGGTATTCGGCAAGACTATTTCACGAATATTTTTAACTGCTGATTCAATTTCTGTATGATTTTTTGGACCAAAACGCATATTTTTTAACATTTTAATTTTAAAATTAAAAACGTCAACAGTGACAATTATTTTTATCATAGCAACCAATTGGTTGTTATGCAACTCGTATAAACGAGTGGTTTTTTCACCTGAATAGTAGTTTTATCGCTGCAAAACTGAAAAAACCACTCGTTTTCTGAAATCTGATTGGTCCAAAAAGTAATGAGTGGAATAGTCACTATAATAATGTTTTGATTAGCTAAAATATACACACATGACTGAAACTAAAAGTTTCTATTGGTTTTTAGAAACGTCAAAAAATAATCTAAACTAAACAATGTTCAAATAATATGCTCGAAAATTATTGTCGTCAACATGCAAAATCAAAATGAAATGCTCATTTTCCGCTCTCAACTCTCGGCGACAGCAAATTATAATAGGCCTTTGTCGGTGTACCCATATATATATATATATATATATATATTTATTTATAAATTTTATTAAGTATTTTGATTGACCATACGAGCATACTCATAAACAACACGTATTGTGGGCCACAATTTGTGGCGCGGAAAACCTTTTACGTACTTAGCTGGAGGCGCAGACAGGTCTCAACTTGTATAAAGTACTTGTAAAAATGTACTTATATTTTAGTCCCAAGTACTGAGTATACTCTTAGCAGAATGTTACAAGTACAAGTACCAAGTACATATACAAAGAAGTACTTAAGTATCAAGTACAAAGTACCCTAAAATGTACTCTAAGTACTTTTTCAAGTACTTGTACTTAAGTACCGCCCAGCTCTGGTTTCTAATAAGAAAATGAAAATTAAAAAATCCGAAAATTAAAAAAAAAACGTAGATCGGTCCGAATAATTTTCTATATTTAGGTACCTACTATTAAAAACAAAAATTTTGAATAAAACTTCACGATTTCGGTTGGGTAAAAAAATTTAAAAACATACTGAAAAATTATTTGATATGATAAAAAAATATAAAAAGGGGTCGGGATCAAAAGAGATTAGTTATGAAATGCAGGGCTTCCAGCGAATTTTTAAGTGCTATTTTTAGCATTTTAGGACAAATCTTAGTAGAATTTAAGGACATTTCAGACAAAGTTTAAAAACTTGGAACGTTTTATTAGATAAAAATAAATTATTCATAGGATAACAAAAACAAAATAAAAATATCTACTTTTTATCCTAAAATAATAAAAAAACAATTTTTTATTCAATATTGAAAAAGAATATTTTCATGTCTTATAGGGTAGTTTTGCATCATTGTTTTTAGCTTCATTTTGTTTTGATAGAAGTCAATTTGATCATCCAATTTAATAATTTTGATCACACAACCATGGAGTAGGCAACCAAGATCACAAACTGATGTTTTGGTGTTTTTATCATGACAAAATCATGTGACATGTGCACCATAAACCACCTTTTAGGACATTTGAGAGCCCTGGATGTGTATAAATATATAGAGCGATATCTCTAAAACAATTAATCATAAAAAACATTGCCTGGGATCAAACTTGTGGAGAATTTCATGTTCTACAAGTTAACCTCAAGCAACATTTAACGCATGGGAAACGAGATATTTTCAAAATACAATTTTCGAGAACTTTGACTTTTGCATTATTTTCCTCTACACATTAATGAATTTTTTAAAATCAATATATTTTTAAAGGATACTGTAATTCAGGGTGAATAATTCTTTTGGCATCATCCTCATCATCATCATAAGGATCTATAATGCTTACAAAGGCTTGCAGCCAATCATACAAATTTATTAATTTTCCACATTCCAAATGTAGTTTGTATGCAATTGAAATATCAGGCATACAAGATCTTATTGCGGTTTCGGGGAAATCACAACAATTACACTAGCAAAAAAAAATTACTAAATAAAAAAATAATTAATTTTTTACTCACTTGTAAGTAATGATGTGGATTATTTAGAGCAGAGTGTATTGCAGCCCTATGTTCACCAATAATGTGAGTTCTGATGGAAATATCGTTAAAAAAACAAATTTCATGGAAGTACATTGAAGAAGGTTTGGTTAAATAAATTTCAAATGTTTCCGATAAATAATTTAAAAGGGATTGCCTTATTTGCTCATATCTGTTCATTTGTTTTGAGGTTTGTTTAGACATCCCCAACAATTTCTAAAAAAAAAGATGTTTTATCATTTTATTAACGTCTATCTACCTCTACCTACCTCTTTTAATTGTTTTCTATCCATCTGCCCGGATATTTCCGGCTCCTCCATGTTATTAGTAACGTCCGTTAAAATTTCAACATCTACTTCTTCATTATTTTCCACATCCATATCATTTAAATACGCCTTCAAGTTGATTACAAATTCTTGCAGTTTGTTTGGTTTATTATACGAAACATTCACTATACTGCCCACATTCATAATCACCCTCTCAATTTTTCTGCAAAGCTCTTCTTTCGACTGAAAATTGAGCAGTTGAAAACATTCCTTGTATTCCTGACTTTTTGTTATGCTCTGAGAGGTCCCCACCGAGTAAATTTCTCTTAACTGAAAGAAAGCCAATTTATTAATTTTTGAGAGGGCTTTGCACACAGCGTTGCCAACTTTTAGTTTTTTGCTCAACTCTACTACTTTGCATGAAAAATCTACCATTTTTTAAGTTTTTAAAATGTTTTAATCAAATCTCCGTAAAAATTAAGGCTGGGAATTTTTTAGTTTTAGAAATTCGAATACTCGTTTGAAAATTATTTCGAATATTCGAATTATTCGAATATTCGGGTAATTGAACTAGTTTTAGAGATTTTTGAGCCAATCTAGAGATTTAATAAAAACTTCTTATAATATTTAATATTGTATCTGTTTTTTGCTAATCAAACAGATTATATTAATAATAATTATTATAAAAAGTTATTATTAAATCTCTAGGCTAAAAAATTTTCTCCGCCAAAAAAAAACGATTTTTTTCAAGTCTCCTATGAAATAATATTATTTTATAATGCTTTAAAAGCTCTCTTCAAAAACAGCTCAATTGATTAAAAAACATCAATTTTGAAAATTCAAAAAATAGTTAAAAACTTTTAGTTAAAATTCTTTTGTCAAAATTCTAACATTTTTTTGCTTGCCACATTTTTATAATAAGTTCTTAAAGTTTTAGCTCTGAATCTAAATCTACTTACACCCTAGATAATATCTAATATCTAGTAGATATATATTGCCTATACCTTCGTATTTCGTATTGCACGTGAAAGCAGCGGGCTGCCGCAAATTTTGCCTACGAATAAGCTAAAACTAAAACTCATTAATTTTTTTTGTACAAAAATTTACTGTGGCGAAAAAATATTATTTTAAATTCGAATTTGATTATTTTTGTAATTTTCAAAATTCGAAAGCCACCTAATTTTTGATGAGAGCTCTTAATTTTTTTAATAAAATTGACAAATTGACATACTTGCGGTTGTAGCGTATTTTTAATAATCTACCGTTGATAAACGATTCTTCCAAAATTTTGGAAGTTTGTTTGATCAAGGCTGACGGTTGGTATTGCAGCTGACTTTTAAGTGGCTATCACAAAACTAGTTTTGGCTTTGGTTTGGTACTTTTTCTATGGTTTGGTTGGTATTGCAACTGACGTTTAAGTTATTTAAAGTTTACATTGTAAACAATTGCGAAAAAAATTGCAAATTTGCATATACCTATATTTTTTTCGTTATATTCCTAATAATTAAATTCATTTAAAAAAGTTTATATTTTTTCTTCAATTTTTTTTAAATCTAACCGTATCGTATCGAAATTGTATCGATATAAGCGATATTTTGAAAATTATATCGATATCGTATCGATACGGCTTCTGTATCGAACAGCCCACCTCTACTATATAGTTTATCGTTTTGTATGTAGGTACGGCCGACGCGTCATTGGCCCGATCCTGCGTGTGGAGATTTATTTATTTTTATTATAGTTTTTAATTAAATAGGTATTTCTTTATTTTAACTAAATTACAAAACCAAAATTATTATTTCATTAATACCGAAATAAATAGGCACAAATAAAAAACATTATTGGCTTGAATATGATTAAAATTTAATCATTAAATAATCCCATATACCTAGGTAACATAATGATATTTTTTTTTAGTTTTATCTCTTAAATTTTTTATTTTTTTGTCATAAATACCTTAGTTACATTAATTTTAAATTCATTTCCTTATTAGTTAAACTAAAAATTAAGGTATGATTAAAGTTTAATCATTAAATAATCCCGTACACAATGATTATTTTTTTAGTTCCATCTTTTAAATTTTTATTTTGTTATAAATACATTAATTAATTCTTCTTCTTCTTCTCCTTTTTTGGCTTTTCCTTCCGGGATTTGGCCAGCTTAAATCTTTTTTCTATAACTGGGGAGGGCGAGTCTAGGAGTTCCTATAGCCGCTCCCTTCTTTTTCATTATTAATTTTTTTTATCACTACTTTTTATACTTTTCTTCTGTTTTTGTCCAATTCTTAAATATTATTACAATTCACTTAAAATTCATACGTACACTTCTTCATTTAGTCTCACATTCAATTACAAATAATAAATTTTAGTTTCAACCATGCACTGTTATTTCTTTAAATATTTCACCCATCCGTCGTGGAAATCCTTCGTAAATTACTTAATCTATTGTAGATTTTGTATATTTGACAAAAACCAGCGTATTTTTGTGCTGGGATTCCGATTTTGTCCCTCCAGGGTCGCAAACGACCAACCGTCTCCAAGAACAAAACCCGAATGACATTAATTAATTAATTTTAAATCCAGTTCATTCCCTTATTTGTTAAATAAAAAATTAAGGGTTTAAATGAATAGCATTTAGTAGGTCCGGCTCGCCGTTTACCTTGAAGCCTGCACATATCATTCAATCTCAGACATTTGAATTGTAAATTACAGGTTACTGTACCTAAGAGCGTTCAAAATAGGATTTTTTTAACATTACGGCAAAGTTAGTTATTAAAATGAGTAAAAATGAAGAAAATAAGAAACGAAGCTTTTTTTCACAACTGAGAAATATATATATAGAGTTAAATAAAGACTTCAGACATCATATTTCTTAAATAAAAACTAATTCAGTTTGTGAGTAAATAATAATAATTGAAGCTTATAGTCAAAACAAACTGTCAACTGATACTTTTTAGAAAATTCTGTTATTCTGCTTTATCATTGGTTCCATTGTAGTGCTAGATTTCTCTAGAAAACTCGAAAAATATAGATGGTAGATCTACTAACTTTTTAAAGTAAGATTTGTTGGAAACTACCAACTTTTAAAATCATATCTACCTCCTAGATAGATTTTGTGTTGGCAACACTGCTGCAACGAATAGGATTACTTACATGTTTTCCCAGAGGTGCCTTTGGCAGATCACATACCAAAATCCAAAGTGCTTTAAGAAAAATATGCAATCTCCTGATATATTTTCTCAGCTTAAAAACTTCCTCCTCCAAAACTATTTTAAAATAGTCATCATCCGTGAGAAGTTTTATTCGATTTTCGTAACTTTCACTTTCCACCAATTTTCTGAAAGACAAAAGTCTTCTAGTATTTTCACAATCTTCATGTTTGAACTTTTTTATAAGTTGTTTTATTTCTTTCTTCGACTCAGAACATAAGGACATGGCGTTGCCATAACTAAAATGTTCCAGCATGGCATACTTGATGTTTTGAATGAATCCACTTACAGAAAAGTCATAGAACAAAAAAATATCAACAAATAAATTAAAAACTTTTCCGCCCAATTGAAAAGGACAATCCAAAGTAAAAAAAACATCCTCCAGGACTTTATTTAAATATTCTGTTGAAGGTTTCGAGTGAAACACTTGTACGCTAACCTTCGATGACACATGATATGGCAAAGAAGTGTGCAGAGTTGACAAAGATGTTGCTATACCCAAAACAATTACAATTGGTAAAACGTTTATGTAGGAATACGCAATTAATATAAAACGCTGCAAAACTTCCGGATTGAACGCCTCAAAATCTGGTATAATAACAACCAAAACTTTTTTCTTGTTTTTACATTTTTCTTTTTTAATTTCTACTTTGGGTGTTTCAGTTAAATACAGTTCTTCATACCAGCCTTGAAGCAGCTGAAGGCTGAACAGACTTTTTTTTATTCTTTGGGGCTTATCTACTACTTCCATGTCATCCTAAAAATTTATTATTAAAAAAAAGAATTTATAAAAAATAAACATTGAATATTTTTTTTCTTAACTCTTTTTTATTATTTAAAAAATGAATAAAAGTGTGAAAAAATATTTAATAATGACAAAAACACAGTTTTGAATGTATAAAATGTCCAAATTTATATTTTAAAGTACAAATAAACCATTTTATTTTATTGAGAAAAAATTAGGTTAAAACCGTTTGACAGATGTCAGATTGGTAAAAAGTAAGGTTAAACCCGTCTGACAAATTTGTAATGTATTTTGTTTATTTAAAAATGTGTTTTAACCACAGACCATCAAAACAAATGGACGGATTTGTTTACGTTTAAAAAGCGAGTAAAGCATAGCCCACTGAACATTATGGATGTGGTGATGTCACAGTGACGTTTAAAAATTGTCAATTTTAAGGCACATTAACTACGTTTTTTAGTGATGTTTAATTTACGTAAAAATTACGCTAAAAAATAAAAGATGCTGTCGAGCACGTCACTATACCGTCCAATCTATGCCTTTTATTTTACTTTAGCGTATTAGGTGCAAAACAGAACGTACATTTTACGTCACCAATGTGACACATGATAAATATGAATGGGGTAGGTTTGCCAATGATGAACAAATATATGCCACATTTACATTTTTGTTGGAAATTTGAGTGTATACTTAGATAATTAAATACCGAATATAATTCATAATTTTAGATTAAACCGAAGGTACTTACTTAGAAACCAATGTAAGTAGGTACGACTAGGTATTATTTTAATGACTTAAGTCAATAATTATTACAAATCCCAGAGCGATTTATTAATTAATATTACCGAATAATAATTATTCCATTATTATCCCATCGTGAGATTAAGAAACGTATATTTTATGTAAAATTTACGTAAAAAAGGACTCGGGTAATTTCGTTTCCAGTCGATATATCGGTATAAAAGGGACCCTGTAACAGGGCATACTCTGTTTTCGTTGCGACTGCCATTGTTCTGTGTTCAATACAGTGTGTTGCCATTTGTTTCTGTGTGATAGAAAACTCATTGTTCTCCATAGGCGAGACTGAACGGTTTAGGTAAGTTGGCTTTATCATTTGTTTGCAACCATACGGATATAATATAATTAATTAATTGTCCCAAAATCGCCATGATGGTGCTATTAGTGGTTATCGAATTTTGTTGATTTAAATGTTAGCGTTGAGTGAGAATTAATATTAATCAATGCTGTTAGACTTAAAGAAAAGTGTTTTAATCAATTTGATTTTTCAGTTAATACACCAGTGAACATGGGAGACAAATTTTGCGCCGAGCGACAGGCAAGTTATATAAGTTTTATTTATTTACCTAATTACTTAGATAACTTAAGTTTGTTTTAGAAGCCAGTATGAAATTATTTCGTCTGACTGAAAGTGATTACGATAAAGAGAGCAAGGAGTTGTTCCAAACCGCCAAGCAACGCTCATAACGTTTTTTGACCAAATTTGGACCTGAGAATGAGGCCGAAAATTAATTAGGCGGTACTCATATAATGTTTTATTTATATTATTTTATTTATTATTTTTATAATTTATTTTAATAAAAAAATATATTTCCAAAGTGGTAGTTTTATTTAAAAAAACGTAACTAATGCGTACAAGTTGAAACAAAACCTATACGTCCATATTAAAATGACATTTTTACGTCCTTTTGAAAACGTAATTTTTACGTCTCCTTATCCACGTAACGGTTAGGGCTAATTCACGGCCCAGGATCCGGACATAGGCACATCACAGCGACGTTTATGTGACGTTTATTTTACAAGATTCTTATACGTCACACTACAACCTTTGACGTTAATTTTACATAAATTTTACGTTTTTTTGCTCAGTGGGAGTAAACTATAGTTTCACATTCTAAACACCGTCGAAAGAAACACGGCTTCCAACGTTGTCAGAAGTATAGATTACACGCCTTTTTGGACGTTCATTATAACATAATGAACATTCAAAATGACCAGTAATTCGTTTGAATAATAAAAAAATTGTAAAAAGGATTTGTTCATCATTTTCTTTAGATATTTTTCTCTATTTGAAGAAAGTAAATCATTTAATATATATTAAAATTAAATATTAAAAACGTTGGTAAATTCGTCATATTTGCGTTCAGTGGATTGTGGTTGACAGCATAGAAAAAGGTTGACAGCTTGTTGTTTTGTGTTTTCGTTTGTGTATTTCTATCGTGTTTTAGTTAATTATTGAGTTACTGAATACATTATTTTTTACTAAAAATGGTGCGACAGTGTACTGTTTGTAAAAAAACAAACCAAAGAAATCCAAATCTATCCTTTCAGGATCACAATTAAATTAAACTATTTTTAAATTATCCCTATTTAACACCACGGCACTGGTTGCAGTCAGCTGTCATATTTGTTATATGTCAGCTGTTTTGGAGTACGCAATACGTCACTGGAAGAAAATATAAAATTCTATAGCCAATTTAACGCTTAGACTGTTACCGTTCGTTGACCGCAAACAAAGCATTGTTATTGAATGGCAATGCACCGTACATTTGTTTTGGTGGTCTGTGGTTTTAACCATTTAAAATACCTACCCATTTTAGAATATTAACACCATCATTGAACCAAAATATTAAAAATTTAAAATGATATAAAATCTGTATAATTTGGATTTTTACATGAAATTTGTTGTTAAACTATGGTAAATAATAAATTGCACCAATTATATAACATTTATTGGGGGCGCCATGGGGCTGGTAGCAGAACTTGTTTATTTAATGTCATTATAAACTCATATAAATTTGGTGAGGGTCCCATATCTAATAATTGAGATATCGATATACCCAAAATCCACCATCTGCCACTGCTGGCATGAGCTACCAACTTAATAAAAAAACACGAATCTAAATAAAAAAATATGAACTGTACAGGGTGATCCCCTATAATGTCGCCCCCCTTTAACTTTTTTATTTTAAGTTTCCCAAAAAATTTAAAAGTGTGGCTATGTAGGAACTAAAAAATACTTTTTTTCTATGTATAAATAAAATTGGAAAATTGATCAGTATACAGGGAAAAACAAAAAGTTTATTTTTTTTCAATGGATCACCCTATATTTGAATTTATTTTTCGATTCCTTGTAAAATTCTGAGCATAATTTATATACAAACCATATACCTAAATTCAACCGTTTCTGAAATATTCGCATTCGAAATGTCATCATTAAATGTTTTTTTAAACTGTTAAAAATCAGGAAGCCTCAGTATACCAAAATTTTTATTGAAAATAAATTACTATAGTGACATTATGTCAATAAGTGTTGTTAAATAAGTAAAAATGGCGTACTCAGACAGAGAAAGACAAACTATAGTTTAAAAGGCCATAATTGAGAAGCAATCAGACTAAACCAGATAAATCCATTTCGACTTTTTGAATGGTTCCTATTTCTTTTGTTCAGATAAATCCATTGGAAATATCTATTTCAAGCTAAACTTGTTATCATAATATGATATGATCATAATATTAATATTATATAATAATTATTATATTATATACTAATATTAATATTAGTATATAATATATATATTATTATAATAAGTTTATTTTGAAATTCACTTTTCCAATTGATTTATCCGACTAAAAGAAATATGAATCATTCAAGAATTCAAAATGGATTTATCTGGTTTTGGTTGATTGCTCCTCAATTATTATAATTATTATTATAATTATAACCTATAATAGGTTATACATTACAATTATAACCTTAAGGTTAACTAATTAATTAATTAATTTATAATATACATATATTAATTATTAATGTACCTGTAACATATAATTGTGACCTTTTAAACCAATATATATTATGTAATTATATATATTACTATAATATATATAATAATTATATATTATATTATAATTATAATAATATTATTATCAGTGGCGGATTGGGGATTTTGGGTATACCAATATCTCACTTATTAGACGTGGGACCCACTCCAAATTTATAATAGTTTATAATGACATTAAATAGACAAGTTCGGCGCAAACAGAATTTAAATTAAAGTTTGCGAAAAAAAGTTAGTTTTTTGTGTCGCCTTACCTGGCTTCTGGCCCCCCCATTTGGGATAATTCAAATTAAAGTGGTGCAATTTATACTCCACTATAATTTATCGACAAATTTAAAATTTTATTTAAAAAATATAAATATTACAAATTTTATACGATTTTAAATTTTTATTATTTATTTTATTATAATAAAAAAATAAAACTAAAATATTAATTCAAAAATTCGCGCGTCAGTTAATATTTTTTGATATTAGAATATTAATATTCTATGTATATTTAAACCTGCAGTTTTTAATCATGCAATCCATGTATTTTAAAATAAAATCGATTAAATCACACGAGACTATAATATGAATTCATAATCTACTCACGTGTGAATTACGAGTTCAAGACTTCACATGTAAAATCATATAGCACACATTATTCACTCACGCGTGATTTCGTATTCACGTTTGCTATCTGGGTATTTCAACTTATTATCTTAAAAATAATTTAAATATTTCAGAAACGGTTGAATTTAGGTATATGGTATGATATATGAAATATGCTTAGAATTTTACAAGGAATCGAAAAATAAATTCATATATAGGGTGATCCATTGAAAAAAAATTAACTTTTTGTTTTCCCCTGTATACTGATCAATTTTCCAATTTTCTTTATATGTAGAAAAAAAGTATTTTTTATTTCCTACATAACCACACTTTTAATTTTTTTGGGACACTTAAAATAAAAAAGTTAAAGGGGGGCGACATTATAGGGGATCACCCTGTACACATTTTAAAATGTCAAAAACACATTTAAAAATATCAAACATCAAAAACTGTCAAACAAAGCCTATTTTTAACTAGACAAAATTTACCTCATCACTATCACATCTATCCTCATTAACAAACTGGTTTATCAAATTATCAACAAGATATTTAATATTCTGACAGTCCTGTGCATATAAACAAGCAACATGTTCAGTAACATTGTCTTTTAGTTGCTTCGCTAGAGATGTAAATTGGGCTTTATGATCGGGCATGTTAATACCTGTAAGTAAAGCAGCTGTGGGCACTTCGTCGACATCGAATCTGTAAGACTCGCCGACAAAATCGACCAAACTTCCCAGTACAGATGAAAACATTTCGCTATTTAACCCCTATAATACAAAATATTATGAAGTTGTTCTAAGTAATAGGTTATGTTTACTGACATCTATTTGTTCTTCGAGTGAAGTCCATAAGGTTTCGTAAGATTTATACCACGGGTTTTCTGATAGTAAATGTAGGGATGTACCAACTTTTTTCTTGCTCTTTGACTTCTTAGATCCAGCTTTAATGCCATTTTTAAATACAAAAACACCCTGAAATATATGGTTTAATTTGGCGCCAAATAACAAAAGACACTTTAAAACAGCCTACAAAGCAAAAATATTGCACACACTTACTAAATAAATATTTTTATAACTTTATAAGCATTTTTGTATGCAATATTAAAGCGTATATTTAAAATATTTCGGTTTCAAGCGAAAATATGAAATTTTCTTTATTTTTATTTTACCTTTGACACAGACACAGTTTGATCTTCTTCCATTATAAATAATATAAATAACTTATAAATCACTCAAAAACAATATAAATTAACACAATTTAGGCCTAAATATTACATAGAAAAGATAACAAGGACTCATAACTACAAGTTTTATTTTGAGTTTATAGCGACATCTAGCCGCTAGATTCTGGGGTTTTGAAGTTTTGAATGGTGTAATGTGAGTTGCATAGGTGTCGGCGTATAAAATTTATAAATAAATAAATTTATTAAAAATATATAATTATTTTCTATTCTAACAGCTACAAGACAATTCAAACGATATTTTACGACTTTTTTGTACACACATGGAAATATTTTATTATTTTACAGTTGATTTACTGTAATAACAGAGGTTTATGGTTGTTTTTAAAAAGCATAGTGAATAGATGCTGTAAAATATAACCGGAATTGCATTCTACTGCAATATACAAAGAAGTGCAACACACTGACATATATTCGCTTTTACTTGGCACCCAGGTCGGCAAACACTGTTAGTTTTCTCAGAAGTCATCGACTTTGTAAATAAACAATAATAATTAGGTAGGTATCTTTGTTAAAATTATTTTTTTAATGTAATTAGGACCTAATTATTAGGTACCTATACGGTATAATTTACACCCACCGATTAACAATTAATTTTATTTCTTTTTTTTTTTAATTAAATTATCACAAAATGTTTTAAATTTATGGTATAGGTATAAATTAAAAATTACAATCGACCATAAACTTTTAATTGTATAGGCAGCAGCGCCGGATTATAAAAATTTGCGCCCCGGGTCTAATAAAAATATTCCGCCCCTACCTATATAATAAATTCAAAGAAATGTCACTTCTTAACAAAAGGAAATTTTTTTGATTTTGGAGATCAAATAAAAAAATAAGTCTAAAGTATTTGAGTTTCAACAGATAAAAAAATTTTAGACGTCGCTCAAAACTTTTTTAAACCAACTTTTTTCTCAAAATCTTTGGCTTCTCACTATTTTTTTTGTAGGTCGTATAGGAACATAATACATTTTTAAGTCAAAATATTATTGGTCGCTCAATATTTTTGAAATACATTTCTTGATTTTTTTAATAATTTTGATCTTGTAACCACTAAGTAGTACTATTTTTCCAATTTAGTTGATTTTTTTGAGCGACGTTTATTTTTTTTTTAGTTGAAACTTGAATACTTTAAACTTAAATTGTTTCATGTGAGCTCCAAAATAAAAAAAAATTTCGAAAAAATATTGCCACCCTAAAAACATAAACAAAAACTATATAAAAAACAAATACCTAAATAAGAAAATTAACATTTTGCCAACTCAACTTTGCGTGCTTTTAGAGAAGCAAATTTGTTTACCGCAATATTGACGTCATCTTTCAATAGGCTAATACCTATACTGTATATATACATACATATATATATGACTGGTACTGTATATAACTATAGTTTTAAACTAATTTAAATTAATAGTTGTTCGTCGTGTAAAATATTCTTATATTAAAAAACCTTTACGCCCATACGCATCGCATCGGTGGAAATAATCAATTTCTGCTAACTAAAGTTCTTGTCGCCCAACAACTTGTCGGGCGCCCTACGTTATACGTGACCTGACATATACTATGCATAGATAATAATACTATGACAACAATCACGGTTATAATTTAAATAATTTTTTTATTAAACTGATTAATACACGAAAAATAAAAAAAGGGGAAAACCCTTTAGGTTGTAGTAAAAAACAAAAATTACCAGTCAAAAATTTTGCGCCTCCTGTAAGCTTGCGCCCCGGGTCTATAGACCCCGAAAGACCCCCCTAAATCCGGCGCTGATAGGCAGTACCTACCTATACCAGTTTAAATTAATATCTAATATCAATTTAAACAGTTTATTTTTTAGTTAAATTTAGATGCAATAAGATGTGGTAAGATATTTTATACCTAGGTTTTAAAGTAAATATTTTTTAAGAAATTTTATTTTATTTAAATAAAAAACAAATGTGGTTAAGCCTGTAAAATTTGATTTGAATTTACTAAAAAAATTAGGTACATATTTAAAAATGTTTTATACGATTTTGTTTATATTTCACATGTCCATTTATTTTTAGGACACATTTTTTAACATTACTGCTGTTCTTGACAGCCACTTCTGCAGCACCAAAATCTTGCACGTGTCCTGAACATTATGGAGTTTTCAAAATAAATAGCCAAATAACTTGTTACAACCCTTTGACATTTTCGATGACACCATGCGCTACAGGAAACAATGAAAAATGCGGATGTTACGCAGATTCTTACACTCATGTAATAAACGGGGAGTTAAAATGTTTAAACAAATATTATTTTAACGTTTTACCCTGCAACACACTCCTACAACCAGTGTGCGAATGTAACGATTACACGGAATTGGTTATTGGGGAAAATGGTGAGCCACTGTGTGCGTTAAGAATAGAAAAAATACTGGCGAAAACATGGCCCTGCGAAAATTTTGAAGAGTGGAATAAATATTATGAATCTTTTACACAATTTTATGAAAACCATTGATTTATTATGATGTAGAAAAATTAAATTAAAGATTTTATATTCCTTCTGTCATTTACCCAGTAAACATTTGTGATTGCGTATTGAAATCACTCCGAAATCCCGTCGTGACATCGTATTCATATGTTTCCATAATACAAAATCAATGAGATTTCAAGTCGTGAGATTCGAGCGCAATACCCACTCAATGGGATATCACTTCGTGACATTGCTAGCGCGCAATCTGACACAGATTTAAATTTGGAAAATTTAGTATCGCAAAAATAAGAAGAAAAGTATATATGAACTTGTATGTTTTAAAGCTTCGTTTTCATGAGACAGGGTTCCCTGATAGCAAAATTTGATTTTAAGATTCTTCTAAGAAGATATGACCCGAAATAATGGAATATTCTTAGAACCTTCCCTTATTGCTAAGAATGTTCTTAGGAACTTTTAAAACATTCAATAGATACCCTTTTAATGATGCAATTAGATTCTTAAAAGCTTCTTAAAACCTTCTTAAAAAGCATCCTAAGAACATTTTAAGAATATGTTTTTGGAATGTTCTTAGAAGGTTTCTTATGTAGCTTCTAGGAAGCTTTTGGGAATATTTCCAAATATGTCAAATACCCACGTTCTAATATGTTGTATTCTACATTCGTAATATGACAGTGAAATGTATTTGTCGTCCCCTTAAAAAATTTTGCGACATATTAATATATATTTATTTAAAATTATTAAATAAACAATTTGACCTTTAAACCATAAGTTGTATGACATTATTTCATAAAAAGTAAAATTGGAAAATTTTGTGGGATAAGTCAGATTAGATTGAAGTTGAAGATAGTTAGGATTATTACCTATACATAAAAATGTAAATTCAGAAATAAAAAATCGGTATACAAATTAATAAATATTTATTTTTAACATAAAATAAAATACCTATATAGTAAAAGTATTTTTGTTATCGAATATTGTTTTAATTTGACAAATAACTAAAAAAAATATTTTGGATTGTGTTTTTACCATAGAAGGTTTTTACTAAGTATTTAATGGTATATTTTACTATTATATAGGTAACTAAACTAAATATAGGAATATTCCTAAATGAACTTTCTATAGCAATTACTTTCTTAACATTCTAAGCATATGTTTAGAGTAGACTAATTTTTACCACTAAAACTTTGCACCTTCTAAGAACCTGCCTATAGGCCAGCATGATCCTAAGAATATTCGTACTAAGAATATTCTTAGGATCATGCTATATGTCTTTTAAGCATGTTCTTTAGAAAAAATATAGCATGATCCTAAGAATATTCTCACTGGAAGGTTTAAAAAACATTCTTAGAATAAAGTGTGCTATCAGATTTGTAAAGTTATTTAAAAATTATTTATTTTTTGGGCAAATTTAATAAAACATTTTAGTTTTTTAGTAGTGAACAAAGGGCTTAATTTAATGTAAATTAAATTTAGTTAATCCATAGTCAACAATTAAGCTTTTTAAAGCAACAAGTTCATATAAACTTTTTTTATTATTTTTGCGAGTTCTGTTGACTATTAAATTTTCCCAATTAAAATTTATAGAAATGATACTTTTATGCTGCTTCTATGGGTATTTTTTTTATTTAGGAGCTTCTTAACAACTCGTTATAACGATAGACACTTAAAAAAATCCAGTATAAAAAAGATACCCATATATAGAAGGATACCTGGTGCACCCTGTACACATATGTATACGAGCCTCGTCGCATAATAGTTGGCCCAGTGAAATAAATGGTGTCAGTAATCCAGGTTTATTTATTTATTTATTCCAGAGCGAATGGAGACATGTTCCCATTTATACCTTACTATATATATATATATATATATATATATATATATATATATATATACTGCGCGTCAAAATTAACGCATAATAAGTAAAAAAATTCTAACTCTAAAACGCCTTTACCAATCTTTATAAAATTTTGGATAAAAATATCCTTAAAGCCCTTTTATTTATTAATAAAAAAACTCTCGAAAAAAGACTTTTATAGGGAATTGAAAAAAATATGCTGTAAAATACAGTATTTTTGTAAGTATACCCTGAAAATGTACAAATCAAACGAAAATACAGCGCTTCAAAGTCGTCAAAAAATATTACTTTTCAGCAAAATAATCAAAAAGGGGTCACTTTTACCGACTTTGAAGCGCTGTATCTTCGTTACTGTTCTTTTGATTTGTACAACATTTTTCAGGGTATACTAACAAAAATACGGTCTTTAACAGCATATTTATTATTTAAAAAAAAATTCACTAAAAGTTATTTTTCGAACGATTTTTTTTATTATTATATAAAAGGGCTTTAAAAATATTTGAGATATGAAATATATACCAATATACCAAGTTGAAGTATTCTTATACAAAATTTCATAAAGATTGGTAAAGACGTTTTAGAATTTTTTTACTTATTATGCGTTAATATTGACGCGCAATGTATATACAATACATACTATATTTATTTATATATACTTGTAAAAATCGCTTGCAGAAAATCATCAAATTCAACTAATTAAACCATAAAAACATTGATTAAACGTACACCTATAAGGTATATATGCAGGTATATATTTTTCCA